GAGGTCATTCAGGGGTCACTCAGGGTCACTCAGAGGTCAGGGGTCAGTCAGAGGTCAATCAGGGCCAGTGGTCATTTAACGGTCACTGTGGTCACTCAGTGGTCACTCAATGGTCAGTGGTCACTTAGGGGTCACTCAGAGGTCATTCAGGGGTCACTGATCACTTGGGGTCACTCCAGGGTCACTCAAGGGTCACTGGTCACTCATGGGTCACTGGTCACTTGGAGGTCACTCAGAGGTCATTCAGGGGTCACTCAGGGTCACTCCGGGGTCACTCAGGGTCACTCAGGGCTGCGGCCCCTCCCCCCAGGCCACACCATGTCCACGGTGGGGGAGGAGCGGCGCCACAACCCCCGACTGACCCTCGGCGCCGACGAGTTCGTGGCGCTGATGGAGCGGCTGCAGCTGCCCCGCCCCCACCTCATGGGTGCGCCCCTCCCCCACCCCCCTGAACCCCAAAATCCCCCCATGGGACCCCCAAAACACCCCCGGGGACCCCCAAACTCACCCCTGGGAACCCCAAAAATCCCTGAGCCCCAAAACACCAAAAAATCCCCAAAAATCCCAAAAAAATTCCCCCCCCAAAGGACCCTCCACCCTGAAACCCAAAATTTCCCAAAAGTTCCCCCAAAAATCCACCTCAACCCCCCCCGAACCTCAAATCCCCAAAAATTCCCCCAAAAATCTGCCCCAAATCTTCCCCAAACCACCCTGAACCTCAAAAACCCAAATATTCCCTCAAACTCCCCAAAATCCCCCCAAAATTTCCTCAAATCCCCTCAAATCACCCAAAATCCCCCCCAAATCACCCAAAATCCCCAAAAATCCCTCCAAAATCCCCCAAACAGTTCCTGAATCCCCAAAATCCCCCCAAATCACCCAAAATCCCCCAAACAATTCCTGAATGCCCAAAATTCCCCCAAATTAGCCCCAAATTTCCCCAAATTCCCCCAAACAATTCCTGAGTCCCCAAAATTCCCCCAAATCACCCAAAATCCCCAAAAATCCCTCTAAAATCCCCCAAACAATTCCTGAATCCCCAAAATTCCCCCAAATCCCCCAAATTAGCCCCAAAATCCCCCAAATTCCCCTTTTCCCCTCAGACGTCGCCATTCCGGCCAATCTCCGCTGCGGGATCCAGGACGAGCCTTAAGCCACGCCCACTTCCTGATTAAACCACGCCCACTTCCGCCCAAAACCACGCCCACTTCCCCGGCGCGTGGCCCCGCCCCTTTTGGGGCGTCTCCACCAATAAAAACGCGTTTCCGGAACGAGGCTGCTGTGGGCGTGGCCTCTGTGTGGGAAAAGGGGGCGTGGCCGATTCCCGCGGGGGAAGCCACGCCCCCAATCCCAGGTGAGCCGCGCGGTGACGTCACGGCCACGCCCCCTCGGCCAGGTGCGCGCGCTCGGGGCCGGGGGGCGCTGGGGGAGGCCGGACCTTGACCTTTGACCCCGCCCTGACCTTTGACCCCTCCCCCAGCGCCGCACCCCTCCCCCCAAAAATCCGGAGGCTCCCATGGTGCACCGCGGCGGGGGGGAGACCCCCCCCAGCGATGGGGTGAGACTGGGAGGGGGTTCGGGGTTACTGGTTTATACTGGGAGGGGATTTGGGGTCACTGGTTTGTACTGGGAGGGGATTTGGGGTCACTGGTTTATACTGGGAGGGACTGGGAGGGAACTGGGAGGGGATTGGGGGTTACTGGTTTATACTGGGAGGGGATTTGGGGCTACTGGTTTATACTGGGAGGCGATTTGGGGTCACTGGTTTATACTGGGAGGGACTGGGAGGGGGATTGGGGTTACTGGTTTATACTGGGAGGGAACTGGGAAGGGGTTTGGGGTTACTGGTTTATACTGGGAGGGACTGGGAGCCCCCAAAATGTAACTGGGAACCCACAGAACCAAACTGGGAGAGACTGGGAGGGAACTGGTTTGGACTGGGAGGGACTGGGAGGGGATTTGGGGTTACTGTTTTATACTGGGATGGGCCTGGGAGGGAACTGGGAACCCCCAAAACCAAACTGGGAGGGACTGGGAGGGAACTGGTTTGTACTGGGAGGGGATTTGGGGTTACTGGTTTATACTGGGAGGTGCTGGGAGGGAATTGGGAAGGGGTTTGGGGTTACTGGTTTATACTGGGATGGGCCTGGGAGGGAACTGGGAACCCCCAGATTTAACTGGGAAGCCCCAAAACCAAACTGGGATGGACTGGGGGGGAACTAGGAGGAGATTTGGGGTTACTGGTTTATACTGGGATGGACTGGGGGGAACTGGGCAGGGATTGGGAGAGGAGCAGTCCAGACTGGTTTATACTGGGAGGGCCTGGGAGGGGCTGGGAACCCCCAAAACCAAACTGGGAGGGACTGGGGGGAACTGGGAGCCCCAGAAATGTAACTGGGAGGGACTGGGAGGGGATTGGGAGGGACTGGGAGAGGAACAGGCCGGACTGGTTTATACTGGGAGGGGCTGGGAACGTCCGAAATGTAACTGGGAACGCTGAAAACCAAACTGGGATGGACTGGGAGGGACTGGGATGGAACTGGGAACACCCCAAATGTAACTGGGAACGGTCAAATCTAAACTGGGAGGGACTGGGAAGGGATTTGGGGTTACTGGTTTATACTGGGAGGGACTGGGGGTAACTGGGAACGCCTGAAACAAAACTGGGAGGGAACTGGGAAGCCCGAAACCAAACTGGGAGGGACTGGGGGGAACTGGGAGGGGACTGGGAGGGACTGGGAGAGGAACAGGCCGGACTGGTTTATACTGGGAGGGAACTGGGAGGGGCTGGGAAACCAAAAAAGTAACTGGGAACTGTCAAATCCAAACTGGGAGGGACTGGGAGAGGAACAGGCCGGACTGGTTTATACTGGGAGGGGCTGGGAGGGGACTGGGAACTCCCAAAATGTAACTGGGAAGCCCCAAAACCAAACTGGGAGGGGCTGGGAGGGGATTTGGGGTTACTGGTTTATACTGGGAGGGACTGGGAGAGAATTGGGAACCCCCAGAATTTAACTGGGAGGAACTGGGAGAGGAGTGGGCCTGACTGGTTTATACTGGGAGGGACTGGAGGGAACTGGGGGGAACTGGGAATCCCCAAATCCAAACTGGTTTGTACTGGGAGGGACTGGGGGGAACTGGGAACCCCCAAAACCAAACTGGTTTATACTGGGAGGAACTGGGAGGGGGAAGTTACTGGTCTGAACTGGTCTGAACTGGTCTGAACTGGTCTGAACTGGTCTGAACTGGGAGCCAGGACGATCCCGCGGCGGCGCTGGAGGGGCTGAGGCTGGAGGTGACGCCCCTCCCCCACCCCATTGCCCCTCCCCCACCCCATTGCCCCTCCCCCACCCCATTGCCCCTCCCCCACCCCATTGCCCCTCCCCCACCCCAGTGCCCCTCCCCCACCCCATTGCCCCTCCCCCACCCCCCTTTGCCCCTCCCCCACCTTTTTAGCCCCTCCCCCACCCCCCTTTGCCCCTCCCCCACCCCCATTTCCCCTCCCCCACCCCCTTTCCCCCTCCCCCACCCCAAAATTTTTTTGGGGGGTTGGGGGCGGGGCTGTGACGTCACAACCGCCCCTCCCCCCCCCCTTGCAGGACGAGCCCCCCCCGAAGGAAGGGGGAGGGGCGGCGGTGACGTCAGAGGCGATGACATCATCACAGGCGATGACGTCACAGGCGATGACGTCAGAGGCGGCGGTGACGGCCGGGGGGCAGGTGGGGAAATTTTGGGGGGAATTTTGGAATTTCTGGGGATTTTGGGGATTTTGGGTTTGGGGGGAAAAACTGGGGGGATTTCGGGGATTATTTTGGAAATTCGGGGGAATTTCAGCGATTTTGGAAGGATTTTTGGAAAATTTGAGGAGATTTTGGGGATCTGGGGTGGTTTTGGCTGATTCGGGTTGATTTTGGGTGAATTTTGTTGATTTTGGCCATTTTGGTTGATTTTAGTCCATTTTTGGCCAGTTTGGGTGAATTTTGGGTGGTTTTGCAGAGAACTTGACCGTTTTTGGTGGATTTTGGGGTAATTTGGGGTGAATTTTGGTGATTTTGGCCATTTCGGTTGATTTTAGGCTGGTTTTGGCCGGTTTTGGGTGAATTTTGGGGTAATTTGGAGTGAATTTTGGTGATTTTGGTGATTCTGGCCATTTTGGTTGATTCTAGGCCGTTTTTGGCCGGATTTGGGTTAATTTTGGGTGGTTTTGGCCATTTTGTGTGAATTTTGTGTGAATTCTGTCAATTTTGGGTGAATTTTGGGTGTTTTTGGCCATTTTGGGGTGAATTTTGTGTGAATTCTGCCCGTTTTGGGTGAATTTTGTGTGAATTCTGCCCGTTTTGGGTGAATTTTGTGTGAATTCTGTCCATTTTGTGTGCATTTTGTGTGAATTCTGCCTGTTTTGGGTGACCTTTGGCCGTTTTTGGGCCCAGCCCCAGCTGATGTTCTCCCACTGCACCGACCGGCGCTGGATCCTCCTGGGACCCCCCTGCGACCCCCCCCGGGTGCTGGCGCTGCGCAGCTCCGTCAGGGTGAGTGACCCCGAGTGACCACTGACCCCTGAGTGACCACTGACCCCGAGTGACCGCTGAGTGACCAGTGAGTGACCACTGAGTGACCCTGAGTGACCCTGAGTGACCAATGAGTGACCCTGAGTGACCACTGAGTGACCCCTGAGTGACCCTGAGTGACCCTGAGTGACCACTGAGTGACCAATGAGTGACCCTGAGTGACCCTGAGTGACCCTGAGTGACCCTGAGTGACCCTGAGTGACCCTGAGTGACCACTGAGTGATCACTGAGTGACCCTGAGTGACCCTGAGTGACCAATGAGTGACCAATGAGTGACCCTGAGTGACCCTGAGTGACCCCGAGTGACCCTGAGTGACCACTGAGTGACCACTGACCGATGAGTGTCCCTGACTGACCCTGAGTGACCAATGAGTGACCACTGAGTGACCCTGAGTGACCCTGAGTGACCCTGAGTGACCAGTGAGTGACCCTGACTGACCCTGAGTGACCAATGAGTGACCACTGAGTGACCCTGAGTGACCCTGAGTGACCCTGAGTGATCAATGAGTGACCCTGAGTGACCCTGAGTGACCCTGAGTGACCCCTGAGTGACCCCGAGTGACCTCTGAGTGACCCTGAGTGACCCTGAGTGACCCCTGAGTGACCCCGAGTGACCTCTGAGTGACCCTGAGTGACCCCGAGTGACCCCGAGTGACCAGTGAGTGACCCTGAGTGACCCTGAGTGACCCTGAGTGACCCTGAGTGACCAATGAGTGACCAGTGAGTGACCCCTGAGTGACCCTGAGTAACCCTGAGTGACCCTGAGTGACCCTGAGTGACCAATGAGTGACCCTGAGTGACCCTGAGTGACCCTGAGTGACCCTGAGTGGCCCTGAGTGACCAATGAGTGACCAATGAGTGACCAATGAGTGACCCTGAGTGACCCCTGAGTGACCCTGAGTGACCATTGAGTGACCAATGAGTGACCCTGAGTGACCCTGAGTGACCAGTGACCCTGAGTGACCCCTGAGTGACCCTGAGTGACCCCTGACCCCGTGTGACCTCTGACCCCAGGGCGCCATTGGCCTGCAGAGGTCCGGGAGCCTCCCTCGCCGCCGGGGGGGGGAGGGGCCAGGACCCCCCCAGCCGCCCCTCCCCCCCCGGCCCCGCTCGCAGCACGGTGAGGGGGGAGGGGCGTGGGGGCGGGGCTAAGGGGATTTTTGGGAATTATTTTGGGGACTTTTTGGGAATTTTATTTCGTTTTTTTAAGATTTTTGGGGATTTTTATATTTTTTTTATATTTTCTAAAATTCTAAAATTTTTTTCGGGAATTTTTTTGGGATTTTACGGTGATTTCTTGGGGATTTTTGGGGAATTTTTTTGGTGGTTTTTGGGATTTTTTTTAGGGATTTTTTTGGGATTTTTTGGAGGGTTTTTTGGGAGATTTTTTTGCATTTTTTGGGATTTTGGAGGGATTTCTGCGGATTTTGGGGGGGGTTTTGTAGGGGTGTTTTTGGTGGTTTTTTTTGGTTTTGGGGTTATCTGGGGAATTTTTGGAGGATTATGTGATTTTTGGGGGGTTTGGGGGTTTTTTGGGGGGATTTTTGGGGGGTTTTGGTGCTGATTTATCCCCCCAGGTGCTCTGGCGCTGCAGCTGGACCCCGAAGCGTACAGGTGAGAGGGGCCTGAGCTGGGAGTGACCCCAAAAGTGACCCAAAAATTACCCAAAAATCCCTCAGAATTGCCCCCAGTTCCCTCCCAGTCCCTCCCAGTATAAACCAGTCCCTCCTGAACCCCTCCCAATCCCCTCCCAGTCCCTCCCAGTATAAACCAGTCCCTCCTGATCCCCTCCCAGTTCCCTCCCAGTCCCTCCCAGTATAAACCAGTCCCTCCTGAACCCCTCCCAATCCCCTCCCAGTCCCTCCCAGTCCCTCCCAGTCCCTCCCAGTCCCTCCCAGTCCCCTCCCAGCCCCTCCCAGTCCCCCCCAGTCCCTCCCAGTTCCCTCGAATCTCCTCTAAGTCCCCCCAGTCCCCTCCCAGTCCCCTCCCAGTCCCCCCCAGTATAAACCAGTCCCTCCTGATCCCCTCCCAGTCCCTTCCCAGTCCCCCCCAGTCCCTTCCCAGTCCCCCCGAATCTCCTCCCAGTCCCCCCCAGTTCCCTCCCAGTCCCTCCCAGTCCCCCCCAGTCCCTCCTGATCCCCTCCCAGTCCCTCCCAGTCCCCCCGAATCCCCTCCCAGTCCCTCCCAGTTCCCTCCCAGTCCCCCCCAATCCCCTCCCAGTCTCTCCAATCCCCTCCCAGTCCCTCCCAGTCCCCCCAATCCCCTCCCAGTCCCTCCCAGTCCCCCCCAATCCCCTCCCAGTCCCCCCAAATCTCCTCCCAGTCCCTCCCAGTCCCCTCCCAGTTTGTCCCAGTTCCTTCCCAATCCCTCCCAGTGCCCCCCAGTCCCTCCCAGTCCCCCCCAGTCCCTCCCAGTGGCCCCGCTCACTCCCAGTTTGCCCAGTACGTGTCTCCAGCTGGCCCAACTGGAGCTGCGGGTCCGGGAGGCGTTGGCCGAGCGGGAGCGGCTCCTCCGCGCCAGGGTAGGGGCGTGGCCTGGGTGGGCGTAGCATTTTGGGCGTGGCAATGTGGGTGTGGTCTGTGAGGGTGTGGTCCTGTGGGCGTGGCCTAAATGGAGTTTATTTGCTATTAAATGCATGGAGGGGTGTGGTTTATTGGTTTGTGGGCGTGGCTTAGCAGGGTGTGGTCTGGTGGGTGTGGTCAAAGGGGGCGTGGCCTCATCGCATCCTCACACAGGAGGCTCGGAAAGCTGCCAAGGCCCCGCCCACCAAGGACACGCCCATTTCTGACGAGGTCACGACCTCTCCGGCACAGGCCACGCCCTCTCCAGATCAGGCCACGCCCCCTCACGAGGTGATTCCCCCCCCTCAAGGATTGGGGGAATTTTGGGAGATTTGGGGAGGGTTTTTGGGAGATTTTGGAAAATTTTGGGGCAGATTTTTGGGAAGTTTCAGGGGAGATTTTTGGGAGAATTTGGGATGATTTTGGGGAGATTTTTTGTAAAATTTTGTGGGGATTGTTTGAGAGATTTTGGGGAGAATTTTTGGGACATTTTGAGGGGATTTTGGGGGGATTTTGGAGGACTTTGGGAGATATTTTGGGGGTTTTCATAGGAGTATTTTGGGGGGATTTCTTTTATATTTTGGTGGGATTTTGGGGGTAAGCGGCCGCTTTTGGGGAGGCTCTGCGGGGAATTTTAGCGATTCTCAGCATTTTGGGTTAAATTTTGGGGTGCAACCCACAGATTTCGTAGTTTTGGGCCTCCAGAATCAGGAATTTGGGGGTGGTCCCCCCCCAGTTTGGGGGTGATGCCTGAGCAGGCGTGGCTCTTTGGGGTTTTGGATTATTTTGGGGTTCTCTACCCTCAACTTTTTAGGCATTAATTGCAATTTATTTTTGGGGTCCAGCCCGATCTCCTGTGCGCCCTCCGAGCCCGGGGCCACCGCCCTGAGGCTGTGGGGGGGCTGCGGATTTTGGGGGGGTCCCTGAGGGGTCCCCTCACCAAGATGGGCGGACGCATCAAGACGTGGCGGCGCCGCTGGTTCCACCTGGACCCGCAGAGGAGGGTCCTGGCCTATTATGGGGGTACTGAGGGGGCGATTTTGGGGGGGCTTTTGGAGGGGCTGGGAGGTCTGGGGGGTGATATTGGGGTCACTACAATTTTGGGGGAATTTTGGGGTGATTTTGGCCAATTTTGGGTGAATTTTGGCTTGTTTTGGATGCATTTTGGGTGATTTTGGCCACTTTTGACCTATTTTGGCTGATTTTGGGGTGGTTTTGGGTGATATTGGTGTGATATTGTGTGGTTTTGGATGAATTTTGGATTATTTTGGCTGGTTTCGTGAATTTGGAGTGGTTTTGTCCGTTTTTGGGTGAATTTTGGCTCACCTTTTCTACATCCCCCTCTCCAGACCAAGCCCAGACGAAGCTCAAAGGCGTCATCTACTTCCAAGCCATCGAGGAGGTTTGGTACGACCCCGGGCGTGTGGCTGGAAAGGTGAAAAAAAAATAAATAAAAATTCCTTTGGGATCTCTGCGTCCCAAAGAGGAGTGGGGAGGAAGGAAAGAAGGATGGAACCGTCATGGCTGTCCCCAAAACTGACTCCCCAGAGCCCCAACCCGCGCCTCACGTTCTGCCTCAAGACCTACGAGCGCCTGTTCTGGCTGGTGGCGCCCAGCGCCGAAGCCTTGAGGATCTGGATGGACGCCGTGCTCACCCTGACCCGCGGCAGCGGCGCCTTCTGAGCCTTTCCCTCCGTTTTCCTGCCCTTTTTAACCCTCATGTTTCTATTTTCCCCTCACATTTTCCCACATTTTGTCCCTCACATTTTCCCGCCCTTTTCTTCCCTCACATTTCCCTTTTCCCCCTCATATTTCTCTTTTCCCCCTCACATTTTTCCACTGTTTTTTTCTCCCCTCACGTTTTCCCTCCATTTTCCTCTCACGTTTTCCCGCCTTTTTTCCCCCTCACATTTCCCTTTTCCCCTCACGTTTTCCCGCCCTTTTTCCCCCTCACGGTTTCCCGCCCTTTTTCCCCCTCACATTTTCCCGCCTTTTTTCCCCTCACATTTTCCCGCCTTTTTTTCCCCCCTCACATTTCCCTTTTCCCCTCACGTTTTCCTCTTTTTTCCCCTCACATTTTCCCGCCTTTTTTCCCCCCTTCCATTTCCCTTTTCCCCTCACGTTTTCCCGCCCTTTTCCCCCCCTTCACATTTTCCCGCCTTTTTTCCCCTCATGTTTTCCCGCCTTTTTTCCCCCCTTCCATTTCCCTTTACCCCTCACGTTTTCCCGCCCTTTTTTCCCCTCACATTTTCCCGCCCTTTTTTCCCCCTCACGTTTTCCCGCCTTTTTTCCCCTCACATTTTCCCACCTTTTTTCCCCTCACATTTTCCCGCCCTTTATTCCCTTCACATTTCCCTTTTCCCCTCACGTTTTCCTCTTTTTTCCCCTCACATTTTCCCGCCTTTTTTTCCCCCTCCCATTTCCCTTTTCCCCTCACGTTTTCCCGCCCTTTTTCTCCCCCTCACATTTTCCCGCCTTTTTTCCCCCCACGTTTTCCCGCCTTTTTTTCCCAACTCACATTTCCCTTTTCCCCTCACGTTTTCCCGCCTTTTTCTCCCCCTCACGTTTTCCCGCCCTTTTTTCCCCTCACATTTTCCCGCCTTTTTTCCCCCCTCACATTTCCCTTTTCCCCTCATGTTTTCCTCTTTTTTCCCCTCAATTTTCCCGCCTTTTCCTCAGAATTGAACTGGGAGTCCCTGGCTCCGCCCCTTGCTGTATTTATTAAAGGTTTTTTGGGACAAAAATCTCCTTTTTTGGTCATTTTGGGGCAGGGGGGGGATTGTGGGGGAGGGGCTGGCTGAGCCCTAATGAGTTTTGCTAATGAGGTTTATTTATTAAAATGAATAAAATATCGTAGTGTTAGAATTATAATAATGCAAAATATAATAGAATAATATATTAAATAATATTAAAAGTAGAATTAAAAATAGAACGAAAAATATAATGAAAAATTGAATGAAAAATATAGTGGATTATATAATAATTTACGATATCATTAAAAATATCATTAAAAATATAATTTTAAATATCATTTTGAACATAATTCTGAATATAATTGAAAGTATAACTTAACTTTAAAATATAATTTAAAGTAGAACATAAAATGTAATGAAAAATAGAATGAAATATGTAGTAAAAAATATTATTTAAAATATTATTTAAAATATAATTTAAAATAAATTGAAAATAGAATTAAAATATAATTACAAAGAAATAAAAAAATAGAAAAATAGAATTTAAATAACATAAAATAATATAAATTAAAATAATAGAAATAATATAAAAATATCATTAAAAGTAGAATTATAAGAGAATGAGAAAAAACCCAAAAAATATAACGAAAAATATTAAAAATAACAAAAAATAAGACGAAAAATATCGAAAACGTAACCAAAAAACATTAAAAAACACTACAAAAACCATGGCAAAAAATAATTCCAACCCAATTAAAAACGAACACCTAATTAATCCAAAATTTAACGACTTTATCCCACAAAATTTGTCTCCAAAATCTCAATTTTCCCCCCAAAAAACGACTCTGGCAGCGGCGCTTTGACCACACCCATTTATTGCAGAACAATCCCCCTCCTCAGCGGAGGAGGGGCCACAGCAGGAAGGGGAGGAGCCACCCGGGCCCGCCCAGCGATTGGCCCCGCCCCACCGGGCCCTTGATCCCATCGTTGTGCCCCATTGGCCGCCTGGGGGCCATGTGACCGGTGGCCATCTTGTCTCCGGCAGCCATTTTGTCCCTTTCCGCCATCTTGTCCCTTTCCGCCATCTTGTCCCCGTCAGCCATCTTGCCACCGGCGGCCATCTTGTCCCCGTCCACCATCTTGTCCCCGTCAGCCATCTTGTCCCTGTCAGCCATCTTGTCCCCGTCATCCATCTTGTTCCTGTCCGCCATCTTGTCCCCGTCAGCCATCTTGTCCCTGTCAGCCATCTTGTCCCCGTCACCCATCTTATCCCTGGTGACCATCTTGCCGCCAGCAGCCATCTTGCCACTGGCAGCCCTTTTCCCACTGGTGGCCGTGTCCTTCCTGGGCGCGGCTGTTTTGGCATCACCGGCGGCTGTGTGGTCACCGGCGGCCATATTGCCACCACCACCACCACCAGCGGCGGCCATCTTGCCGCGGGTGCCGTTTCTCCCCCCACCATCCGCCGTGGCGTTGCCGGGCGCGGCCGTGGGCGCGTGGCCGTGGGGCAGCAGCTCCAGGCGGGGCAGGTCGGGCGCGAACAGGCTTTGGTCGGCCATCTTGCCGTTGCAGAGGTCGCCGCGGCAGCAGGAGCCGCTGAGCGAGGCCGCGTCGTCGCCGCGCCGCTCGGGGCCGCAGTCGCCGTCGGGGACGCAGCCGCGAATTTCCCGCCACAAGGTGACGTTACCTGCGAGGGGCGGGGTCAGAGCGTGCCGGGGGCAGGCCACGCCCAGGGGGCGGGGTCAGAGCGTGCCGGGGGCAGGCCACGCCCAGGGGGCGGGGTTTGGGGCTCACCTGCGCGCAGGGTGACGTTGCCGTGGAAACAGGCGCGGAGGTCGCCGTAGCAGTGGACGATGGCGGTCGGGGGGCAGGGCCCGGCCTCGGGGCAGCCATAACAGCGCAGCCCGTTGGGGGAGGGGTCGGTGGCGTTGGCTGGGGGGGGGAGGGGTCAGTGGGGTCAGAGGGGTCAATGGGGTCACCACACAGACCCCGCCCCAAATCATGGAACTGGGAGTGTCTCCCAGTGTCCTCCCAGTATAAACCAGTTCGTCACAGCCCCCTCCCAGTCCCTCCCAGTTCCCCCATATGAGCCTGTAGCTCCCTCCCAGTCCATCCCAGTATATCTCAGCCCTCTCCCAGTATATCCCAGTTCCCCCCAGTGCCCCCCAATCCCCTCCCAGTCCCTCCCAGTGCCCCCCAGTCCCTCCCAGTCCCTCCCAGTGTCCCCCAATCCCCTCCCAGTCCCTCCCAGTGCACCCCAAAGTCCTCCCAGTCCATCCCAGTTTGTCCCAGTCCCCCCACAATCCCCTCCCAATCCCTCCCAGTCCTTCCCAGTCCCTCCCAGTCCCTCCCAGTTCCCCACTAATCCCCTCCCAGTGCCCCCCAGTGCCCCCCAGTGCCCCGTACCGGTCAGTGCCAGCGCCCCGTGTCCCGCAGTGGTCAGTTGGTCATTGCAGGCCTCCCCCTGGCAGTTGCGGCGCCGCACGAAGGCCACGAGGCCGGGCAGCTGCAGGGCCCTGGCCAGTGACCCCGGCTGACCCCGGCCGCAGCCGCGCCAGGACAGCGAGAACTGGCCGTGGCCTGGGGGCAGAGGTCACGGGGTCAGCGGGGTCAGCGGGGTCAGGGGGTCAGTGGGGTCAGTGGTCAGTGGGGTCAGTGGGGTCAGCGGGGTCAGCGGGGTCAGCGGGGTCAGCGGGGTCAGTGAGGTCAGTGGGGTCAGTGGGGTCAGTGGGGTCAGTGGTCAGTGGGGTCAGTGGGGTCAGTGGTCAGTGGGAGTGGTCATTGGGAGGGGTCACTGGGGTCACTGGGGTCATTGGGAGTGGTCAGTGGGGGTCAGTGGGGGGACTGGAATAGACTGGGGTATACTGGGGTATACTGGGATGTACTGGGACAAACTCAGAGGGAACTGGGAGGGACTGGGGGGGAACTGGGACAGAACTGGGATGAACTGGGATAAACTGGGAGGGAACTGGGATGGACGGGGCTGATCTGGGATGGACTGGGAGGGAACTGGGATGAACTGGGAGGGACTGGGATGGACTGGGAGGGAACTGGGATGGACTGGAGCTGAACTGGGATGGACTGGGAGGGAAGTGGCCCAAACTGGTCCATACTGGGCGCCCCGCCCCCACTCACTCCAGGCCACGGCCGCCTGGGCCTCGCCGCAGACGTCGCCGGGGCAGGAGACGGCGGTGACGTCATCGGTGACGTCATCGGTGACGTCATGGGTGCCGTTGGTGACGTCACGACAGCGGCCGGCACCGTCCTCCCCACAGCTGAGGCAGCGCAGCGCCCGGCAGCCTGCCCCACACAGTGACCCATGGATCCGTGCCCTATAGATCCTGACCCATGGATCCTGACCCACACATTGACCCATGGATGGATCCTGACCCATGGACCCTGACCCATGGATCCTGACCTATGGATCCACCCCATAGATCCAGCCCATAGATCCCTGCCCCACACAGTGACCCATGGATCCTGACCCACACATTGACCCATGGATCCTGACCCACAGATCCACCCCATGGATCCTGACCCACACATTGACCCATGGATCCTGACCCACAGATCCACCCCAAAGATCCCTGCCCCACACATTGACCCATGGATCTGTGCCCTATAGATCCTGACCCATGGATCCTGCCCCACACATTGACCCATGGATGGATCCTGACCCACAGATCCACCCCAAAGATCCCTGCCACACACATTGACCCATGGATGGATCCTGACCCATGGATCCCTGACCCACAGATCCACCCCATGGATCCTGACCCATGGATCCTGCCCCACACATTGACCCATGGATCCTGACCCATGAATACTGCCCCACACAGTGACCCATGGATCTGTGCCCCATAGATCCCTGCCCCACAGATCCACCCCATGGATCCTGACCCACACATTGACCCATGGATGGATCCTGACCCACAGATCCTGACCCACAGATCCACCCCATAGATCCCTGCCCCACACATTGACCCATGGATCCTCACCCATGGATCCTGCCCCACACAGTGACCCCTGGATCTATGCCCCATAGATATGTGCCCCACACAGTGACCCATGGACCCTGACCCATGGATCCTGGCCCATAGATCCCTGCCCCACACATCAACCCATAGATCCCTGCCCCATAGATCCAACTCATAGATTCCCACCCCACTCATCCCCACCCCACATCCCCACCCCACAGATCCCCACCCCACATCCCCACCCCACGCGTCACCAGCCCCGAACGTCGCCGCTCCCTCCCCGCGGGCCCGGACGTGCCCCGGCCTGTCCGGCCCGACCCACGGCACGCCCTGGCACCCCTGCCCTGCCCCACTGATCCCCTCCCTGGCACCCCCTGCCCCACTGATCCCCTCCCTGGCACCCCTGCCCCACAGATCTGACCCCCTGCCCCATAGATCTGACCCCCTGCCCCACAGATCCCTTCCCTGGCACCCCCTGCCCCACAGATCTGACCCCCTGCCCCACAGACCCCATCCCTGGCACCCCTGCCCTGCCCCACTGATCCCCTCCCTGGCACCCCTGCCCCACAGATCCCTTCCTTGGCACCCCCTGCCCTGCCCCATAGACCTGATCCCTGGCACCCCCTGCCCCACAGATCTGACCCCCTGCCCCACAGACCCCATACCTGGCACCCCTGCCCTGCCCCATAGACCTGATCCCTGGCACCCCCTGCCCCAGAGATCCCATCCCTGGCACCCCTTGCCCAATAGATCCAACCCCCTGCCCCACAGATCGACCTCCTGCCCCACAGATCTGATCCCTGGCACCCCTGCCCCACAGATCGACCTCCTGCCCCACAGATCTGATCCCTGGCACCCCTGCCCCACAGATCTGACTCCAAACACCCCTTTTCTGCCCCACAGACCCCTGTGCTCCCCTCTCCCTGCCCCACAGCCCCCCCACCCCATCGATCTCAGCCCTGGCACCCCTGGCCCCACAAATCCAACCCCCTGTCCCACAGATCTGACCCCAAACACCCCCTGACCCACAGATCCGATCACTTGGTACCCCCTGCCCCACAGAGCTGACCCCAAACACCCCCTGACCCACAGATCTGATCCCTGGCACCCCCTGCCCCACAGAGCTGACCCCAAACACCCCCTGCCCCACAGATCTGACCCCAAACACCCCCTGCCCCACAGGTCTCAGCCCTGGCACCCCCTGCCCCATGAATCTGATCCTCAACACCCTCTGCCCCACAGATCGGACCCCAAACACCCCCTGACCCTTAGATTTGACCCTAAACACCCCCTGCCCCACAAATCCTGCCCCCCACCCCATAAACCCTGACCCCGCCTCACCCCACACATCCCCCCGTGCCCCCCAAGCGCCCCCCAAGCGCCCCCCAAGTGCCCCCCAAGTGCTCCGTACCTGGCAGCAGCAGCAGCAGCAGCAGCAGCCGGGCCCCCCCCATGGCCCTGCCCCACATCTCGGCCCGGCCCCGCGGCCGTGGGGCAGAACCGCCCCATTTATGGCAACTGGGACAGGGTGGGGCGCGGGTGGGGCGCCCTCGGGGCTCCCCGCCCCATAGCGCGGCCCGGGGGGGGGGGGGAACCCCACGGATTCCGTCCCAGAGATGCGGATCCATAGATCCCACCCCATAGATCCTGCCCCAGAGATCCCAATCCATAGATCCTGCCCCATAGATCCTGCGCTATAGATCCTTCCCCAGAGATCCCGCCCCATAGATCCTGCCCCATAGATCCTGCGCTATAGATCCCGATCCATAGATCCTGCCCTATATATCCTGCCCCATAGATCCTGCCCTATAGATGCTGGGCCACGGCGGCTGGGGAGATGTCTGCCCCACAGAAAACCCCATAGAAAACCCCACAGCTCTACCCCACAGCTCTGCCCCATAGACAACCCCCACGTCTCTGCCCCACAGCTCTGCCCCATAGTTCTGCCCCATAGCAGGGTAGCAAGGCCGGGGAGGGGCGTGGCCTCGGTGGGCGTGGCTCCCTTGCCCCTCCCCCCCAGGGTGATGACGACATCGGGAGGGCCCGTGACGTCACAGGTTGGGGGGGAGGGGTCAGGTGGGGGAGACCCCCCCTCAAAACCCCCAAAAAATGGGAAACGGAGGAATTCCCGCCCCTCCCCCACCCGCGGGTGTGTTGGAGGGTGGGGGAGGGGCCGAGGGTTGGGGGAGGGGCTTATCCAAAGCCACGCCCACTTTTCCTACCCCTCCCCCCACCCCAAATTTCCCCCTTTTATTTGTTTTGGGGGAAAAAACCGTGGAAATGGCGAGGGGGGAGGGGAGGGGGTGGGGGAGGGGGTGGGGGAGGGTCCCGGAGAGCCCCTCCCCCCACAGGCGGACACCACACGGAACTGACCAATCAGCTTCGAGCTTTATTCTGGTGGGGGGGAGGGGCAATAAATAAGGGGGGGAGGGGCGGTCAGGGCAGGAGGAGGGGGAGGGGCAGCAGGAGGAGGAGGAGGAGGGGGAGGGGCGAGGAGGAAGGGGCGGAGCCCGAGAGGCCGGGGGGGCCGGGGGGGGGAGGGGCGGCGGCGGTGACGGGGAAGGAGTGGGCGTGGCAGGGTGGGGGAGGGGCGGGGCCGCCCACCGCGACGTCACCGCCCGGGGCCACCATGATGGCGTTGGGGACGGGGGTGGTGGCACCGGGGGGGACGTCGGGGGCGCGTCCCAGAGGGTCCCCGGAGGTGTTGGTGGCACCGGGCGGGGCCGTCACCTCCATGGCGACGTCAGCGCTGGTGGCCACCGGGGCTTTGTCACCTCCTGGGGACACGGTGACAGTGGCCACCATGGTGGTGGCATCTCCGTAGGCTTCGCTGACGCGTCCCAAAGTGTCCCTGGGGTCACCGGTGGCTTCGGGCTGGGCTGTCCCCTCCATGGTGACGTCCCCAGTGGTGGCCACCAGGAATTTGTCACCTCCTGAGGACACTGGGACAGAGGCCATCGTGGTGGTGGCATCTCCATAGGCTTCGGTGACGTGTCCTGAACTGTCCCTGGGGTCACCGGTGGCACCTGGATCTTCTGTCCCCTCCACCGCGATGTCCCCACTGGTGGCCACGAGGACTTTGTCACCTCCTGAGGACGTAGTCAAAGGAGCCATTGTGATGGTGGCATCTCCGTAGGCTTCAGTGACATGTCCCAAAGTGTCCCCAAGGCCACTGGTGACACTCGGATCTTCTGTCACCTCCATGGCCACGTCCCCACTGGTGGCCTCCAGGGCTTTGTCACATCCTGGGGACACTGGGACAGAGGCCACCGTGGTGGTGGCATCTCCAGGGACTTCAGGGACGCGTCCCAAAGTGTCCCAGGAGCAGTTGGTGGCTCCGGGCTGGGCTGTCCCCTCCATGGCCACATCCTCTCCAGGGGCCACCAGCATCTTGTCACTTCCTGGGGATGTGGAGACAGGTGCCACCACAGTGGTGGCATCTGCGTAGGCTTCGGTGACATGTCCCAAAGTGTCCCTGGGGTCACTGGTGACGTCGGGCTGGGCTGTCCCCTCCATGGCCACGTCCCCACTCGTGGCCACCAGGGCTTTGTCATCTCCTGGGGACACTGGGACAGAGGCCATCGTGGTGGTGGCATCTCCGTAGGCTTCGGTGACGTGTCCCAAAGTGTCCCTGGGGTCACTGGTGATGTTGGTCTGGGCTGTCCCCTCCATGGCCACGTCCCCACTGGTGGCCACCAGGACTTTGTCACTTCCTGGGGATGTGGAGACAGGTGCAACCACGGTGGTGGCATCTCCGTAGGCTTCAGTGATGAATCCCAAAGTGTCCCTGGGGTCACCAGTGGCACTTGGATCTTCTGTCCCCTCCACAGCGATGTCCCCACTGGTGGCCAGCAGGGCTTTGTCACCTCCTGGGGACACTGGGACAGAGGCCACCGTGGTGGTGGCATCTCCGGGGACCTCAGGGACACGTCCCAAAGTGTCCCAGGAGCAGTTGGTGGCACCGGGCTGGGCCGTCCCCTCCATGGCCACATCCTCTCCAGGGGCCACCAGCATCTTGTCACTTCCTGGGGATGTGGTGACAGTGGCCATCGTGGTGGTGGCATCTCCGTAGGCTTCGGTGACGCATCTCAGAGCACCCCTGGGGTCACCGGTGGCACTCGGATCTTCTGTCCCCTCCATGGCCACGTCAGCGCTGGTGGCCACCAGGGCTTTGTCACCTCCTGGGGACACTGGGACAGAGGCCGCCGTGGTGGTGGCATCTCCAGTGACATCACTGAGATGTCCCAAAGTGTCCCTGGGGTCACCAGTGGCTTCAGGTGTGGCCGTCACCTCCATGGTCACGTCCCCACTGGTGGCCACCAGGACTTTGTCACCTCCTGGGGATGTGGTGACAGTGGCCACCATCGTGGTGGCATCTGCGTAGGCTTCGCTGACGCGTCCCAGAGCGTCCCTGGGGTCATCGGTGACACTCGGATCTTCTGTCCCCCCCATGGCCACGTCCCCACTGGTGGCCACCAGGACTTTGTCACCTCCTGAGGACACTGGGACAGAGGCCATCGTGGTGGTGGCATCTCCGTAGGCTTCAGTGACGTGTCCCGAACTGTCCCTGGGGTCACCGGTGGCACCTGGATCTTCTGTCCCCTCCACCTCGATGTCACCCTGGGTGGCCACCAGGATTTTGTCACTTCCTGGGGATGTGGTGACAGTGGCCACCATGGTGGTGGCATCTCCATAGGCTTCAGTGATGAATCCCAGAGTGTCCCTGGGGTCACCGGTGACATCGGGCTGGGCTGTCTCCTCTATTGCCACGTCCCCACTTGTGACTTCCAGCACTTTGTCACCTCCTGAGGACACTGGGACAGAGGCCGACGTGATGGTGGCATCTCCAGGGACCTCAGGGACGCGTCCCAAAGTGTCCCAGGAGCAGTTGGTGGCACTGGGCTGGGCCGTCCCCTCCATGGTGACATCCCCAGTGGTGCCCACCAGAGCTCGGTCCCCTCCTGGGGACGTGGCGACAGCGGCCACCATGGTGGTGGCATCTCCATAGGCTTCAGTGACACGTCCCAGAGCATCCCTGGGGTCACCGGTGGCACTCGGATCTTCTGTCCCCTCCACCGCGATGTCCCCACCGGGGGCCACCAGCGCCGCGTCCGCCACCGGGACGTCCCTGGAGCAGTTGGGGGTCCCTGGGGCCGCCCCCAGGGATGTCCCCAGAGGTGTCCCCGATGTCCCTGATGTCCCCAGAGATGTCCCCAACGATGTCCCCGGTGTCCCCAAGGGTGTCCCCGATGTCCCCAGAGATGTCCCCGATGTCCCCAGAGGTGTCCCCGATGCCCTCTCGTCGCAGTCCGGTGGCAGCTCCGGGGGTGGGGGAGGGGAGGGCGGTGGGGGAGGGGCGGTGGGGCCGCAGCGCCGGGGTGGGGGAGGGGCAGGGGTGGGGGTGGGGGCGGCCCCCATGGGGGGAGGGGCACACAGCGCTGTGGGGGAGGGGAGAGGGGTCAGTCAGTGGGGGGACCCTCAAAAAGGGACCCCCAAAAGTTAAAAAAACCCCAAAAAAACCCAAAAAAATCCCCAAAAAAATCCCCAAAAAAACCCACAGGCCCGAGACTCCCCAAAACCCCAAAAAGTCCCCAAAAGAGACCCCAAAAGCCCCAAAGTGACGCCCAAAAAGCCCCCAGACCCCAAAAACTTCAAAGTGACCCCAAAAAGCCCAAAAACTCCCCAAAAGTGACCCCAAAAGCCCCAAAGAGGCCCCAAAAGGGACCCCCAAAGCCCCCAGACCCAAAAGCCCCAAAAAAATCTCCAAAAAGCCCCAGAGGCCCGAGACCCCCCAAAAGCCCAAAAACTCCCCAAAAGTGACCCCAAAAACCCCAAAGTGACGCCCAAAAAGCCCAAAAAAGTCCCCAAAAGTGACCCCCGAGACCCCAAAGAGACCCCAGAGCCCCCATTGCACCCCACAGCCCATAGCGCCCCCATAGCGCCCCATAACCCCCATAGCGCCCCATAACCCACCCCATAGAACCCCACAGCACCCCACAAACCCCCAATATCACCCCAAAACCCCCCAGAGCGCCCCATAACACACCCCATAGAACCCCATAAACCTCCAGTATCACCCCATAACCCACTATAAAACCCCACAGCACCCCTGTATCACCCCATAACCCCCCATAATCCCCCATAGCACCCCCATTACAGCCCCATAGCACCCCATAATCCCCAATATCAGCCCATAGCACCCCATAACCCCCATAACCCACCCCATAGCACCCCATAGCCCCCCAATATCACCCCATAGCACCCCATAGCCCCCCATAACCCTCCATAGCACCCCCATTACAGCCCCATAGCACCCCATAATCCCCCAATATCACCCCAAAACCCCCCAAATCCTTCATCCCCCACCCCATAGCGCCCCATAACCCACCCCATAGCACCCCAAATCCCCCTCCCCACCCCCCAGCCCCCCAGCTCACCCCCCAGCCCCCCCCAGCCCCCCATAGCCCCCCACGCACCCCCAGCCCCCCATAGCCCCCCACGCACCCCCCAGCAGGGCTCCCATCCCCCCATAGCCCCCCAGCCCCCCATAGCCCCCCACGCACCCCCCAGCCCCCCCAGCCCCCCACGCACCCCCCAGCCCCCCCATAGCCCCCCATAGCCCCCCATGGCCCCCCACGCACCCCCCAGCCCCCCATAGCCCCCCACGCACCCCCCAGCAGCGCTCCCAGCAGCAGCAGCCGCTGCCCCCCGGCTCCCATCGCGCTCCGGGTTTGGGGTTCGGGGTCCGGCCCCGGGGGGGTCCCTTTATCCCCGCCCCGCCCCCACCCCAAAACCGCCCCGCGGGTGGGGGCGGGGCGGGGTCCGGCCCTGGAATGTGGGGCAGCCGCCCCCGCCCCCCCAAATTACGGGCACCCCAAAAAATGGGAGCCCCACCCCTCCCCCCACACACCCCACCTCTGCCCCACTGACCCCGGGCGCGGCGGGGAGGCGGGTTTGGGGGCGCCGCCCCATAGATTGGGGGCACCCCCCATGGATTTGGGGTCACCCCCCATAGATTGGGGGGCACCCCCCATGGATTTGGGGTCACCCCCCATGGATTTGGGGTCCCTCTTGACCCTGCCCCATGGATTTGGGGTCAGGCCCCAAAGATTTGGGGTCGCCCCTCCTGGATTTGGGGTCACCCCATGGATTTGGGGTCACTCTTGACCCTGCCCCATAGATTTGGGGTCACCCCCCATGGATTTGAGGTCACCCCATAGATTTAGGGTCACCCCATGGATTTGGGGTCACTCTCCTCGATTTGGGGTCACTCCCCGTGTCCCGCCTCAGAGATTTGGGGCCGCCCCTGCCCCATGGATTTGGGGTCGGCCCCCACCCCGAATTTGGGGTCACCCCATGGATTTGGGGTCACTCCAGTGATTTGGGGCCGCCCCTATCTCGACCCCACAGATTTGGGGTCCCCCTGCCCCTGCCCTACAGATTTGGGGTCTCAGCCCCACAACCCCGAAGATTTGGGGTTCCCCTGTCCCTGCCCTATAGATTTGGGGTTCCCCTGTCCCTGCCCTATAGATTTGGGGTTCCCCTGTCCCTGCCCTATAAATTGGGGGTTCCCCTGTCCCTGCCCCACAGATTTGGGGTCTCAGCCCCACAGCCCCGCAGATTTGGGGTCTCAGCCCCACAGATTTGGGGTCTCAGCCCCACAGGCCCCCCGATTTGGGGCTCCCGGCCCCACACCCCCGATCTCCCCTCCCCCCCCGCCCCCGCTCCCCTCCCCCCCTCCCGTGCCTCAGTTTCGCTCTCGGGGGCGGAATTTTGGGTCCTCCCGGTCACGTGTCCCACCGGTCACGTGTCCCCCCCAAATCCCGCGTCACGTGTCTCCCTCCACGTGACCCCTCCCGACTCTCAGGGTGGGGGAGGGGAAAGGGGCGTGGCTTTGGGGAAAGATTGGGGGCGGGGCTCGGCGCAGGCCACGCCCCCCGCGCATGCGCCGCGCGGCGGCGGCGGCGGCGGCTCCGGGAGCGGCTCCGAGCGGTGAGAGCGGCCCGGGGTGGGGGGGGGGGGGGGGGGGGGGAGGGGTGGGGGAGGGGCGGGGGGACAGCGCCCCCCGGCGGGGCACAGAGGGGGGGAGGGGGAGCACCGCCCCTCCCCCCGCGGCGCGGCCTGCGCGGGGCATTGTGGGAGTGGTGGGGGAGGGGCTCGGGTGGGGGAGGGGGGAAGGGGTGGGGGAGGGGTCTGGGGAAAGGGGGAGGGGTTTGGGGTGGGATAATGAGGTGGGAGGGGCTTGAAAGGGTGGGAGGGGCTTGAGGGGTCGGGGAGGGGCTTCAATGTGTGGGAGGGGCTTAAGGGATGGTGGGCGGGGCTTATGGGATGCAAATCATGCTTTGAGAATATGGGAGGGGTTAAAGGTGGGGTGGGTGGGGCTTATGGGATGGTGGGTGGAGCCTGAGGGTTGTGGGAGGGGCCTGGCAGTTTGTGGGCGTGGTTTATGACGGGGTGGGCGGGGTTTGTGGCCCAGCGCCAATGGCGGGTGTCGCGGGGCGCGGCGGGCGTGTCCCAGGTGAATGTGGGCGTGTCCCAGGTGAAGGTGGGCGTGTCCCCGGGCAGGGCGGCCATGATGGCGGCCGGGCGGGGCCCGGGGCAGTCGGGCGGCAGCGAGGACGGAGCCTTCGAGGAGGAGGAGGAGGAGGAAGAGGAGGAGGAGGAAGAGGAAGAGGAGGAGGAAGAGGAGGAGGAGGAAGAAACGGCCATTGGTGAGCAGGGGAGGGGCGCAAGGGCGTGGCCAAAAAGATGGGGGAGGGGCTCTAACCTGAACCCCTCCCCCACCTGCCATCCCCTCCCCCAGCGCCGCCGGCGCCGCCGGAGGACGATGATGATGATGATGATGATGACGAAGGCTCCGAGGCCACCTCGGTGTCCTCGGGGGACAGCGGCGCCCCCTCCCCCACCGCCAACGGCTGCGCAGGTGCCGCCCCTCCCCCACCCATCGCTGGCTCCTCCCCCTGCTCTCATTGGCCCCTCCCCCACCTCTCATAGGCCCCTCCCCCACTCCTCATTGCTCCTCCCCCATCATTACCTCTCCCACCCCTCCCCCACTGTGGGGGTCACCCCTCACAGGCCCCTCCCCCACCTCTCACGCCCCTCCCCCCACAGGTGCCCGGCCCCGCCCACAGGGGGAGGAGCCTCGTCCCTTCCCGGAGCCGCCATGTGGGGGAGGGGCGGCCGAGCCCGGCGGCGCCGCCAGCAGCGGGGGAGGGGCGGGGGGTGGGGGAGGGGCCGGGGGCGGGGGAGGGGGAGGGGAGTGGCACCGCTGCCCCGAGTGCGGCCGCGCCTTCGGCACCTCGCGGGCGCTCAAGGTGCACCGCAGTTACCACGTGGGGCGCAAGCGGCCCCAGGCCGGGCCCCTCCCCCACCCTTCCCCTCCCCCGCCGCCCCCGCCCCTCCCCCACCACCCCTCCCCCTTCAAGTTCCACTACATCTGCGCCGAGTGCGGCCTCGGCTTCGCCGCCCCCGGCGCGCTCGGGGCCCACCGCTGCCACCGCGGCCGCCGCCGCCGCCGCCGCAGCCCCCCCGCCCCTCCCCCGCCGCCCCCTCCCCCTCCCGCCCCTCCCCCCCGCGCCGCCGCCGCCGCCCCTCCCCCCCCGTTCCGCTGCACCGAGTGCGCCGGAGCCTTCGGCCTCGTGGCGGAGCTGCACGAGCACTACATGCGCCACGCGCGCGGACAGCTCTGAGACACGCCCCGACACGGGACACGCCCCTTTTCGGCCAGGCCACGCCCCCTTTGCCGTGGGACACGCCCCTTTCTGGCCAGGCCACGCCCCCCGGGCTCCTCCCACTGATGGGGCGGGGCGGGAGGAGGAGGAAGTGATGTTGAAACAGGAAGTGATGTCGAAACAGGAAGTGATGTCGAAACAGGAAGTGATATCACGGACGGAGGGCTCCGCGTGGTTGATTTCGCGGGGGATGGGAGCGACGTCGCCGTCCTGACGTCATCGGGGTAACGGTATCGTGGTGACGTCATTAGGGTGATGGTATCGGGGTGACATCATCAGGGTGACGGTATTGCGGTGACGTCATCGGGGTAATGGTATTGTGGTGACGTCATCAGGGTAATGGTATCCCAGTGACGTCATCGGGGTGACGGCATAGTGCTGATGTCATCGGGGTAACGGTGTTGTGGTGACGTCATTGGTGTGACGTCATCGGAGTGACGTCATCGGAGTGACGTCATCCGCGCGGCGCCGTTGGGGCAGCGACATGGGGGGGTGACGTCATCGTTGTGACGTCATTGTTGTGACGCAATAGCGACATCATTGGGATGATGGAATCGCGGTGACGTCATCATCATGACGTCACGCGCTGCCGCCATTTTATTGGTGACGCCCATAAAGCCCCGCCCCCCATAAAGCCCCACCCCTCCCCTTTAAGCCCCGCCCCTCCCCTTTAAGCCCCGCCCCCCCAGGCCCCGCCCGTCAGAGCTCGCCCCGCGCGTGCCGGATGTAGTGCCGGTGCAGCGCCCCCTCGCGGGCGAAGCTCCGCCCACACTCGGTGCAGCTCAGGGGGGGCGGGGCCTGTGGGGCGGGGGGCGTGGCCGCGCGCGCAGGGGGCGGGGCCCGGCGGGGGGCGTGGCCGCGCTGGTGGCGCAGCAGGGCGGGGGAGGAGGCGAAGGCGCGGCCGCAGACGAAGCAGACGAAGAGCGCCCCCCGCAGGGCGGCGGCGGCGAAGGCGCGCGGGTGCTGCCGCTTGGCGTGGCGCGCCGCGAACGCCGCGTCCGGGAAGGTGATCAGGCAGCGGCCGCAGCGCCGCGAGCCCGGGCGGTCTGGGGAGGGGGATGGGACGGGGGTGACACCTCTGGGGGGCACAGGGACACGGGGACACCCTGGGGTGGCACAGGGACAGGGGTGACACCTCTGGGGACATTAGGGACACCCCTGGGGACTCTGGGGACACCCCTGGGCACTCTGGGGACAGCCTTGGGGACACTGGAGACAGGGGTGACACCTCTGGGGGGCACAGGGACACAGGGACACCCCTGGGGGCATTGGAGACACCCATGGGACAGCATTGGGGACACCCTGGGGACATTGGGGACAGCCTTGGGAAGCCCTGGGGACATTGGGGACACCCTGGGGACATTGGGGACACCCATGGGGGCATTGGGGACACCCTTGGGACACGCTTGTGGACATTGGGGACACCCTTGGGACACCCTGGGCACCCTTGGGGACACCCTGGGGACATTGGGGACACCCTTGGGACAGCCTTGGGGACACTGGGGACAGCCTTGGGGACACTCAGGACACTGGGAACACCCTGGGGACATTGGGGACACCCTGGGGACACCCCTGGGGACATTGGGGACACACTTGGGAGAGCCTTGGGGACACTGAGGACACTCTGGGCACCCTTGGGGACACCCTGGGGACATTGGTGACATCCTCAGGGACACCCTGGGAACACAAGTGGCACCCCTGGGACACACGGGAATACCCTGGGGTGGCACAGGGACATTTGGGACACCCTTGGGACAGCCTTGGGGACACGGGGACACCCTGGGGACATTGGGGACACCCATGGGACACCCCTGGGGACACTGGGGACACCCTTGGGGACACTGGGGACACACTGGGGACACCAAGGGACCCCTGGGTACAGGGGTGACACCCTGGGGACACTGGGGACACCCTTGGGACAGCCTTGGGGACACTGGGGACACACTGGGCACCCTTGGGGACACCCCTGGGGACTCTGCGGACAGCCTTGGGGACATTGGGGACACCCTGGGGACACCAAGGGACCCCCAGGGACATGAGTGACACCCTGGGGACACCCTTGGGACACTGGGGACAGGGGTGACACCCTGGGGATGGCACAGGGACACCCAAGGGACCCCATGGGGACACAAGTGACACCCTGGGGACACCCGCGCCGCCCCTCCCCCCCGCCCCTCCCCCACTCACACTCGAACCCCTCCTGCCCGGGGGGGCTCGCGGGGGCCCCTCCCCCCCTTTCCTCCTCCTCCTCCTCTTCCTCCTCCTCTTCCTCCCGCCGGGGGAGGGGGGAGGGGCGCGCCGGGGGCGGCGGCTGCGACATCCCTGGGGTGGGGGAGGGGAACGGGGGGAGGGGTCACGGGGGAGCCCAGAGACCCTCAGGACCCCCCAAATCCCCTCAGGACCCCCAAACCCCCCCCAGAGACCCCCAGAGACCCCCAGGACCTCCCCAGGACCCCCAAAATCCCCCCAGCCCCTCCCAGGACCCCCCAACCCCCCCCCAGACCCCCCCCCGCCGCCGCCCCTCCCCCCCAGCCCCTCACTCGCTGTCGCAGCCCCGGCGGCGACTTCCGGTGCGACCCCTCCCCCCTTTTTCGGAGATAACTTCCGGTTCCGGCCGTGCAGCGATTGGCTCCGCCCACTCAGAGCCGTGGTTTATCGGCGGTGACGTCAGCGCCGGCCAATGGGAGCAGGGGGCGGAGCTTGGAGCGGTTTGGCGCCCCCTGGCGGCGCGGGGCCCCAATGGAGACCAGTACAGACCAGTACAGACCAGTACAGACCAGTACGGGCCTGGGCACCTCCAGTTCCCGCCTAAACCCTGCCCAGTCCCTCCCAGTATAAACCAGTGGCCACAAATCCCCCCTTAACCCTCTCCCAGTCTCCCCCAGTTCCCTCCTAAACCCCTCCCAGTCCATCCCAGTATAAACCAGTAACCCCAAATCCCCCCTTAACCCTTTCCCAGTCCCTCCCAGTTGCTCCCAGTTTGTGCCAGTAGCTCCCAGTCCCTCCCAGTACCCCACAGTTCCCTCCCAGTACAAACCAGTAACCCCAAATCCCCGTTTAACCCTCTCCCAGTTCCTCCCAGTCCCCCCCAGTTCCCTCCTAAACCCCTCCCAGTCCCCCCCAGTTCCTCCCAGTCTCCCCCAGTTCCCTCCTAAACCCCTCCCAGTCCCCCCCAGTTCCCTCCTAAACACCCCCCAGTCCATCCCAGTACAAACCAGTAACCCCCAATCCCCGTTTAACCCTTTCCAGCCCCCCCAGTGCCCCCAGTCCATCCCAGTACGAACTGGGAATTTGTTTATTGCGTATCAAAGGCCATTAAAAGGTTATTTACAGCCACACCCACCGAGAGGGGGGAGGGCGTGGCCCAGCCAGGCCACGCCCACCCTCATACATTATTCATCGCCCCTCCCCCCTTTCCCACCCCCCCCCCAAATTGTGCGCGGGGGGGGGGGGTTACAGAGACGCCCCTCCCCCACTCCTCCCCTCCCCCACCCCTCATGGCTTTGAGCTTTTGGGGGACCCCGGGGCTGGGCCCCTCCCCCACCCCTGGGTGAGCCCCTCCCCCACCCCTGGGGGGGTCTGAGCCCCTCCCCCACCCCTGGGATGAGCCCCTCCCCCACCCCATGTTTAGGCCCCTCCCCCACCCCTGGGGGTGGGGCCACATGGGAGGGGGGAGGGGCTCATCTCAGAGGGGGCGTGGCTCCCTCCCCTCCCCCCTCTCCCCTCCCCCCAGAACATCCCCAAACTCCCCCTCCCCTCCCCCCCTTTCCAACCCCCCCCCTCCCCCTCAGGTGTTTCCCCTCCCCCCCCGCACGGGGGTGGGGGAGGGGTGTGGGTGTGCGCCCCTCCCCCGCCCCGCCCCGCCCCTCCCCCTCAGATGAAGAACTCCTCCTTGCGCTTGGCCCCCTCCCCCCCCAGGAAGGCCTCGCGCGCCTCCCCGTGCTCCTCCAGCCCGCTGGCCTCGTGCGTCAGGTACGAGCCTGGGGGGACAGGGGGGACATGGGGGTCAGCGGGGTCACGGGGGGCACTGGGGTCATTGGGGTCATGGGGGGCACTGGGGTCACGGGGTCAGAGGGGTCACAGGGGTCAGTGGGGTCAGTGGGGGATTTGGGACATTGGGGACATTGGGGTCACTCTGGGGATTGGGGACATTGGGGACAGTGGGGTCACTGGGGTCATTCTGGGGACTGGGGACATTGGGGACATTTGGGAAAAAACGGGAGAAATCTGGGGGGAAAATGGGATTCGGGACATCGGGGACATTCCAGGGGTTTGGGGACATTTGGGTCATTTTGGGTCATTTTGGGGATTGGGGACATTGGGGTCACTGGGACCATTCTGGGGACTGGGGACAGTAGGGACATTCCAGAGGTTTGAGGACATTTGGGTCATTTTGGGGATTGGGGACATTTGGGTCATTTTGAGTCATTTAGGGGACATTTTGAGGACATTTCAGGAACATTTCGGGACATTTAGGAACATTTTGGTCATTTTGGTCCCATTTGGGGACATTTTGGGACATTCTGGGGCCAGGCCCACCCCTCCCTCCCCACCCATCATTCCAAAGCCCCGCCCCCAGGGACACACCCACAAAAGCCCCTCCCCCACAACCACACCCATTTGTAAGCCCCTCCCCTCGAAATAAACCACAGCCCTTGATAAGCCCCGCCCCTCGAAATAAACCACACCGCTTGATAAACCCCGCCCCCAGAAATAAACCACACCCATTACTAAGCCCCGCCCCCAGAAATAAACCACACCCTTGATAAGCCACGCCCCCAGACATAAACCACACCCATTGCTAAGCCACGCCCTCAGAAATAAACTACACCCTTAATAAGCCCCACCCCAGACACGAAGCCCCGCCCCCCGCACAGGCCCCTCCCCCTTTTCCTCAGCCCCGCCCCCTTTAAAGCCCCCCCGCGCACCTTTCTGTCGCACGGAGCACCAGAGCAGCGCCCCGAGCAGCAGCAGCAGCAGGAACACCAGCAGCGCCAGGGCCCCGCCCACCACGGCGAACGGCCCCGCCCCCTGCGCCGCCACCACCGCCCCGGGGTCTGCGGGGGGGGGGCACTGAGCAGGTGTGCCCAGGTGTGCCCAGGTATCCCCAGGTGTGCCCAAGGTACCCCCAGGTGTGCCCCAGGTGTGCCCAGGTAGGCCCAAGGTACCCCCAGGTGTGCCCAGGTACACCCGGGTGTGCCCCAGGTGTGCCCCAGGTACCCCCAGGTGTGCCCCAGGTGTGCCCAGGTAGGCCCAAGGTACCCCCAGGTGTGCCCAGGTACACCCGGGTGTGCCCAGCTATGCCCAAGGTATCCCCAGGTGTGCCCCACCCACCCCCAGCTGCCCTCCCAGGTGTGCCCAACCCACGCCCACCCGCCCCAAGTGCCCCAGGTGCCCCCAGGTGCGCCCAGGTGTGCCCCAAGTGTTCCCCAGGTGTGCCCCCAACCACCCCCAGGTACCCCTACCCACCCCCAGGGGTGCCCTAGCCACCCGCACCCAGCCCCAGGTACCCCAGGTGCCTCCAGGTGTGCCCAGGTGTGCCCCAAGTGTTCCCCAGGTGTGCCCAACCCACCCCCAGGTGTGCCCAACCCACCCCCACCCACTCCAGATACACACAGGTGCCCCCCAGCCTCCCCCAGGTGTGTCCCAGGTGTGCCCCAGCCACCCCCAGGTGTGCCCCCAACTACCCCCAGGTGTGCTCCCCACCCCCCAGGTACCCCAGGTGCCCCCCCAGGTACCCCCAGGTGCCCCAGGTGCCCGGCACTGACCGTACACCACCAGCACGTAGGCGTCGGCGGCGCGGCCGTGGGCGTTGCCCACCTGGCAGGTGTAGGTGCCGTTGTCCTGCGGCGCCAGCGCCGGCAGCGTCAGCCGCTCGCCCTCGGCGCGCGCCCGCGGCGGCAGCGACTCGTTCCCGCGGCTCCAGGAGACCTCCGTGGGGCTGGGGGGTCACCTGGGCGTCACAGGTGTGCCAGGTGTGTGCCCAGGTGTGCCCAACCCCGCCCAGGTGTGCCAGAGCCCGCCCCACGCCCAGGTGTGCCCCCCCGGTTATCTGACACCGACTCATTCCCGCGGCTCCACAACACCTCCGTGGGGCTGGGGGGGTCACCTGGGCGTCATCAGGTGTGCCCAGGTGTGTGCCCAGGTGTGCCCAGGTGTGCCCAGGTGTGCTATAACTGCCCCAGGTGTGCCCCACCCATGCCCAGGTGTGCCCACCCCTGTGCCCAGATGTGCCCAGGTGTGCTATCACTGTCCCCAGGTGCCCCCAGGTGCCCCCAGGTGTGTGCCCAGGTGCCCCCAGGTGTGCCCAGGTGCCCCCAGGTGTGTGCCCAGGTCTGTTATAACTGTTCCCAGGTGCCCCCAGGTGCCCCCAGGTGTGCTATAACTGTCCCCAGGTGTGCCCAGGTGTGTTATAACTGTCCCCAGGTGCCCCCTGGTGTGCCCAGGTGTGCTATAACTGTCCCCAGGTGCCCCCAGGTGTGCCCCCAGGTGTCCCCAGGTGTGCTATAACTGCCCCCAGGTGTCCCCAGGTGCCCCCAGGTGCCCCCAGGTGTGCCCAGGTGCCCCCAGGTACCCCCACATGTGCCCAGGTGTGTGCACAGCTGTGCTCCAACTGCCCCCAGGTGTGCCCAGGTGTGCTCTAACTGCCCCCAGGTGTGCCCAGGTGTGCCCAGGTGTGCCCCCAGGTGTCCCCAGGTGTGCTATAACTGCCCCCAGGTGTGCCCAGGTGCCCCCAGGTGCCCCCAGGTGTGCCCAGGTGCCCCCAGGTACCCCCACATGTGCCCAGGTGTGTGCACAGCTGTGCTCCAACTGCCCCCAGGTGTGCCCAGGTGTGCTCTAACTGCCCCCAGGTGTGCCCAGGTGTGCCCAGGTGTGCCCCCAGGTGCCCCCAGGTGTGCTATAACTGCCCCCAGGTGTGCCCAGGTGTGCTATAACTGCCCCCAGGTGTGCCCAGGTGCGCCCAGGTGTGCTATAGCTGTCCCCAGGTGCCCCCAGGTGCCCCAGGTGTGTTATAACTGTCCCCAGGTGCCCCAGGTGTGCTATAACTGTCCCCAGGTGCCCCCAGGTGTGCCCAGGTGTGCCTAGGTGTGCTATCACTGTCCCCAGGTGTGCCCAGGTGCCCCCAGGTGTGCCGCTCACCGCGGGTTGCCGCTGACAGCGCAGGTGAGTACCAGGGTGTCACCTTGGCGCAGGACGCTCTGCGAGGGGTGGATGCGCGCCGAGGGCGGGTCTGGGGGGAGGGGACACCTGGTGACACCTGGGCACACCTGGGCACACCTGTGCCCAGTCCCCAGTCCCTCCCAGTCCCTCCCAGTCCCTCCCAGTATAAACCAGTAACCCCAAATCCCTCTTTAACACTCTCCCAGTCCCCCGCAGTCCTTCCCAGTCCATCCCACTACGTCCCAGTGCCCCCCAATCCCCCCCCAGTGCCTCCCAGTTCTGTCCCAGTATAAACCAGTAACCCCCAGACCCCATTTAACCCCTCCCAGTCCCTCCCAGTTTGTCCCAGTATCCCCCCATGCCTCCCAATCCCCTCCCAGTATAACCCAGTAACTCCAATTCCCCTTTAACCTTTCCCCAGTGCCCCCCCGGTCCCTCCCAGTCCCTCCCAGTATAAACCAGTGACCCCAAATCCCCCTTTAACCCTTTCCCAGTGCCCCCCCAGTCCCTCCCAGTGCCCCCCCAGCCCCTCCCAGTATCCTCCCAGTATAACCCAGTAACTCCAATCCCCCTTTAACCCTTTCCCAATCCCCTCCCAGTATAAACCAGTGACCCCAAATCCCCTTTAACCTTTTCCCAGTGCCCCCCCAGTCCCTCCCAGTCCCTCCCAGTACAAACCAGTAACTCCAATTCCCCTTTAACCCTTCCCCAGTCCCCCCCGAGTCCCTCCCAGTATAAACCAGTAACCCCACACCCCCTTTAGCCTTTTCCCAATGCCCCCCCAGTCCCTCCCAGTACAAACCAGTAACTCCAATTCCCCTTTAACCTTTCCCCAGTGCCCTCCCAGTCCCTCCCAGTACCCTCCCAGTATAAACCAGTATATCCCAGTCCCCGCAATCCCCTCCCAGTTCCCTCCCAGTCCCTCCCAATATAAACCAGTAACCACAAATCCCCTTTTAACCCTTTCCCAGCCCCTTGCAGGTCCCTCCGATCCCCTCCCAGTCCCTCCCAGTACAAACCAGTAACACCAAAACCCCCTTTAATGTCTTCCCAGTCCCTCCCAGTACAAACCAGTAACCCCAAACCCCCTTTAACCTTTCCCCAGCCCCCCCCAGTGCCCCCCAGTCCCTCCCAGTATAAACCAGTAACCACAAATCCCCCTTTAACCTTCCCCAATGTCCCCCCAGCCCCTCCCAGTATAAACCAGTAACTCCAATTCCCCTTTAACCCTTCCCCAGTTCCCTCCCAGTCCCTCCCAATATAAACCAGTAACCACAAATCCCCCTTTAACCCTTTCCCAGTCCCCCCCAATGCCCCCCCAGTCCCTCCCAGTACAAACCAGTAACTCCAATCCCCCTTTAACCCTTCCCCAGTATAACCCAGTCCCTCCCAGTATAACCCAGTATAACCCAGTGCTCACACTGCACGTCCAGCTGGAAGGGCGTCAGCCGCCGCTGCCCGCGGCCCAGGGCGGGGTGCGAGGCCTCGCAGGTGAGCACGGCGCCGTGGTCGCGCCGCTCCGGCCGCAGCCGCAGCACCGAGCGCTGCCAGAACACCTTTCCCTCCTGACGGTGGCTGCTGCGGCCTGCGGGGGGACAGGTGAGACAGGTGTGCCCAGGTGTGCCCCCAGGTGCCCCCAGGTGTGCCCAGGTGTGCCCAGGTGTGCCCAGGTGTGCCCCCAGGTGTGCTCCCAGCCCCTCCCCAGGTGTGCCCAGGTGTGCCCAGGTGAGACAGGTGTGCCCAGGTGTGCTCCCAGCCCCTCCCCAGGTGTGCCCAGGTGTGCCCAGGTGTATCCCCAGAACACCTTTCCCTCCTGACGGTGGCTGCTGCGGCCTGCAGGTGAGACAGGTGTGCCCAGGTGAGACAGGTGTGCCCCAGGTGTGCCCCCAGGTGTACCCCAGGTGCCCCCAGGTGCCCCAGGTGTGCCCCAGGTGTGCCCAGGTGAGACAGGTGTGCCCAGGTGTGCCCAGGTGTGCCCCCAGGTGTGCCCAGGTGTGCCCAAGTTCCCCAACATTTCACTTAAAACCCCCGTTTTCCTCAGTTTCCCCCCGTTTTGCCCTCCAGGTGTCCCCAGGTGTGCCCCCAGCCATGACCAGGTGTCCCCAGGTGCCCCCAGGTGTGTCCCCAGGTGTGCCCAGGTGCCCCCAGGTATTCCCAGCTGTCCCCTGGTGCCCCCAGGTGCGCCCAGGTGTGTCCCCAGGTGCCCCCAGGTGTGCCCAGCTGTCCACAGGTGTGTCCCAGGTGCCCCCAGGTGTGTCCCCAGCTGTCCCCAGGTGTGTCCCCAGGTGTCCCCAGGTGCGCTCACCTGGCAGCTCGCGGCGGTCGCGGTACCAGCGCAGCGTGGCCGGGGGCCGTGCCCGGGGCACCAGACAGGTGAGCTCCAGCTCCTCCCCCTCCACCGCCAGCGCCCCCGCCTGCACCAGCGGCGGCTCGGGGGGCACTGCGCGGGACAGGTGGGACACAGGTGGGACAGGTGGGACAGGTGGGACAGGTGGGACAGGTGGGACAGGTTAGACAAGACAGGTGGGACAGGTGGGTATGGACAGGTGGGACAGGTGGGACACAGACAGGTGGGACAGGACAGGTGAGATAGGTGGGGTATGGACAGGTGGGACAGGACAGGTGGGACAGGTGAGACAGGACAGGTGAGACAGGTGAGGTACGGACAGGTGAGGTATGGACAGGTGGGACAGGTGAGGTATGGAAAGGTGGGACAGGTGGGACAAGTGTGACAGGTGAGATATGGACAGGTGAGAGATACAGGTGGGACAGGTGAGATGGGACAGGGGCAGGTGGGACAGGTGGGACAGAACCAGGTGATCCAGGTGATGCAGGTGACATCCAGATGACACGGGTGACATCCAGGTGAGCCAGGTGATCCAGGTGAGCCAGGTAACAGCAGGGTGACACAGGTGACACGGAAGGACAAGAGACACAAGAACAGAGAGGTGAGGGCACAAAGGGACAGGTGCCAGCAGGTGTGGCACCTGTGCCCAGGTGTGCCCAGGTGCGCCAAAACCCCCCAAAATCCCCATTTTTCACCCGATTTTCACCGTGTTTTGTTTGTTCTCCCCCCCAGGTGCCCCAGGTGACCCAAAATCCCCATTTTTCACCCGATTTTCACCGTGTTTGTTTTGTTTCTCCCCCCCAGGTGCCCCAGGTGACCCCAAATCGCCATTTTTCACCCGATTTTCACCGTGTTTGTTTTGTCCTGCCCCCCAGGTGAGCCCCAAATCCCCATTTTTCACCCGGTTTTCACCGTGTTTTTTTTGTTTTACCCCCCCAGGTGCCCCAGGTGAGCCCCAAATCCCCATTTTTCACCCGATTTTCACCGTGTTTGTTTTGTTTTTCCCCCCCAGGTGCCCCAGGTGCCCCAGGTGACCCCAAATCCCCATTTTTCACCCGATTTTCACCGTGTTTCTTTTGTTTTACCCCCCCAGGTGCCCCAGGTGTGCCCAAAATCCCCATTTTTCACCCGATTTTCACCGTGTTTGTTTTGTTCTCCCCCCCAGGTGCCCAGGTGAGCCCCAAATCCCCATTTTTCACCCGATTTTCACCGTGTTTGTTTTGTTTTTCCCCCCCAGGTGCCCCAGGTGCCCCAGGTGACCCCGAATTGCCATTTTTCACCCGATTTTCACCGTGTTTTGTTTGTTCTCCCCTCCAGGTGCCCCAGGTGACCCAGAATCCCCATTTTTCACCCAATTTTCACTGTGTTTTTTCTGTTCTCCCCCCCAGGTGCCCAGGTGACCCACCCAGCACGGTCAGCGTGGCGATCTGGTGGTGGGTGTCGTCGGCGTACAGCTGGCAGAAGTAGCCGCCCTCGTCGTCCAGCCGGGCCCGCGCCAGGCGCAGCCGCAGCCGCCGCCGGCTGAACTCGGCCAGCTCGAACCGCTCGTCCTTCAGCGCTGCGGACACGGGGGTCACGGGGTCACCCAGGGGGTCAGGGGGTCACCCATGGGGTCACAGGGTCACCCATGGGGTCACGGGGGCACCCACGGGGTCACAGGGTCACCCACAGGGTCACCCATGGTCACCCCCAGCTCGAAGCGCTCGTCCTTCAGCGCTGCGGACACGGGGGCACCGGGGGTCAGGGGGTCACCCAGGGGGTCAGGGGGTCACCCAGGGGGTCAGGGGGTCACCCACGGGGTCACAGGGTCACCCACAGGGTCACAGGGTCACCTGGGGGCCACAGGGGCACCCACAGGGTCACAGGGTCACCCACGGGGTCACAGGGGCACCCACAGGGTCACCCACGGGGGGTCACGGGGTTACCCAGGGGGTCACGGGGTCACCCACAGGGTCACAGGGTTACCCACAGGGTTACCCATGGGGTCACAGGGTCATGGTGGCACCCATTGGGTCGTCAGGGGGTCACAGGGTCACCCATGGGGTCACAGGGTCACTCCCCCAATGTCCCAAATTTCTCCAATGTCCCCAATGTCCCCAATCCCATTTTTCTCTATTTTCCCCCATTTTTTCCCAATGTCCCCAATCCCCCAGGGTCCCCAATGTCCCTCAGTGTCCCCGCTGTCCCCTCACCGCGGGTGCCGTTGAAGAAGAGCGTCTGCCGGGCGGGGTTCAATGTCCCCAATGTCCCCAATCCCATTTTTCTCTATTTTCCCCCATTTTTTCCCAATGTCCCCTCAATGTCCCCAATGTCCCCAATGTCCCCTCAATGTCCCCTCGATGTCCCCAGTGTCCCCTCACCGCGGGTGCCGTTGAAGAAGAGCGTCTGCCGCGCGGGGTTCAATGTCCCCAGTCCCATTTTTCTCTATTTTTCCCCATTTTTCCCCATGTCCCCCCAGTGTCCCCAATGTCCCTGATGTCCCCAATGTCCCCTCGATGTCCCCTCACCGCGGGTGCCGTTGAAGAAGAGCGTCTGCCGCGCGGGGTTCTGGATGACGACGATGGAGCCGTCGTACCTGTGCAGGTGACAGGTGATCTCGGCCGTGCCCCCCTCCAGCACCGTCACGTTCTCGGCCTGCACCTCCTGCGCCCGCCCTGGGGACAAGGGGACAAGGGGACACCGTGGGACACCAGGGACACAGGGGACACCATGGGACAGGGACAGCACCGGGGACATCAGGGACACCGTGGGGACAATGTGGGACACCGTGGGACAGGGATGGCACCAGGGACACCGGGGACACCGGGGACAGCGTGGGACAGGAACAGCACTGGGGACATCGAGGACACCGTGGGGACACCGTGGGACAGGGGACACCCACAGGGACAGGGGACACCGGGGACACCGTGGGACACCACTGTCACCACGGGTCACCATGGGGACAGCAGGGACACCCAGGGGACACCCAGGGGACACCCACAGGGACAGGGGAACCAGGGACACCCAGGAGACACCCAGGGGACACCGCTGTCACCACAGGGACAGGGGACACCATGGGGACAGCAGGGACACTGGGACACTGTGGGGACACCATGGGGACAGGGGACACCGTGGGACAGGGGACACCATGGAGACAGCAGGGACACCCAGGGGACACCCACAGGGACAGGGGAACCAGGGACACCCAGGGGACACCGCTGTCACCACAGGACAGGGGACACCAGGGGGACACCAGGGGGACAGCAGGGACACCCACAGGGACAGGGGACACCCACAGGGACAGGGGACACCATGGGGACAGCAGGGACACTGGGACACCGTGGGGACAGGGGACACCCAGGGGAAACCCAGGGGACACCCACAGGGACAGGGGAACCAGGGACACGCAGGGGACACCGCTGTCACCACAGGACAGGGGACACCAGGGGGACAGCAGGGACACCGTGGGGACACTGTGGGACAGGGGACACCCACAGGGACAGGGGGGACACCCAGGGGATGCCAGGGGACACCCACAGGTCACCAGGGGGAGAGGGGACACTGGGGACACCATGGGGACACAGCAGGGACACCGCTGTCACCACGGGGACACCCTGGGGACAGCAGCAGACAGCATGGGGACAGCAGGGACACTGGGGACACCCAGGGGTCACCATGGGGACAGGGGACACCACAGGGACAGGGGACACCAGGGGACACCACGGGGACAGCAGGACACTGGGGACATTGTGGGGACAGCACTGTCACCGTGGGGACAGGGGACACCCAGGGGTCACCGTGAGGGACAGGGGACACCACAGGGTCACTGGGGGGACAGGGGACACGGCACAGGTCACCGTGAGGGACAGGGGACACCCACACACAGCCAGGGACACGGGACAGGGGGACACTGACAGGGTGACATGGGTGACACAGGGTGACACTGTGACATGGTGACATAGTGGCAGAGTGACAAGGGTGACAAGGGTGACACAGGGACAGGGTGACACTGACAGGGTGACATGACAGGGTGACAGGGTGACAAGGGTGACATGGGTGACACAGGGACAGGGTGACAAGGGTGACATGGGTGACACAGGGACAGGGTGACACTGACAGGGTGACAAGGGTGACACGGGTGACACAGGGACAGGGTGACACTGACAGGGTGACATGACAGGGTGACAGGGTGACAAGGGTGACACGGGTGACACAGGGACAGGGTGACAGCATCCCTGGGGTGCTGGGGACATTTGGGGACACTGCCAGCAGGGCCACCCAAACCGAGGGGACAGAAGGACAGAGGGACAGGGGACAGTGGCACAGAGTGACGGGGACATCAGAACTGGGGGTTTGGGGACATCAGGATGGTGGCACCAAGGGACAATGACAACACTGGGGACAGTGACAGCACTGGGGACACCAAACAGGGGGTTGGGGACATTGGGGACACCAGGATGGTGGCACTGGGGACAGTGACAACACTGGGGACACCAAAACTGGGGGTTGAGGACATTGGGGACACCAGGACGGTGCCACCACCACCGGGATGCCACCGCCGCGATGTCCCCAACAGCCGTGACACCAGGGGGGGAGGGGGGTCCCCAAATGTCCCCTCCTGTCCCCTCCGGTTGCCGTGACAACGGCGGGGGTGACACCGAGGGGGGGTTGGGGACACTGGGGGGGGGTTGGTGACACCAAGAGGGGGTTGGTGACACTGAGGGGGGTTGGTGACACCGAGGGGGGGTTGGGGACACTGGGGGGGGTTGGTGACACCGGGGGGGGGTTGGGGACACCGAGGGGGGGTTGGGGACACCGAGGGGGGGTTGGGGACACCGAGGGGGGGTTGGGGACACGGAGGGGGGGTTGGGGACACCGAGGGGGGGGGGGGTTGGGGGCACCGCGTTTTGCTGTGTCAGCACAATCCCCCCGCCCCCCCCAAGGTCGCCACCGCGCCAAGGTCACCGTGTCCCCAAGGGTGGGGGAGGGGAGGGGACAATGGGGGGGACACGCGGGGACAATGGGGGGGTGGGGGAGGGGACAATGGCCCTTTGAGTGTCACCCACGGCCGGTGGCGCCTGGCACTGAGGGGGGGGAGGGGGGAGGGGACACACTGGGGGTGTCACCGGAGGGGGGGAGGGGAGGGGACAATGTGACAATGATGTGACAGAGACACCCCCCCCCATCCCCTCCCCCACCCCCCCAGTGAGGGTTTGGGGCTCGGGGTGCGCTGAAATGTCCCCAAATGTCACCAAATGTCACCCCCCAGGGTGGGTTTGGGGATATTTGGGGACATTTTGGGGACTTGGGGGGGGCATAGTGTCCCCAAAATCTGGGGGGACGGACAAAGGTGACCAAAACACCCTAAAAAAGGGGGGGGGGGGACACCCAGAGGGGGGGAGGGGACACGGGGAGGGGGAGGGGACACAAAGTGGAGGGGGGGGGACACCGCAGCGGTGGGGGGAGGGGCTGCGGCAGCGAGCGCGGCGGATTTTGGGGAGGGGGCGATGCGGGGGATTTTTGGGGGGGGGGGTTTGGGGCGGGGAGGGGTCGCGGGGTATTTTTGGGGGGATTTTTTGGGGGGGTTTTTGGGCGGTTTTTTGGGGTTTTTTTGCGGATTTTTTTTGCGGTTTTTTTGGGGGGTTTTGGGGGGGGTGTGAGGGGTTTTGGGGAGGGGTCGCGGGTCGGGGGGGGGTCGCACTGACCGTGTCCGGCGGCCCAGAGCAGCAGCAGCCCCGGCAGCAGCGCGGGGGGGGCGCGGGGGGGGGGGCTGCATGGCGGCCGAGCCTCCGCCGCTGCCGCCGCCGCTCTCCCCACCTGCCGGGCCCGCGGGTAATGAGATGCTAATGAGATGCTAATGAGATGCGGGGGGTGGGGGGGAGGAAGGGGGCCGGGCCAATGGGGAGGAGGAGGAGGAGAAGGAAGAGGAGGAAGGGGGGGGGTTGGAGATTTTTGGAGGGGGGTGGGAAAAGGGAAGGGGGTTTGGGGGGGTCTGGGGAAATTTGGGAGGATTTGGGAGGGATTTAGGGAATTTTGGGGGGGTTTGGGGAGATTTGGGGGGTCTGGGGGGGCTTGGGGAAGCCCCGCGTGGGGATTTGGGGGAATTTTGGGGAGGATTTTGGGGGATCTGGGGGGGATTTGCGGGGATTTTGGGGGGTTTCGGGGGATTGAGGAGGATTTGGGGGGGATTTGGGGGGAGTCTGGGGGATTTTGGGGGTGTTTGGGGGGATTTTGGGGGGGTTGTGGAGGATTTGGGGGGATTTGGGGGAGAATTTTGGGGGATTTGTGGGTTCTGGGAGGGATTTGGGGACCCCCAGATGGAATATGGGAGACCCCAAATTTGGACAGGGACCCCAAATTTGGACAGGGACCCCCCAAAATGGAACGGGGACCCCCCAAAATGGAACGGGGACCCCCCCAAAATGGAACGGGGACCCCCCAAAATTGAACGGGGACCCTCCAGAATTGAACGGGGACCCCCCAGAATTGAACGGGGACCCCCCAGAATGGAACAGGGACCCCCCAGAATGGAGCGGGGACCCCCCAAAAGCGGGTCCCTGCCCCCCCGGTGGCCGCGGGTGGCGCTGGCGCGGTGACACCGGGTTGGGGGGGGGGTTTGGTGACCGTTCCCATGGCAACCGGGCCCCCCCCCACCCCCCCGGGCCGAACAAAGGCGGCTCAGAGCGGGAACAGCGCGGCCATTCAGGGCCGGGCTTTGGGGGGGTCCCGGGGGGGCTTCGGGGGTCCTGGGGGGGGTTTGGGGGGGTCCCGAGGGGGTTTGGGGTGTCCCGAGGGGGTCCCGGGGGGTCCCGAGGGGCTTTGGGGGGGTCCCGGGGGGGCTTCGGGGGTCCTGGGAGGGTTTTGGGGGGGTCCCGAGGGGGTTTGGGGGGATCCCGAGGGGGTTTTGGGGGTCCCGAGGGGGTCCTGGGGGGTCCCGAGGGGCTTTGGGGGGGTCCCGGGGGGGCTTCGGGGGTCCTGGGAGGGTTTTGGGGGGGTCCCGAGGGGGTTTGGGGGGGTCCCGGGGGGGCTTCGGGGGTCCTGGGAGGGTTTTGGGGGGGTCCCGAGGGGGTTTTGGGTGTCCCGAGGGGGTCCCGGGGGGGTTTTGGGGGGATCCCGAGGGGGTTTGGGGTGTCCTGGGGGGGTTTTGGGGAGGTCCCGGGGGGGCTTGGGGGGTCCCGAGGGGGTCCTGGGGGTCCTGAGGGGGTTTTGGGGGAGTCCCGAGGGGTCCTGGGCAGATCCCGGGGCAGTTTTGGGGGGTCTGGGGGAGTGGTGGAGGGGTTTTGGGGGTTCATGAGGGCTTTTGGGGGGTCCTGGGGGGGTTTGGGGGAGTCTTGGGGGGTCCCAGGGGGGTTTTGGGGGGTCCCAGGGATAAAGTGGGGGGAAATGGGGATACAATGGGGAAAAAGGGGGGAAAATGTGGGGTAAAATGGGGGGAAATGGGGTAAAATGGGAATAAAGTGGGGTAAAATGAGGAAAAGGGGGCAAAATTGGGAAAAGAGAGGTGAAATGGGGTAAAATAGGGAGAAATTGGGATGAAGTTGGGAGAAATTGGGATGAAGTTGGGAGAAATGGGGATAAAGGGAGGTACAATGAGGAAGAGGAGGGTAACATGGGGATAAAGTGGGGTAAAATGGGAAAAAATGGGATAAAAGTTGGATAAACTGGGGTTAAATGGTGATAGAGTGGGGGAAATGAGGAAAAGGGGGTTAAGATTGGGATAAAATGGGGATAAACTGGGTTAAAATTGCGATAAACTGGTTTAAATGGGATTAAAGTGGCCTAAAGGGGACCAAAGCAGGGCTAAATGGGATAAAATGGGGTTTAAAAGGGGAAAAATTGCATTAAAAAGGGGGAAAATGGGACAAAAAGGGGCTGAAATGGCCAGAATGGGGCTAAATAAAACCAAACTGGGGTCAAGCAGGGAGAAAATGAGGCCAAAATGGCCAAAAAGGGGCTGGAATGGCCAAAATGGACCAAACTGGGAACAAATTTGGGAAAAATGGGCCAAAACACGGCTTGAATTGCCAAGATATGGGTGAACGGGGACGATACACAACTTAAATGTTCCAAATGGGCCTAAATAGGGCTAAAATTGGGCTAAACTGAGCCAAATTTGGGCTAAACCCAAGGGTTTGGGGACACAGGGACTGAAGCGTTGGGGACAAAGCCACGCAATGGAGACAAGCCACAAACTCAGCCCCACTGCACCTCCAATTTCTGCATTTTTATCCCCAAACTCCGTGGCCGGGGGATGAGTTGGGTCCCTGCCGAAGCTCTTTGGCGGGATGACAGCGGAAGAATCCCGGAGGATGATGAAGATGAAGATGAAGATGAAGGCTCCTTTCCCCCTGAGGGGATCCCGGCTGAGGGAGCAGGGCGGGAACAGCAGAACCGGTCCGGCGGGAGGTGGTGACACCTTTGGGAGGTGGTGACACCTTTGGGGAGGTGGTGTCACCTTTGGGGAGGTGGTGACACCTTTGGGAGGTGGTGACACCTTTGGGGAGGTGGTGTCACCTTTTGGGGAGGTGGTGACACCCTCAGGAGCTGCCTCACCCTGGACTCACCCACCACAGGGCGTGTGAGGTGTGACCCACCTCTCCCTCAACCTGAGGGCAAACCCACCCGGGGCGCGCTCAAACCGCTGCCGGGAGCCCCGGAGAGCGTAGCGGCCACCCTCAGCGGTGTGTCAAGGCGGGTAGGAGGCGGCAGGAGCGGGGATTCAGCCGCTGTGACCGGGTTTGGAGCCGCCGCCGCCTTTCCCTGAGGCGCCGCTTACGAAATGGCGGCCGCTCCCTCCGCGATTTTCCCGCCCTTTTCCTCGGCCCCGTCCCCCCCGCCCAACCGACCAATCAGAGGCCGCCGTTACCCCCTCGGCCCCGCCCCCTTCCGCAGTCCCTGAGGGCAGCGGCGGCGCCGTGAGGGGAAAAAAGGGAAAAACGTCGATTTCTGAGGTAAAAATCGGCGGTTTTGGGGCCGAAAGGTGTTTTTTAACGGAAATCTATCATCCTCTGAGGCAAACCCTTTTTTTTTACTGAGGAAAAACCTGATTTTCACTGATTCTGTGAGGTGGCAAACCCATCTTTAATGAAAGCCTGATTTTCACTAATCCCATGAGGTAAAAATCACCAGATTTAGGAGCAAAATGTATTTTTTTTACACAAAACAGTCATTTTCTGAGGCAGTCCCCTTTTTTTAATGAGGGAAAACCTGATTCCGTGAGGTAAAAATCACCGATTTTGGGACCAAAATGTGTTTTTTAATAGAAAACCATCATTTTCTGAGGCAAATTCCTTTTTTACTGAGGAAAAACCTGATTTTCACTAATTCTGTGAGGAAAAAATCACATTTCTGAGGGGAAATTTTAAGGCCCATTCACCTGTAACACTTGCTGCTAAAAATTGACTCTTTTGGACAAAATTGGCTCCTCTTCTCGTTGCAATTTTTTTGCTCTTTTTGCTGCAATTTTTTTTGCTCTTTTTGCTGCAATTTTTTTCAAATTTCTGTTCTTTTCACTGCATTTTTTTTTTCTCAGTGCAGCTTCTCCCACAAATTCAGGATTTCTCCTCCCATTTTGGGGCACTTTTCAGCACTTGCCCCCGTCCCCATTTAAACAATTTTGGGTGTTTTTTCCTCAAAAAAACACTCAAATTTTGAAGGGTGAAATGATTTATTGGCTCCTTCAGTGCTTCTTGCTGGCAGCGGCAACCTGGGGGATGAAAAATGGGGGAAAATTGGTTAAAATGGGCCAAAATCACCCAAATTTGAGGTAAAATTTGGGGAAATTGGTTAAAATGGGCCAAATTCACCTGAATTTGAGGTGAAATTTTGGGAAACTGGGGATTTACCTGCCCAGCGATGCGATCCAGGTCCCGCTGCCCCTGCGGAGTCAGCTTGCGGCCCCTGGGCGGGGAAAAATAGGGAAAAATGGGGGGGAAATGGGAAAAAATGGGGGAAAGATAAGGGAAAGGGTGAAAATGAGGGGAAAGTGGAGAAAAAATAGCGGGAAAGGGTAAAAATGGGAAAATGGCATAAAGGATTAAAAGGGCAAAAAATGGGATAATAATGGGATGAAAATGGCAAAAATGGAGTAAAAAAGGTAAAAATTGGATAAAAATGGGGTAAAATCAGCAAAAACTCAAAGGAAACAACCAAAACCACCCAAAAGAGCCCACCCAACACACACCCAAACCCCATAAACCAAAACCCCAAAATCCTTGTTTTTCACCCAAAACGGACCCAAAATCCCAGTTTTTCACCCCAAAATCCCCATTTTTCTCCCCAAACTGACCCGTCCTGGTCCTTCTCCACCACCTTGAGCTCCTCTAGCTGGGGCTGGACCCCATGAACCAAAACCCCCCAAATCCCCATTTTTCACCCCAAAATCCTGACTTTTCACTCAAAACCCCTGTTTTTTTTTTAAAGAAACCAATTTTTTCACCCCAAAACCCCCGTTTTTTTACAAAATTCCTGTTTTTCAGCCGAGGCTGACCTGTCCTGGTCCTTCTCCACCACCTTGAGTTCCTCTAGCTGGGGCTGGACCCCATAAACCAAAACCCCCCAAATCCCATTTTTTCACTCCAAACTGCCCCTAAATCCTGATTTTTCACCCCAAAATCCCCGTTTTTTTACAAAATTCCTGTTTTTCTGCCCAGGCTGACCTGTCCTGGTCCTTCTCCACCACCTTGAGCTCCTCTAGCTGGGGCTGGACCCCATGAACCAAAACCCCCCAAACTGCCCATTTTTCCACTTCAAAACCCCCATTTTTTTCCCAAAATCCTAGTTTTTCGTCCCAAAACATGTTTTTTCCCAAAACGCCCATTTTTCAGCCCAGGCTGACCAGTCCTGGTCATTCTCCACCACCTTGAGTTCCTCTAGCTGGGGCTGGACCCCATGAACCAAAACCCCCCAAATCCCCATTTTTACACTTCAAAACCCCCGTTTTTTTCCCAAAATCCTAATTTTTCGCCCCAAAACACGTTTTTTTCCCAAACCGCCCGTTTTTCATCCCGGACTGACCCGTCCTGGTCCTTCTCCACCACCTTCAGCTCCTCTAGCTGGGGCTGGACCCCATAAACCAAAACCCCCAAAATCCCACTTTTTCACCTCAAACTGCCCCAAAACCACCAAAATGCCCATTTTTCACCCAAAATGCCCGTTTTTCATCCCGGACTGACCCGTCCTGGTCCTTCTCCACCACCTTGAGTGCCTCCAGCACGTGCTGAGGACCAGACTTCATAAACCCAAACCCCCCAAAATCCCACTTTTTCACCTCAAACTGCCCCAAAACCACCAAAATGCCCATTTTTCACCCAAAGTGACCCAAAACACCCGTTTTTCAGCCCGGACTGACCCGTCCTGGTCCTTCTCCACCACCTTGAGCTCCTCTAGCTGGGGCTGGACCCCATGAACCAAAACCCCCCAAAATCCCACTTTTTCACCTCAAACTGCCCCAAAACCACCAAAACGCCCATTTTTCACCCAAAAGCCTGTTTTTGAGCCCGGACTGACCCGTCCTGGTCCTTCTCCACCACCTTGAGCGCCTCCAGGGCCTGCAGGACCCTCCTGGCCACGGCGCCGGAGCCGCGGCTGAAGTGGCTGGGCCGGACGCCGCGGCGCTGCCGGCCCCCGTACACCTTGGCCATGGAGCCCACGCCCGCCCCGCCCCGCAGGTACAGGTGCCGGGCTGTGGAGGCTGCGGGGCAGGTGGGGGACAGGTGAGGGACAGGTGAGACCCCCAGGTAAAGGGAGAGACCCCCAGGTAATCACTGACCCCGCCCCGCCCCGCAGGTACAGGTGCCGGGCTGTGGAGGCTGCGGGGCAGGGGAGGGACAGGTGAGACCCCCGGGTAATCACAGATCCCGCCCCGCCCCGTGGAGGCTGCAGGGCAGGGGAGGGACAGGTGAGACCCCCATGGGACAGGTGAGGGACAGGTGAGGGACCCCCAGGATAACAGGACAGGTGAGACCACCAGGATAATGGGACAGGTGAGGGACAGGTGAGAGAACCCCGGGACAGGTGAGGGACCCCCAGGTAAAAGGAGAGACCCCCAGGATAATGGGACAGGTGAGGGACAAGTGAGGGACCCCCAGGATAACGGGACAGGTGAGGGACCCCTGGGACAGGTGAGACACCCCTGAGACAGGTGAGACTCCCCAGGTAATGGCAGACACCCTTGGGACATATGAGACCCCCCCCAGACACGTGGGAGAGGTGAGGGACCCCCGGGACAGGTGAGACCCCCCCCCCAGGACAGGTGAGACCCCCATGGGACAGGTGAGGGACCCCTGGGACAGGTGAGAGACCCCCATGGGACAGGTGAGGGACCCCTGAGACAGGTGAGGGACCCCCAAGATAAGAAAAGAGACTCCCGGGATAACGGGACAGGTGAGGGACAGGTGAGAGACCCCCGGGACAGGTAAGGGACCCCTGGGACAGGTGAGACCCCTAGGTAAAGGGAGGGACCCCCCCAGGATAATGGGGCAGGTGAGGGACCCCCGGGACAATGGGACAGGTGAGGGACAGGTGAGGGACCCCTGGGACAGGTGAGACCCCCGGGATAACCGGAGGGACCCGGTACCGGCCCCGGGGGAGTTCGGTATCCCGGTACCGGCCCCGGTCGGTCCGGTATCCCGGTACCGGGTGCTGCTCTGACCTGCCCGCGTGTAGAACCAGTTCTCGTCGTACGGCGCCAGCTCCTTGTGCTTGGCCAACTTCACCGTGTCCGCCCAGTCCGGCACCTTCAGCTTACCGGACCTGCACCGGGAACCGGGAACCGGGAGTGGGAACGGGAACCGGGAACGGGAACCGGGAACGGAACCGGGATGGGAACAAGAACCGGGACACGAATGGGGAACGGGAAACCGGGGATGGAACCGGGAGCGGCACCAGCACCGCCCGAGCCGCACCGCCCCACCGCTGAGCCCCTCCGCGCCTTCCCCGGTTCCTCCCGGTCCCTCCCGGTCCCTCCCGGTTCCCGCCGGTCCCGCTCACTTCTTCAGGAACGCCGCCAGCGCCCTGACGAACTCCTGCTGGTTCACGTCCTTCACCGTCACGCCGGGCATCTGCGGGGACACGCGGGGGGTCACTCCCAGCCCGGTTTTCCCGTTTTTTCCCGTTTTTCCCCCGTTTTTCCCCGTTTTTCCCGGCCCCGCTCCCGCCCCGACCTCGCCGCCGCCGCCGCCGCCGCCGGAAGAGGCCGAGCACGGGGCCGCCCGCGCAGCCAGCAGGGGCAAACCTCGCGAGACTCCCCCGCAGCCAATCAGCGCCGGCGAGATGACGCGCCGGCCAATCAGCGGGGAGATGGGCGGGGCGTCGAGTGGGTGGTGCGCCCCCCCGTGTTGGGAATGGTTCGGTCCGCCTGGCCACGCCCCCCAGAGGAACGGCGGCTTCTGATTGGTGGAGCCGTTATGGAGGCTCCGCCCACCAGGGGGTCCCAAAATGTCCCCAAAGTGTCTCAAAATTACCCAAAATGTCCCCAAATGTCCCCAAGGTCCCCTGGGACACCCCAAAGTGTCCCCAGGGTGTCCCAATGTCCCCCTGGTGTCCCCAAAGTGTCTCCAATGTCCCCGGGACACCCCAAAGTGTCCCCAAAGTGTCCCAGGGACCCCCCCAATGTCACCTCAGTGTCCCCAAAGTGTCCCCAATGTCCCAGGACATGCCCGGGACTGTCCCCAGAGTGTCCCAGTGACTCTTGTGAGGTGTCCCCAGTGTCCCTGTGCCACCCCGGGATGTCCCATCAGTGTCCCTAAGGTGTCCCTGTGCCACCCCCAGGGTGCCTTAGTGTCCCCGTGACCCCACAGGGGTGTCCCCAATGTCCCCAAGGTGTCCCCATGACCCCACGGGGGTGTCCCCAATGTCCCCAAGGTGTCCCCATGACCCCACAGGGGTGTCCCCAATGTCCCCATGACCCCACAGGGGTGTCCCCAATGTCCCCATGACCCCCCAGGGGTGTTCCCAAGGTGTCCCCAATGTCCCCAAGGTGTCCCCATGACCCCCCAGGGGTGTCCCCAATGTCCCCAAGGTGTCCCCATGACCCCCCAGGGGTGTCCCCAAACTGTCCCCAATGTCCCCAAGGTGTCCCCATGACCCCACAGGGTGTCCCCAATGTCCCCAATTTCCCCATGACCCCACAGGGGTGTCCCCAATGTCCCCAAGGTGTCCCCAGGTGCTGTCCCCTCCCTGTCCCCTTTAAGAAGGGGGCGTGTCCCCCTGCCCCAAACCCCGCCCCTCCCCTCCAGCCAATCACGGACGGCGACACAAACGAGGGGCGGAGCTCCAAAGATTCCCATTTGTTAAAACGGTCACGTGACCCCGCCCGGCCCCGCCCACCCGAGGGAAAAGGGGGAGGAGCCACCCAAAAAAGGGGCGTGGCCAGGGAGGGCTCAGCGCGCCCCGCCCCCGCCCGCGGGGGGCGAGGGGGGCGTGGCCTCGGCGGAGGGGGCGGGGTCAGAGCAGGAGGAGGGCGCGGGGGGCGGGGCCGCGGGGGGCGGGGCCTCGGCCGAGGGGGCGGGGCCGTCGGGCTCGGTGGGCGGGGCCGGGTCGGTGGGCGTGGCCGCCTGCATGATCTTCTGGCGCACCTCGCGGATCTTGAGCTGCAGGCAGAGCTTGGTGGGGAAAATGTCCGCGAAGCGCGCCTGGAACGCCGCCGTGGCCTGGGCTGGGGACAGTTCGGGACGTTTGGGGACAGTTCAGGGACAGCTCGGGGCGTTTGGGGACAGTTCAGGGACAGAGGGACACAGGGACAGGCAGAGCTTGGTGGGGAAAATGTCCGCAAAGCGCGCCTGGAACGCCGCCGTGGCCTGGGCTGGGGGTGGGGACAGGTCAGGGACAGCTCAGGGACAGTTTGGGGCAGTTTGGGGTGTTTGGGGACAGTTCGGGGTGTTTGGGGACAACCCGGGACAATTTAGCGACACTTATGGGACATCTGGGGACCATTCAGGGACAGTCAGGGACATTTGGGGACAATTTAGGAACATTTGGGGACAATTTGGGAATAATTCAGGACGTTTTGGGACAATTTAGGAACATTTGGGGACAGCCCGGGACAATTTAGCGACACTCAGGGGACATCTGGGGACCATTCAGGGACAGTCAGGGACATTTGGGGACAATTTAAGGACATTTGGGGCAATTCGGGGACATTTAGGGGAAGCTGGGGACACTCGGGGACATTTGGGGACATTTCAGAACGATTTCAGGACAATTTTGGGATAATTTTGGGGTGATTTTTGGGGTGTTTCAGACTAATTTCAAGCTGATTTTGGGGCTGATTTTTGGTGTGATTTCAGGGTGACTTTGGGCTGATTTTGGGCCGATTTCGGGGTGACTTTGGGGCCGATTTCGGGCTGATTTTGGGGTAATTTCAGGCCGATTTCGGGGTGACTTGGGGCCGATTTCGGGGTGATTTTGGGCTGATTTTGAGGCTGATTTCGGGCCGATTTTGGGCTGATTTTTTGTGTGATTTCAGGCTGATTTTGGGCCGATTTCGGGGTGACTTTGGGCTCACCCGAGGGGAAGAAGCCGTGCTCCTGGAAGAGCTGCATGACGAGGGCGCGGCGCTGGTCCAGCGTGCGCCGCAGCGACGAGAACGGCACTTTGTCGTACTCCAGCTCCCCCAGCACGTCCTCGCCCTCCCCCCCTGCGCCACGGGGGGTCAGGGGGGCCCCGAAACCGGGACCACCCCCGGCCCCTCCCCCGCTCCGGGACCCCGGAACGGCCCCGAGGTACAGACACCCCAAAACCGGCTGGGCCAACCCCAAATCCCGCCACAAACCCGAATTTTGGGGTCCCCCAACCCCAAATCCTGCCACAGACCCGAATTTTGGGGTACCCAACCCCAAATCCCACCACAGACCCCAATTTTGGGGTCCCCAGCCCCAAATCCCGCCACAGACCTGAATTTTGGGGTCACCCAGCCCCAATCCAGGCCCCCAACCCAGATTTTGGGGTCCCTCACCCCAATCCAGGTCCCCAACCCGAATTTTGGGGTCCCCAACCCCAAATCCCACCACAGACCCGAATTTTGGGGTCACCCAACCCCAAATCCCACCACAGACCCGAATTTTGGGGTCCCCCAACCCCAAATCCCACCACAGACCCGAATTTTGGGGTCCCCAGCCCCAATCCCGCCACAAACCCGAATTTTGGTGTCCCTCACCCCAAATTCCAAGCCCCAAATCCAAATTTTGGGGTCCTTCCTTCCTAAATCCACCTGCCCCACCCCCAGCACCCAGGTTCCCCACCCCCAATCCCAGCCCCTCCCCCACCCCAATTTGGGTCTCCAATCCCCCAATTTGGGGCTCCCCTCCCCCACCTGGCCGCTCGAAGGTGAAGATCTCCCCCAGCCCCTCTCCCAGCCCCTCCCCCACCCCATTTTTGGGGCTCCCCTCCCCCACCTGGCCGCTCGAAGGTGAAGATCTCCCCCAGCCCCTCCCCCAGCCCAATTTTGGGGCTCCAATCCCCCATTTTTGGGGCTCCCCTCCCCCACCTGGCCGCTCGAAGGTGAAGATCTCCCCTTCGCACTTGGCGCTTTTTGGGGTGGTGGGTTCGGAGCCGCAGCTCGAGCGGCGCCGCAGCTTCGCCCGTTTGGGGGAGGAGGGGTCGTCCCCGGGGGGCTCCGGCTCTGCCCGGGGGGCACAGGGGTCAGCGGGGGTCGCCCGCGGGTCAGGGGTCACCGGGGGTCACCGGGGGTCACCGGGGTCAGGGGTCACCTGCGGAGTTCTTGCGCTTCTTGCGGTAACTGCCCAGGATGGTGCGGGGGGAGGTGGCCAAGGCCTGCAGGGTGGGGGAGGGGAGCACCTCCTCGGGCCGGAACTCCGGCAGCTCCGCGAAGCGCTCCTCGAAATCCACCTCCGACAGCACCCTGGGGCGGCCAAAAACACCCCAAAATTACCCCAAAACATCCCCAAAAATATCCCCCAAAACAGCCCAAAAAACCCGGAAATTAACCCAAAGTGCTCCTCAAAATCCACCTCCGACAGCACCCTGGGGCGGCCAAAAACACCCCAAATTACCCCAAAATGTCCCTTAAAACATCCCAAAGTTACCCGAAAAACATCCCCCAAATTACCCCAAAACAGCCCCTGAAATATCCCAAAGTTACCCTAAAAACGTCCCCCAAAACAGCCCAAAAAACCCAGAAATTAACCCAAACTGCCCCTCAAACTCCACCTCAGACAGGACTCTGAGAGACCCCAAAAAACCCACAAAATTACACCAAAAATATCCCCCAAAAATCCTCAAAACCACCCCCAAAACGTCCGAAAAAAATCTCTGGAATACCTCAAAAATATCCCCCAAAAAACCCCCATATTAACCTCAACATACCCCAAAACTTCTCAAATATGCCCAAAAATCCCCAAAATGACCCCACAAACCACAAAATCCCCACCAGGGCTTCCCCAAGCCCCGCCCCCTTCAATAAACCACAGCTAACCAAGCCCCGCCCCTTGATAAACCACATCATTAAGCCCCGCCCCTTTGATAACCCACACCGTTAGGCCCCGCCCCCCAGATAACCCACACCATTAAGCCCCGCCCCTCTGATAAACCATGCCCTCCCAGGCCCCGCCCCTTTGATAACCCACACCATTAAGCCCCGCCCCTTTGACCACGCCCCTCAGGCCCCGCCCCTCTGATAACCCACACCGATTGGCCCCGCCCCTGGCCCCGCCCCCTCAGGCCCCGCCCCCTGACCTGTCCACGGAGTCGAAGGTTTTTTTCAGGGGTGGGGGGCGGAGCTTCGCCTTCTTGGCTCCGCCCTCGGCGGGGGGCGGGGCCGGCGGGGAGGGGGCGGAGCAGGAGGAGGAGGAGGGGCCGGCGGGGGGCGTGGCCTCGGGGGGCGGGGCCCACCGCTCGGCCTGGGGGGGGAGGGGGTGACAATAATTCCGGTTAATTAAAGGATTAATTAAATTAATGAATGAGGGGAGGGGGAGGGGCGGCACTCACCGCGTCGGGGGGGGCGGGGCTGGGCGGCCCCTCCCCCACTGGCTCCCGCTGGCTCCAGGCCTCGGCGCTGGGGGGGGAGGGGGGCGGGGCCGAGGGCGGGGGAGGGGCGGCGGTGGGGGCGGGGGGGGGCGGGGGGCGGCGGGGGATGGGAGGCGGCGGCAGGGGGGGCGGGGCAGGGGGGGGGGGGGGGGTCGGGCGGAGGGGGGCGGGGCGGGGTGTCCCCTCCCCCCACGGGAATCGTGGCCAGGGCGGCCTTCACCTTCTGGGGGGGCTTCGGGGGGGGGCGGGGCGGCCGGGGGGGGGAAGGGCAGGGGGGCTGCGGGCAGAGGGGGGGCGGGGCTGAGGTCAGACCACGCCCTCTCATTTACATATGGCATAACCAATTATAACCCACTAACCCCGCCCACCAGTGTGCCACCCCCTCATTAGCATAACCACGCCCTAATAAACCACTCCCACAGAAATAGCCACGCCCACTTTGTAAGCCCCACCCCGTTAAAGTGCCACACCCATGCAAAGCCCCACCCCCCTCTGAGGCCCCGCCCCTGAAAGTGCCACACCCAAACAAAGCCCCGCCCCCCCAAAGCTCCGCCCCCGTACCTGCAGCCCCCAGGGCGGGGTTGGGGGCGGGGCCGGCCTTGGGCAGGATGGGCGGGGCCGGGGGGGCGGAGCCAGCCACGCTGTAGACCAATCCGGGCGCGGGGGCGGGGCCGGGGGCGGGGCCGGGCCCCCCGGGGTAGATGGCGGCGAGGACGGGACCCCCCGAGCTGGGGGGGGGCAGCTGGGGGGGGGGCAGGGCCGAGACCCCCACGGGGGCGGGGCCCAGCAGCGACCCCTGGCCTGGGGGGGAGGGGCGCTCAGGGGGGGCCATTCCCCGCCCCCAAACCCCAAAATCATCCCGAAATTCCCCTGAGTCTCAAATCAGCCCCAATCTCACCCAAAAATTCCACAAATCCCACCCGGAAGCCCCCCAGAGCCCCTGAGACCCCCAGTTCCCCTTTGGGATCCTCCCAATCCCCCCAAAACCCCCCAGATAACCCCAAAACCCCCCCAAGTTCCTTCAAATCCCTCCCATCCCCCCCCATAACCCCCAAATCCATTGCAAACCCTCCCAGGACCCCCAATCCCCCCAAAACCTCCCCAAATCCCCCCCAGGACCCCCAAAACCTCCCAAATCCCCCCCAAGACCCCCAACCCCCCCAAAACCTCCCGAAATCCCCCCCAAAGCCCCCAACCCCCCCAAACCCCTTCCCTCCCCCCCAGGACCCCATCAAACCCCTCCCCCCCCCACTCACCGGGCAGGAGGGGCTGCACCAGCGCCCCCCCCCGGGCCGAGGGCGGTGAAGCCGAGCACGGGCGGGGGAGGGGCGGGGGGAGGGGCGGGGTGCACGTAGGCGATGCGGGCGGGGGGCAGCAGCACCTTGGGGGGGGGAGGGGCGGCCGCCGCCCCCGCCCCTCCCCCCGCGGGGGGCACCGGGCTGAGCTGGATGATCTGGGGGGGGTAAAGGGGGAGGGGTCAGAGCAGTGGGGGAGGGGTCAGAGCGGTGGGGGAGGGGCGGGCGGGGGTGGGTGGGGGAGGGGCACGCACCTTGCCGGGGGGAGGGGCGGCGCCGGGGGGGCCGAAGGGCGTCAGGGCGGGGCCGGGCGGGGCCACGGGCACCAGAACCTTCCCGGGCAGCAGCGGCGCGGGGGGAGGGGCCTGGCCCGGGGGGGAGGGCTGGGCTGGGGGGAGGGGTCAGGTGTGGAGCGGCCACGCCCAAAACCGCAGACCCCTCCCACAAAATGAAACCCCGCCCACAACCAGACCACGCCCAAAACCAGACCCCTCCCACAAGATTAAACCCCGCCCACAATGTTAGACCACACCCACAATTTGAAGCCCCGCCCCATCCCAAAAGCTCCGCCCCAAATCAAGGCTCTGCCCCCAATAGTCCCCGCCCCAATCTGAGGCCCCGCCCCCAATCTGAAACTCCGCCCACTCAAAAAGACCCCGCCCCAAACATCAGGCTCCGCCCCATGCTTGAGACCCCGCCCCATTTGTGACCCCGCCTCAACCTCAGACCACGCCCATAACCACAGACCCCGCCCCCAATTTGAGGCCCCGCCCCATCTGAGACCCCTCCCCCAATCTGAGGCCCCTCCCCCAATTTGAGACCACACCCCCAATTTGAGACCCCGCCCCATTTGTGACCCCGCCTCCAACCTCAGACCACGCCCACAACCACAGACCCCTCCCCCATTTTGAGGCCCCTCCCCCCATTTGAGGCCCCGCCCCACCCCCCAGAGCCCCGCCCCCACCCCAAGCCCCTCCCCCACCCGCCGTACCTTTGGGGGCGGAGCCTCCGGCCCCCCCCGCCGTTGTGGGCGGGGCTTTCCCGTTCTGGGGCGGGGGCAGGGCGAAGTGCAGGGAGGGGGCGGGGCCGGGGGCGGGGCCCTGGCTGGGGGCGGGGCCGGGGGCGGGGCCTTTGCCGTGGGGGAGGGGCAGGGTGGGCAGGATGTACTGCACCTGCGTGATGCCGAGGGGGAGGGGCCCGTTGGGGGGCGGGGGAGGGGCCGTGCCCCCCCCCTGCCCCTGCCCCTCCCCCACCCGCCGCTGCCCCTCCCCCGCCCGGGGGCTGCGCCAGGAGCTGCACGGGGGGGTGGGGGTGGGGGTGGGGCAGCAGCGCCACCGAGGGGGGGGGGAGGGGGAGGACCCGGCCCCCCCCCGCCGCCCCCTCCCCCCCCCAGCACCAGGCTGGCCACCACCCCTCCCCCACCCCCCGCCCCTCCCCCACCTGCTGGGTTTTGGGGGGGATTTGGGTTTTTGGAGGGGTGGGGGGAGGGGCGGGGGCGGGCCGGGCCCCTCCCCCACCCTCAGCGCTCTCGGCCCGTTTCCGGCGGGGAGGGGGAGGGGCGGCGCCCTCGGGGCGTTTTTGGGGGGCGGGGGGGGGCCCCTTGTAGGGGGAGGGGCCGGGGGGGGGCGGCTCGGGGGGGCCCGGGGGGGGCTCCAGCTCCGGGGGGGGCGGGGCGGCGCCGGCGGGAACAGCCTCCGGGGGGGGGCCTGGAAGGGGGAGGGGCGGTGGGGGTGGGGCCCCCAAAGGGACCCCAAATCCCACAGAGACCCCTCCCCCTCCCTGTAGACCCTCCCCTTCTCTTTAGCCCCTCCCCTTCCCTTTAGCCCCTCCTACTCGCCCTGGCGCACTTTTGGCCGCTCCCCCTCTTTTTAGCTCCTCCCCCTCCCCTTTAGCCCCTCCCCCTTGCTCTCACGCACTCTTTTGGCCCCTCCCTCTTTTTTTAGCTCCTCCCCCTCTTTTTAGCCACTCCCCCCTGTTTTGCCCCTCCCTCTCCCCCTCGCGCACTATTTTGGCCCCTCCCCCTCCCTTTAGCTCCTCCCTCTCTATTTAGCCCCTCCCCCTCCCCTTTAGCCCCTCCCTCTCCCCTTTAGCCCCTCCCCCTCCCCTTTGGCCCCTCCCCCTCCATTTAGCCCCTCCCCCTCTCTTTAGCCTCATCCCGTCCCTTTAGCTCCTCCCCCTCCCTTTAGCCCCTCCCCCAGCCCTTTAGCCCCTCCTACTCGCCCTGGCGCACTCTTTTGGCCCCTCCCCCACCCCTGTAGCCCTACCCCCACTTTTTAGCCCCTCCCCCTCACCTGCAGCCCCTCCCCCTCGCTCTCGCTGTCACTCACTCCTTTAGCCCCTCCCCCACCATTTGGCCCCTCCCCCACCCCTCGGCCCCTCCCCCTCACCTGCAGCCCCTCCCCCTCGCTCTCGCTGTCGCTCACTCCCATAGCCCCTCCCCCTCTCCATAGCCCCTCCCCCACCCTTAGGCCCCTCCCCCTCACCTGCAGCCCCTCCCCCTCGCTCTCGCTGTCGCTCACTCTCTCTTTGCACTTGAGGTCGATCTCGGGCGGGGGAGGGGCGAACCCGTCCTCTGTGGGGGGAGGGGCGCTCAGAGCGGGTTTTTGGGGTTCGGGGGGCGGGGCGGGGGGCGTGGCCTGACCGATGACGTCATCGTCGCCCTCCTCCTCGCAGATCACCATCCGCTCCTCGTCGCTCTCGCTCTGCGCCGAGCGCGGGGGGAGGGGCACGGCCCGGGGGGGAGGGGCGCGGCCCGGGGGGAGGGGCGCGTACGGGGCCGCCCCTCCCCCACCCCCCGCCTTGGCCGCCCCGAACGGGGCCGGGCCCGAGCACAGCTGGGGGGACACGAAATTGGGGTCAGGGAGCCCAAAAATTCCCCAAATATCCCCCACAAATTCCTAAAATACACATGTTAGAAACTCCCAAAATTCCCCAAATATCCCCCAATAACTGACCAGACATTCCCAAAATTCACAGGTCAGGAACTCCCAAAATTCCCCAAATATCCCCCAATAACTGACCAGACATTCCCAAAATTAGCGGGTTAGAAACTCCCAAAATTCCCCAAATATCCGCCACAAATTCCCAAAATTCACAGGATTAGGAACTCCCAAAATTCCCCAAATATCCCCCAAAAACTGACCAGAGAGTCCCAAAATTCACCGGGTTAGAAACTCCCAAAATTCCCCAAATATCCCCCAATAACGGACCAGAGAATCCCAAAATTAGCGGGTTAGAAACTCCCGAAATTCCCCAAATATCCCCCAAAAACTGACCAGAGATTCCCAAAATTCCCCAAATATCCCCCAATAACTGACCAGAGATTCCCCAAATTCCCCAAATATCCCCCAATAACTGACCAGAGATTCCCCAAATATCCCCCAATAACTGACCAGAGATTCCCCAAATTCCCCAAATATCCCCCAATAACTGACCACAGATTCCCAAAATTCCCCAAATATCCCCCAATAACTGACCAGAGATTCCCAAAATTCACAGGTTAGAAACTCCCAAAATACCCCAAATATCCCCCAATAACTGACCACAGAGTCCCAAAATTCATGGGTTAGAAACTCCCAAAACTCCCCAAATATCCCCCAAAAACTGACCAGAGAGTCCCAAAATTCACCGGGTTAGAAACTCCCAAAAATTCCCCAAATATCCCCCACAAAATCCCAAAATACACGTGTTAGAAACTCCCAAAATTCCCCAAACATTCCTGAAAATCTCCAGGCCCAAAACCCCCAAAAATCCCCCAAAAATCCTCCAAAAATCCCCAAAACCCCTCAGTACAGAACCCCCAAACCCTCCCCCAAAATCCCCAAATCTCCAGGCCCCAAATCCCCAAAAACCCCCAAAAATCCCCCAAAATCCCCCAAACCCCTCAGTACAGAACCCCCAAAATCCCCAAATCTCCAGGCCCGAAACCCCCAAAATCCCCCAAAATCCCCCAAAATCCCCCCAAAAATCCCCGAATTCCCACCTGGCTGAGCTCGTGCAGGGGGGGCGCGCGGGGGTCGGCCCCTCCCCCCACGCCGCTGTGGGAGAAGGCGCGGGGGCGGGGCGGGGGGGGCGGGGCGGCCCCTCCCCCACCCCCGGGACCCCCCGGGACCCCCCCCTTGGCCTCGGGGGGGGAGGGGTCGGCGGCACCTGCGGGAAGAGGGGGGAGGGGAGGGAGAAAGGGGGGGGAGGGGCACGATTAGTGTGAGGAGGTGGTGGGGGGAGGGGTTTTGGGGGGAATTTTGGGGAGTTTTGGGGGTTTGTGGTTTTTTTAGAAGAGTTTTGGGTGGTTTTCGGGGGTTTTTACAGCGCTTTCGGGTGGTTTTTGGAGAATTTTAGGGGTTTATGGAGGTTTTGTGGTTTACAGGGGTTTTGGGTAGTTTTTGAGGTGTTTCGGGATTTTTTTGGGGGGGTTTGGGGGGTTTTTGGTGTCTTTTGGGGCTGTTTTTGCGGGTTTTGTGTGGTTTTTGAGGGAATTTGGGATTTTGGGGGGTTATGGGTGAGCCTTTGGGGGTTTTGTGTGGTTTTTGGGGGGTTATGGGGGGTTTTTGGGTGGTTTTCGGGGATTTTGGGGAGTTCTGATGGGGTTTTCAGGGATTTTGGGGAGTTCTGATGGGGTTTTGGGTGGTTTTCGGGGACTTTGGGGATTTTGGGGAGTTCTGATGGGGTTCTGGGTGGTTTTCGGGGATTTTGGGGATTTCTGATGGGGTTTTGGGTGGTTTTTTGGGGAGTTCTGATGGGGTTTTGGGTGGTTTTCGGGGATTTTGGGGAGTTCTGATGGGGTTTTGGGTGGTTTTCCAGGATTTTGGGGGTTTTGGGGAGTTCTGATGGGGTTTTGTGTGTTTTTCGGGGATTTTGGGGAGTTCTGATGGGGTTTTGTGTGGTTTTCGGGGATTTTGGGGGTTTTTGGGGAGTTCTGATGGGGTTTTGGGCGGTTTTCGGGGATTTTGGGGAGTTCTGACGGGGTTCTGGGTGGTTTTTGGGGATTTTGGCTGACGGGGTTCTGGGTGGTTTTCGGGGATTTGGGGGTTTTTGGGGAGTTCTGATGGTGTTCAGGGTGGTTTTTGGGGATTTGGGGGTTTTTGGGGCTCTGGGGGGGTGCCAGACCTGGGGGAGGCGCGGGGGGGCCGCTCTCGGAGGCGCTTCGCTCTCGGGGCTCTTTGGGGACCCCCCCGGGCCCGCCCGGGCCCCTCCCCCCGTCCGAGCTGGATTTTTTCCGGTCTTTGTTGCACCATTTCCAGTCCGGGTGGGCTTTGAAATGCGCTTCTTTCACCTGGGGGGGGGGAGGGGAATGAGGAGCTGCCCATCCCCCACCCCCCAGCACCCCAAAATCGGGGGGAACCCCAAAAATTCCCCCAAATTCCCCCAAATTTATCCCAAATTCCCGTGTTTGGCTGCGGGCGCAGTGACGCGGCTGCGCCACCAGGGGGAGACGGTGCTGCACGAATAACGGAAACCGGCCAGATTGACCTCAAAATTCAGCCCGGGACACCCCAAAATTCAGCCTGGGACACCCCAAATCCTACCTGGGACCCCCCAAACCCCACTTGGGACCCCCCCAAACCCCACCTGGGACCCCCCAAACCCCACCTGGGACCCCCAAACCCCACTTGGGACCCCCGAAACCCCACCTGAGACCCCCCAAACCCCACCTGAAACCCCCAAACCCCACCTGGGACCCCCCAAAATCTCACCTGGGGCCCCCAAACCCCACCTGAAACCCTCAAACCCCACCTGGGATCCCCCAAACCCCACCTGGGACCTCCCAAACCCCACCCGGGACCCCCAAAAGTCTCATCTGGGACCCCCCAAACCCCAACCGGGACCCCCCAAACCCCACCTGGGACCCCCCAAACCCCACCTGGGACCCCCCAAACCTCACCTGGGACCCCCCAAACCCCACCTGGGACCCCCCAAACCCCACCTGGGACACCCCAAACCCCACCTGGGACCCCCCAAACCCCACCTGAGACCCCCCAAACCCCACCTGAAACCCCCAAACCCCACCTGGCCCCCCCAAACCCCACCTGAGACCCCCCAAAATCCCACCTGGCCCCCCAAACCCCACCTGGGACCCCCCAGAGTCTCACCTGAGACCCCCCAAACCCCACCTGGGACACCCCAAACCCCACCTGGGACCCCCCAAACCCCACCTGGGACCCCCAAAATCCCACCTGGAAGGCCAGGTCGTGGTACTGCTGCTTCTCGCAGGGCCCCAGCGCGTACCACGGACCTCCAAAACCCCCTCAGGCCTCACCTGTGACCCCCCAAACCCCACCCGGGACCCCCAAAATCCCACCTGGGACCCCCCAAACCCCACCCGGGACCCCCAAAATCCCACCTGGAAGGCCAGGTCGTGGTACTGCTGCTTCTCGCGGGGCCCCAGCGCGTACCACCACTCGCCCAGGATCTTGCTGACCGTGCGGTTGTCCTGGTTCGGGTGCCGCTGGTGCACCAGCGCCCGGTGCCGCTTGCTGAAGATCATGAAGGCGTTCATGGGCCGCCGGATGTGGTCCTTCTCCCGCTGCGGACACGCCCACGGGGGGCGGGGTCAGCGGGGACACGCCCACGGAGGGGCAGAGCCAGGGGACACACCCATGGGTGCGGTCAGTGGGGTGTGGCGATGAAGGGGTTAATGGGATATGGATATGATGGGCGTGGTCCTTCTCCCGCTGCGGACACGCCCACAAAGGGGCGGGGTCAGCGGGGATACACCCACTAAGCGGCGGGGTCAGGGGACACGCCCATGGGTGGGTCAGTGGGATATGATAATTAGGTGTGCATAATAAAAGGAATATGGTAATTAGGTGGGTGTTGTTCACTGTGGACACACCCACAAAGGGGCAGAGCCAGGGGACACACCCATGGGTGGGGTCATTTGGATATGATAATTAGGTGTGCATAATAAACAGAATATGGTAATTAGGTGGGTGTGGCTCACTGTGGACACACCCACATTGGGGCGGAGTCAAGGGACACACCCATGGGTGGGGTCAGTGGGATATGATAATTAGGTGCATATAATTAGTGGAATATGGTAATTAGGTGGGTGTGGTCACCAGGTGGGTGTGGTTTACTGTGGACACACCCACATTGGGGCAGGGTCAGAGATATTTGGTGGGATTCTGGGGGAAATTTTGGGGTGATTTTGGTGTAATTTTGGTGTAAATTTGGGGGGGATTTCAGAAGAAAATTTAAAAAAATGTTGGCGCAATTCTGGGAATATTTCACAGGGAATTCCAGGGTGATTTTGGGGTGATTTTGTAGAGATTTCAGGGGAAATTCCAATATAATTTTGGGAGGATTTCAGAGAGAATTTCGGGGGGATTTTCGGAGGGTTTTGGGGGGAATTTCAGGGCGATCTTGGTGTAATTTTGGGGTGATTTCGGTGTGATTTTGGGGGTAATTTCAGGGTGATGTTGGGGTGATTTCAGGGTAATTTCGGTGTAATTTCGGGTTGATTTCGGTGTGATTTGGGGCCGTTTCGGGCCCCGCTGACCTTGCCGGGGCTGCGGCCGTCCTTGTCGCCCTCCTTGGGCAGCGCGCTCAGCGACTGCGTCCGGCGCTTCCCCGGAGCCAACGGCAGCGGCAGCTCCGGCGCCACGATGGACGACAGGAACCTGCGGGGACAGATGGACGGACAGATGGACACGGGGACGGATGGACACAAGGACACAGGGACAGACGGACACTGGGACAGACAGACAGGGGGTCACAGGGGTCACATGAGGTCATGGGGTCACCCAGGGGGTCTCACAGGGGTCACAACAGGGGTCACAGTGTCACAGGAGCCACAGTGACACAAAGGTGTCAGACAGGTCACCCAGGGGTCAGACAGGGGTCACCAAGGGGTCACAGAGGGGTCAGACAAGTGTCACACAGGGGTCACAGAGGTCACATGGGGTCACACAGAGATGACAGGTGTCACACAATCACAGAGGTCACAGGGGTCACCCAGGGGTCCCAGACACAGAGGTCACAGGTGTCACACAGAGGTCACAGGGGTCACCCAGGGGTCACAGACACAGGGGTCATACAGAGGTCACCCAGGGGTCACACAGAGGTCACAGAAGGGTCACCCAGGGGTCACAGAAGGGTCACCCAGAGGTCACAGAAGGGTCCCAGACCCCCACTCACGCGTCGTCGTGGTCGCTCTCGTTCTCGCTGTCGGGCCGGGCGCCCCCCGTGGGCGGCTCCTCCTCGGGGGGCGGGGCGGTGGCCGCGGGGGGCGGGGCGGGGGGCGCGGCCGGGGGGGGGCTGGGCGGGCGCGTGGCCCCCCCGCAGCGCCCCGGCTCCTGCCCCGGCCCCCCCGGCTCGGGGGCCACCGCCGCCGACTCGGGCGGCTCTGCGGGGACGGCCGTCAGTGGGGAGGGGCGGGGCAGGGCAGGGGCGGGGCAGGGGGCAGGGCAGGGTGTGGGTGTGGCAGGGGGCATGTCCCAGGTGTTGTAGGGCAGGGAGGGGGGGGTCCCAGGTGTCCCAGGTGTGCCCGGATCTATCCCAGGTGTCCCAGGTGTGTCCCAGGTCTATCCCAGCTGTACCCAGGTGAGTCACAGGTGTGTCCCAGGTGTACCCAGGTGTCCCAGGTGTGTCAGGATCTGTCCTATGTATACCCCAACCATCCCAGGTGTATCCCAGGTGTACCCCAGGAGTGTCAGGCTGTACCCCACGTGTGTCCCAGGTATACCCCAGCCATCCCAGGTGTACCCCAGGTGTGTCAGGACATGTCCCAGGTCTATCCCAGCTGTCCCAGCTGTCCCCAGGTGTGTCCCAGCTGTACCCAGCTGTACCCAGGTGTGCCCAGGTGTACCCAGGTGTGTCTCAGCTGTACCCAGGTGAGTCCCAGGTGTGTCCCAGCTGTACCCAGGCATACCCAGGTGTGTCCCAGCTGTACCCAGCTGTACCCAGGTGAGTCCCAGCTGTCCCCAGGTGTGTCCCAGCTGTACCCAGGTACATCCCAGGCATGTCCCAGCTGTCCCAGGTGTGTCCCAGGTACATCCCAGGTGTGTCCCAGCTGTCCCAGGTGTGTCCCAAGTGTATTCCAGGTGTACCCAGGCATGTCCCAGCTATCCCAGCTGTCCCAGGCGCGCCCCTCACCTTTGCTGGCCGCAGCGGCGGGGGGCAGGTGGCTGACGGGCTGCAGGCCGGCCGGGGGGTGCGGGGCGGCGTCGGGCTGGCTGGGGGCCAGGAACGGCACCAGCGAGTGCCACGGGAACACCGGCACCGAGCGCGGCTCCACGTTGGTCCAGACTGCGGGACAGGGGGGACGGTGAGGGGACAGTGAGGGGACACTGTGGGGACACCCACGGCCACCCCCCGACGGGCTGTGACACCGCAGGGACACCCACGGGGCTCAGGTGACACCCGCGGGGTCCCCACAGGTGTGTCACCCAGTCACGTGACACCGTCACACCTGAGCCCCGACCCACCCCCCCAAATTCACCTGGTCTGGTGAGAGACCCCAAAATTGCCACAAAGACCCCAAAGAAACCCCAAATTACCTCAGAGCCCCCAATATTACCTCAAAAACACCAAAATTACCTCAAAAAAACCAAAATCACCTCAGAAACCCCAAATTACCTCAAAAACCCCAAAATTACATCAAAAGCCCCCAAAATTACCTCAGAAACACTAAAATTACAACAAAACCCCCCAAAATCACCTCAGAAATCCCCAAAATTACATCAAAATCCTTCAAAATTATCTCAGAAACCCCAAATTACCTCAGAACCCCCCAAAGTTATCTCAGAACCCCCAAAATTACCTCAGAACCCCCCAAAATCACCTCAGAAACCCCAAATAACCTCAGGATACCCCAAAATTACTTCAGAACCCCCAAGTTACATCAGAATATACAAAACCACCTCAGAATACACCAAAATCACCTCAGAGACCCCAAAATTACCTCAGAACGCCCAAAATCACATCAGAAAAACCAAATTACATCAGAACGCCCCAAAATTATCTCAGAACCTCCCAAAATCACGTCAGAAACCCCAAAATTACCTCAGAATGCACAAAAATTACCTCAGAACCCCCAAATTCCTCCACAATTACCCAAAATCTTCTCACAGATCCCATCAATTCCACACAGAAATCACAAATTTACCTCAAAACCCCCAAATCCTCCTAAAAACCCCAACATTTCCTCACAAAACCGCCAAAATCGCCTCAGAAACCCCAAATCCCCTCAAGAACCTTAAAATTTTGTTACAGAACCTGCAAAAGTGCATCAGAACCCCAAAATCCCCTCACAAACCCCAAAATTTCCTTACAGAACCCCCAAAATCACCTCAGAGTCCCCAAATTCCCTCACAATGACCCCAATCAACTCCTCACAGAAACCACAAATTTACCACAAAACCCCAAAATCCCCTCACAAAACCTCCAAAAATCACCTCAGAACGCCAAAATTGCCTCACAAACTCCAACATTTCCTCACAAAGCCCCCAAAATCACATCAGAACCCCAAAACCGCCTCACAAACCCCAACAGTTCCTCTCAAAATCCCCAAAATCACCTCATAAATTTCCTCACGAACCCCAAATCTGCTTCATGGACCCCAAAATCCCATCACGGGCCCGAAATTCCACTCATAAATCCCAAATTCCCCTCAGGAATCCCAAATTTCCCTCACGAACCCCAAATCCCACTCACAGATCCCAAATCCGCCTCACGGACCCCAAATTCCCTTTGTGGAACCCAAATCCCCTCACAAACCCCAAATTTCCCTCACAAATCCCAAATTCCCCTCACAGACCCCAAAATCCCCCTCATGGACCCCAAATTCCCCTCAGGAATCCCAAATTCCACTCACGAACCCACAATTCCCCTCACAAATTCCAAATCCCCCTCACGAACCCCAAAATCCCGTCATGGACCCCAAATTCCACTCATAAATCCCAAATCTCCCTCACAGATCCCAAATTCCCCATCAGGGACCCCAGATTTCCCTCACAGATCCCAAATTCCCCTCACAAATCCCAGATTTCCTTCACGAACCCCAAATTCCACTCACAAACCCCGAATTTCCCTCACGGAACCCAAATCCCCCTCACGAACCCCAAACCCCCTCATGAAACCCCTCCCCACAATCCCCCAAACCCCCTAAAATCCCCTAAAATCCCCCCAAAGCCCCTCACGACCCCAAAATCCCCTCACGGCCACCCCGCCGTTCCCGCCACCGCCTTCAAACCCTAAAAAACCCCTCAGAACCCCCTAAAACACCCAAAAATACCAAAATCCCCCTCAGGACCCCCCAAAATCCCCCTCAGAACGCTCCTAACTGCAAAAAAACCCCAAATCTCCCTCAGAGCCCCCCAAAAAAACCCCTCAGAATCCCAAAAAATCCCCAAATCCCATCAGAACCCCCTAAAAACCCCAAATCCCCCTCAGAGACACCTAAAACCCCCCCAAAAAAACCCTCAGAACACCCCAATACCCAAAAAACCCTCAGAACACCCCAATACCCAAAAAAACCTCAGAACCCCAGAAAACACAAAAAAACCCCACAAATCCCCCTCAGAGCCCCCCCAAAAAAACCAAAATCCCCCCCAGAGCCCCCCCAAACCCCAAAAACCCCTCAGAATCCCAAAAAAGCCCAAAAAAGCCCAAACCCCCCTCAGAGCCCCCCACTCCTCCCTCACAAAACCCACCCCGCACCCGCCCCCACCGCCTCAGGGCCCATCCCCCCCCAGCCCGAACCCCATTTCCCGGGATCCCCCCCCAAAACCAAACCCCCTCACGGATCCCCTTCCCCCATCCCCGGCACTGACCGAACATGCCGAGGCCTCTGCGCGGGGCCGCGGCCGGGGGGAGGGCGGCGGAGGAGGAGGACATGGCGGAGAGGGGAGGGAAGGGAGGGGAAATGGAGGGGGAGGGAAGCTCCGGGTGCCGGTCCCGGTTCTGCTCTCTGCCTCGGTGTGTGTGCGAGCGTGAGGGATGGAAAAGGGGGGGGATGAGGAAGGGTTTTCCCCCCCGGGATTTTTAATGGGGGGGGAGGGAATGGAGGGGATGAGGGAGGGGAAGGGGGGGGAGGGGTCCGCGCCCGCCGCGCGCGCGCGCAGGGGAGAGCGGGAGCGCGCGCTGCTCCCGCCTCGCCCGCCGCGCATGCGCGCAGCGCCCCCTCACACACCCCGCCCCTCCCTCCCTCCGCCCCGGCCTCACCCCATTGGCCAGCAGCGCCCGCGCGCGCCGGCCCCCGCGCCGCCCATTGGCCGAGCCGCGCGCGTATGCAAATCAGAGAGGGCCGCTCCCACTCCCCCCCCCGCTCAACGCAACCCCCCCACACACCTCACACCCCCCCCACGCCCGCGCGCGTATGCAAATGAGAGAGGGGGGCTTCCCGCCCCCGCGCCGCGCGCTCATTGGGCGGCTGGCCGCGCGTATGCAAATGAGAGAGGGGGGCTTCCCGCCCCCGCGCCGCGCGCCCATTGGCCGGCTGGCCGCGCGTATGCAAATGAAGGGGTGAAACGCCCTCCCTCTGCGCGCAGCCGCGGGGAGAGGCCACGCCCACTCCGGGCAGCCAGGCCACGCCCACACCCGCGAGGCGTGGCTGGCCGTGACGTCACAGAGAGGCGGGCTGACGTCACCGCGGCAGGGCGAGGCCCGTGGAGGGATCTGACGTCAGCGTGACGTCACTGAGGCGCCCCCACAGGGCCGGGAGGCAGTGCCACACCCACGACACTGCTGTGACGTCACTGTGACGTCACTGTGACGCGGTAACACCATCCCAACGTGGCCCTGGCATTGCTATGACATCATGGTGACGTCACCAGCATCCTTTAACCCTGCCCTGACAGCCCCGCCGCTGTTCTGACACAACCGTGACGTCACCGTGACGTCACCGAGACACAGCAAGCCCTGTCACCGCTCTGATGTCACCATGACGTCACAGCGACGTCACCACAACTCACTGACTCCACTGTGACGTCACCACGACACAACAATCTGTCACGACAGCTCCGTCCCCGCCCTGACATCATCATGACATCACTATGACATCACCACGACGCACCGACCCCGCTCTGACCTCACCATGACGCCCGTGATGCGGCGGGTCACAACCCCTCTGATGTCACCGTGACCCAGCTCTGACCTCACCACGCCCCGGCCGTGACCCCTGACCTCATTCCCTGCCCCAAAATCCCCCAAAAAACCCCTGAAATCTACCCAAAAACCCCCAAATCCACTTTAAAACCCCCAAATCCACTTAAAAACCCCTAAGAACCTCTCAACCCACCCCAAATCCACCTTTAGTCCCCCAAACCCCCTAAAATCCCCCTAAACACCCCAAACCCCCCCAAAACCTCCCCAAATCCCCCTAAAACTCCCCCAAACCCCCAAACCGCCCGAAAATCCCTCCAAAACCTCCCCAGACCTCCTCAAAACCTCCTAAAATCCCCCCAAAATTTCCAGAATACTCCCCAAGCCCCCCCAAACCTCCCCAAAATCCCTCGAAACCTCCTGACAATCCCCCCAAAGCCTCCTAAAATACCCGCAAAATTTCCAAAATTCCCCCCAAGCCCCCCCAAAATCCCTCCAAATCCCCTCGACCCCCCCCAAACCTCCCCAAAATCCCTCGAAACGCCCCCAAACCTCCCCAAAATCTTTCCAAATCCCCCCAAGGCCCCCCAAAACCTCCCCGAATCCGCCCTTACCGGTGCCGGGCCGGCCCATGACGATCTCCTTTCGGGGGGCCGGGGGGGTCCCGAAGTCTCCGGGCACGAGCAGCGGCAGCAGCGCGGCGGGGGAGGGGTGGAAGGCCACGGGGTGCAGGGGGGGACCCCCGAAAGCGGCGGCGGTGGGGGCGGGGGGCGCGGCGGGACCCCCGCGCTCGGTGCCGCCGGGCCCGGGGGGCGCTGCCGGGGGGCGGCTCGGGGGGCGCAGGCGGCCCGCGTTGATGGGCACGGGCGCGGCCAGGGTGGGTTTTTGGGGAGGGGGCAGCGGGCGCGGCCGCGGAGGGTCGGGCAGCGGCACCTCGGGGTTGCGGACGATCACCGGAGAGCCCCGCGGCACCGCCGGGACCCGCCGGGCACCGGGGCCGGGGTCCGCCGTGAGCCCCGCGGGGGAGCGGGGCGCGAACAGAGGGGACAGCGCCCGGAACATCCCCCCGCCCGTGCCCACCGGGCCGCCGCCGCCCTCCGGGGGCTCCGCCAGCGCCGCCGCCTCCGCCTTGCGCTTGCCGGGGCTCAGCGGCACCGGGAACGGCAGCCCGGGCTGGAACACCGGCGGGACCCCCGAGGGCGGCCGGGGCCGGGGCGGGGGCGGCGGCGGCGGCGGGGGCGGCGGAGGGGGGCTCAGCCCCTCCCCGGGCCGCGGCGTCCCGGCGCTCAGGTGCCGCCCGCGGGCGCGGGGCGAGGCGGTGACCGGGCTGAAGTTGGCGGGGCGGAAACCGAACAGCGGCGACGGGGACGGGGACGGGGTGGGCGAGAAGGGGGACTGCGTGGAGGCGGGAGAGAAGCTCGGCGTGCCCGAGCGGGACGAGCCCAGCGACACGAGCATCACGGCGGCCTCGCACTCGTCGAACTCGAAGCGGGACAGGTCCGGGTTGGGCGGAACCGGGGCCGCCCCGCCGAGCCGGGCGCGGCCGTCGCCGTCGCTCTCCCGGGAGGTTTCGTCGCCCCATTCGAAGTCGGCGCTGCCGCCGCGCTGGCTCGGGGGTCCCGGGGGTCCCCCGCGGCTCTCGGGGAGCCCCTCGAGCTCCTTGGTGCGCATGGAGAGGTGGCGGGAGCAGAACCCGCGGCGCTGCGACTCTTTGGTGCAGCCGTCCCGGGAGCAGAGCCGCCGCCACTGCTTCCCGTTAAACTTCTTGCGGATCCCGTTGGGGGTGCACACCACGTCCCCCTTTTTGTATTTGGGTTGGGGGGTCCCCCCGGCCGCGTTCTGGGGGGTTCCCGCGGTCGGTGCAGCCGCTCCGGGGCGCGGGGCGGGTCCGGCGCTGAGTTTGGAGACTTCGGCGTCCTCCGCTTGTCTCGGGCCGGCGGCGGCGGCGGCTTCATCCTCCTCATCCTCAGCCCCGGTCCCGGTGGGGTCTCCGTGGGCGTGGGGCGGCCACGGGGGTCGCAGCAGGCGGAGCCCCGAGCGCGGCACCCAGACCGGGGGCGCGGGGGGCGGCGGCGCGAAGCGGACCCGGTACGAGGGCGGCTTGGCGCTCACCTCCACCACCGTGCCCGGCCGGTACAGCGTCTCGGCGGGGTCCAGCCGGGCGCACACCGCCGTGCCCACCCCCAGCGCTCCCGCCGGCGGGGTGGCGTCCAACACCACGGCCGGGGGGTCCCCCAGGAGGAACCCCCCCTCCAAAAACGTCACCCCGCGGTCCCCGGCGAACTGCACGCCCAGCTCGTGGCCGCGGCGGAGCTGTTTGACCACGGCCGGCCGGAAAACGCCGTCGCGCCGCGCCAGGACGCGCTGGCAGCGGAGCCGCCGGAACGCCGCCTCCAGCTCGGGGGGGTCCCCGGGGGTCGCCGGGATCGGCAGCGGGGCCGGGGCGCCCCCTCCTCCTCCTCCTCCTCCTCCTCCTCCTCCTCCTCCTCCTCCTCCGCCGCCGCCCTCGTCGGCCGAGTGCTCGCTGGCCGTGTCGGTGCTGGAGCAGCCGCTGCCGCCGCCGGGGTCGCCACCGGAGGGCTCCGGGTAGCCCAGAGGGTCCCCGGGCTCCTCGCCGGGGGTCGGGGGCGGTTTCTTGCGGGGGGCGCGCGATTTGAAGGTGGTGGTCTTGCGGCTGGGAGGGGGGGGGTCCTCCGGGGGGGGCTGGGGGGAGGAACAGGAGGAGGGGGGAAGGGGGGAGGGGGAGTCCTCGTCGGGTTTGGGGGGTTTGGGGCGGCCCGGAGGGGGCAGCGCGGCGCGGGGGGCTGAGGAGGACGAGGAGGAGGAGGAGGAGGAGGAGGAAGAGGAGGAGCCGCCGGCCTTCCTCGCTGGCTTCATCGTCCTCCCGCCGGGACGGCGCCGCGGGGTCCTGCGGGGAGACCCCAAAAAATCAGCCCCGGGGTGGAGGGGGGCGTGGGATAGAGAAACCCCCCCCGCCCCACTGAGAACCCCCAAATGGGGAGGGGGGGGTGACAGCGCCAGGACCCCCAAAAACTCCGCGGGGACACCGCGAGCGGGGGGCGCCCCCAAAAACTGGGGTCTCGCCCCCAAAATTCGGGGTTCTGCACCCCAAAATTGGGGTCCGGAACCCAAAATTCGGGGTACCAAAACCCAACATGGGGTTCCCGCACCCCAAAATTCGGGTCCCGCACCACAAATTCGGGGTCCCGAACCCCAAAATGGGGGTCCCGCCCCCCAAAACCGGAGGGTCACCCCCGTGCCGGTGACACCGCCGGGGGGGTCACCCCACCCCCACCCTAAACTTCGGCGGGGGGGGGAACTTTTGGGGAGGCTCCGCCCCCTCCCCGGGGGTGACACGTCACGGGACCCCTCCCCCCGCGCCCCTCCCCCTCCCCGCCGCCCCCGGGGGGTCTCGGGACCCCCCCTCGGTACCTGCGCCCCCCCCGCGGCCGCCGGGCCCGCGGGAGCCCCGATTTACTCCGGCCGACAAAATGGTGAATGAACCGGGAGCAGCCGCGGCCGCGGCCAATCAGCGCCCACAACCGCCTGACTGACAGCCGCGCCGACCAATAAGCGCCGCGCTCCTGCCGCCGACGTCCCGCCCCCCTTTCCCCGGCTGACAGTGACCAATCGCGACGCGCGGGAGGCGTGGTCGGGAGTACAGTAGCCAATCAGAAGCGGGCATGGGCGTGGCTTAGGGGCTTGTTTACCTTAGGGTGGTCGTGCAGGGGGCGTGGCCGCGCGGTGCACGCCGGGATCGCGCCCCCCCGTTCTGCGGACTACAACTCCCAGCGTGCCCCGCGGCGCGCGCGGCCCCACGGGAAACCGAGTCTTTCCTCCCAAAAAACTCCACTTCCCGGCATGCCCCGCGCCGCCCCGACCCCTTCGCTTCCTCCCCACCCCCCCAGCAAAAATCCGGCTCTGAGGGGGGAGGGGGAGGAGGGGCGGCCACCCCCCCCCCCCTTTTGCCCCGTAGCGGAAAGGGGGTTTGTCACGCGTGGCGCATCTCATTAGCATGTCATTAGCATATTGATGAGCTCACCCGGCGGCCGCTCCCGGCGCCTCCGGCCCCGTCCGGGCCCCTCGCGCTTCCCCTCAGCAACAGCGGAGCCGCCGCCGGCAGCGGCCAATCAGCGCCCGCGCCGGCCCGCAGGCCCCGCCCACCCCGCCCCCCACGTGGGGACGGAGGGGGCGTGGCCACGCGCAGCCAATAGCGGCCCGGGGCGGCCGAGCGATGAGGTCACCGCGGCGCGCTCTCATTGGTGGGAGAATCCTACCAATCAGAATGGAGGGGGGGGCGTGTGTGACACGCTGGAGCCGCTGAGGCTCCGCCCACTTCACGCTAAAGCCACGCCCCATATGAGCTGGCCACGCCTTCTTTGCGCGCATGCGTACAACCCAGCCGGGCTCTGCCTCAGTTTCCCCGCGCAGTGACGTCAGCAAAAGGGGGCGGGGCTTGCCAGGCCACGCCCCTCCCCCTCTCATTAACCGCAGGGGGGAGGGGAGGAGGAAGCTGAATAATTAATGCTGAATAATTAATGCTGAATAATTAATGACGCTATTTATAACCGCGGGGGGAGGGGCGGCGGCGCCAGCCGGGGGAGGGGCGGGGTCTGACGGGGAGGGGGGAGGGGCGGGGCTTTCCCGCGTTCCCAGCCACGTGCGGCCCCTCCCCCCCGAATTTGGGGGCGCTGGGGGGGGTTTGGGACCCTCCCCCCCCCCCAAATTCGCTCTGGAAGCGGCTTTAGGAGGTGGGCGTGGCTTGCTGGCAAAGGGGGCGTGGTTTAAAGCGCGGGGGCGGGGCCTGTCGCCATGGGGACGCGGCGCTGCCTTTGGGGGCGGGGGGCGGGGCGGGGGGCGGGGTGGGGGAGGGGCGGAGGAGGCCGTGGGGGGAGGGGGGGTCGGGGGAAGGGGGGGGGAGATCGCGACGGCGGCGGCAGCGCAGCCATGAAGACTCCGGCGGACGCGGGTGAGAACTGCGCCCCCCCCCCCCCAAACGAACCCCCGCGGGGTTTTGGAGCGGGGGGAGGGGGAGGGGAAACTTTTTTTTGGGGGGGGGCTCCCCTTCCCCCCCCCACGCGGGAGGGGAGGAACTTTGCCCTCCCCCACCCCCTCCCCCCTTCCCCGATCCGCGCCGCAAACTTTCCCCCCCCTCCCCCTCCTCTGCCCCTCCCCCACGTGGCGCCCCACGCGCGTGACCCTCCCCTCCCCCCCTCCGATTTTGGGGGGGTCCGGCCGCCCCCTCCCCGCCCCTCCCCCCCCTTTTCCCACGGAGTTTCGGGACCTGTTGCGCTCCCCTCCCCCTCCCCCTCCCCCCAAACCGCGACCCCTCCCCCGCCCGATTCCCACGCGGGGGGGGGTCCGTGGGGGGGGTCGGGGGGGGCTCCTCCCCTCCCCCACGCGTGGGTGGGGTGGGGGGTGCGGGTGGGGGAGGGGCGCTGCCACGTTGTGTGTTTTGGAGGAGGGGGAGGGGGCAGGGCCGGCCCCTCCCCCCTCCCCGCGCGGGGTCTGGGGGCGGAATTTTGGGGCGTTCTGGCGTTAATTAGCGCGGGGGGGTTAATTAGAGGAGCCTCATTAAGATTGGGATGCCCCCCTCCCCCCCTCATCGTCCCCTCCCCCTTCAGGACCCGCCCGGGCCGGTTCAAACTTGTCCCCTCCCCCCTCCCGTAGCTCAAGCCACGCCCCCTCATTTCCATAGACCCGCCTTCTCATTTCCATGGCCACGCCCCTCCCGCGCGCCGGGAGCGCCCCCTGGCGGGGGGGGGGCGGGGACCCCCAAATTTGGGGGGCAAAGGGGGGGAGGGGCGGAGCGAGGGGGGGTGGGGGAGGGGCCCCAAAATTTGGGGCGGAGCCCAAAAGTTGGAGCGGGCCGCGAGTTTGGGGTCCCGGGGCGGTTTTGGGGTCCCGGGGGCGGATTTGGGGTCCCGGGGGCGATTTTGGGGTTCTGGGGGCGGTTTTGGGGTCTCGGGGGCGGTTTTGGGGTCCCGGGGTCGATTTTGGGGTTCTGGGGGCGGATTTGGGGTCCCGGGGGCGGTTTTGGTGTCTCGGGGCGGTTTTGGTGCCTCCGCGGGTTTTGGGGGGGCTTTGGGGGTCACTGAGGAGTTTTGGGGGTCCCGGTCCCGTTTTTGGGGTCTCGGCCCAATTTTGGGGCCATCCCGGGGGTCTCTGACCGATTTTGGGAGTCTCGAGTTCGGTTTTGGGGTCCCAATCCCGTTTTTGGGGCGGTTTTTAGTGTCCTACTCCCATTTTTGGGGTCTTGCTCCCAGTTTGGGGTCCCAGTCCCAGTTTGGGGTCCCAGTCCCAGTTTTGGGGCCCTTTCTGGGGTCCCAGTGCAGTTTTTGGGTTCTGGGGCCGTTTTTGGGGTCCCAACCCGGTTTTGGGGCAATTTTTGGGTTTTGGGGCCGTTTTTGGGTTTTGGGGCCGTTTTTGGGTTTTGGGGCCGTTTTTGGGTTTTGGGGCAGTTTTTGGGGTCCCAGCCCGTTTTGGGGGCCGTTTTTGGGATTTGGGGCTGTTTTTGGGGTCCCCCCCCCGTTGCGGGAACAGAGCCCCCATTGAGGCCGGTGACGTCACCGCCCCTCCCCCCACCCAGAACAGACCCCGGAGTGTCTCCGGCCCCTCCCCCACCCCGGGGCCACCAAGGGGGGGAGGGGAAGGGGGGGCAGGGGGCGACTTTTGGGGGGTCCTGAATTTTGGGGTCCTGAATTTGGGGTCCTTAATTTTGGGAACTTAATTTTGGGGGCAATTTTTGGGGTCTGAATCTGGGGGTCTCGATTTTAGGGTCTCGATTTTGGGGTGACTTTTTGGGGTCTGAATTTAGGGTCTCGATTATTTGGTTCTGAATTTGGGGTGACTTTTTGGGGATGATGATTTTGGGGTCCTGAATTTGGGATCCTGAATTTGGGGTCTCGATTTCGGGGTGACAAACCTGAGGTGATGATTTTGGCGTCCTGAACTTGGTGTCCCTTTTTGGGGTCCTGACTTTGGGGTGACTTTTTGGGGTCCTGACTTTGGGATTCTGATTTTGGGGTGCTGTGATGACATCGCCGGTGACGTCACTGATGATGTCACGGACGACATCGCGCTGATGAGGTCACGCCTGTGGCAGCGATGACGTCACTCTGTCGGTGTCACTGTGTCGATGTCACATTGCAGTGACACACATGACGTCACACCAATGATGTCACACCGATGACGTCACACGGATTATGTCACACCATTCCCCGCAGGTTTTGCGTTCCCCAAGTGGGCGCAGGAAGGGACAGTGATGATGTCACAGTGCTGATATGACATGGGCGATGTCACACTGATGATGTCACACAGCAGTGACACCGATGATGTCACACCAATGACATCACACTGATGACATCACACCGATGCTGTCCCCCACCCCCTGTAGGTTTCGTGTTGCCCGAGTGGGCACAGGAGGGGACAGTGACAATGTCACAGTGCCAGTGTCACACTGCAGTGACACTGATGATGTCACACCGATGATGTCACACCCATGATGTCACATGGCAGAGACACCGATGATATCATAGTGCCAATGTCACACCAATGATGTCACACAGTGGTGACACCGTCCCCATCCCCTGTAGGTTTCGCGATCCCCGAGTGGGCGCAGGAGGGACAGTGACAATGTCACACCAATGATGTCACACTGATGATGTCATACAGTGGTGACACTGATGACATCACACTGATTACATCACACCAATGACATCACACTGTCCCCGTTCCCCTTTAGGTTTCGCGTTCCCCGAGTGGGCGCAGGAAGGGACATGTCACAGTGATGATGTCACACTGATGATGTCACACAGTGGTGACACTGATGATGTCACACCAATGACATCACACTGATGACGTCACACCCATGACGTCACACGACAATGACACCGATGATGTCCCCTGTAGGTTTCGCGTTCCCCGAGTGGGCACAGGAGGGGACAGTGATGATGTCACTCTGACAATGTCACACAGCGGTGACACTGATGATGTCACACCGATGATGTCACACCGATGCCATCCCCTGTCCCGTTCAGGCTTCGCGTTCCCCGAGTGGGCGTACAAGGCGGAGTCGAGCCCCGGCTCGCGGCAGATCCAGCTGTGGCACTTCATCCTGGAGCTGCTGCGGCAGGAGCGCTACCGCGAGGTCATCGCCTGGCAGGGCGACTACGGCGAGTTCGTCATCAAGGACCCCGACGAGGTGGCGCGGCTCTGGGGGGTGCGCAAGTGCAAGCCCCACATGAACTACGACAAGCTCAGCCGCGCCCTCAGGTACGGCTGGGCCCAAAATCCGGGATTTGGGGCATTTTTCCCCTTTTTTCCCCCTTGAAAATTCAGAATTTTTGGGGTTTTTGGCCTTTTTCCCCATTAATTTTGGGTGGTTTTTCCCATTAATATTGGATTTTTTTCCCATGAATGTTGAGTTTTTTCCCCCATGAATGTTGGGGTTTTCCCCTTTCTTTTCCCCTTTTTCCTCCCATGAATTTTGGGTTTTTTTCCCATGAGTTTTAAGGTTTTTTTCCCCCATTTTTTCCCCCCATTTTTCCCCGCCGTTTTTTCCCGCCATTTTTTCCCGCCATTTTTTCCCCTCATGAATGTTGGGTTTTTTCCCCTTTCTTTTCCCCTTTTTCTCCCACGAATTTTGGGTTTTTCCCTATTTTTCCACTTGGAAATTCGGGATTTGGGGCATTTCCCATCCCAATTTGGGATTTTGGGGCATTTTCCCATCCCAATTTGGGGTTGGGGCGCGGCTCTGGGGGGTGCGCAAGTGCAAGCCCCACATGAACTACGACAAGCTCAGCCGCGCCCTCAGGTACGCATTTATTCCCAAAATTTGGGATTTTTGGGAATTTTTCCCATTTTTTCCCCGTGAAAATTCGGAATTTTTGGGGTTTTTGGCCTTTTTCCCCATGAATTTTGGGTGTTTCTTCCCATTAATATTGGATTTCTTTCCCATGAATGTTGAGTTTTTTCCCCCATGAATGTTGGGGTTTTCCCCTTTCTTTTCCCCTTTTTCCTCCCATGAATTTTGGGTTTTTTTCCCATGAGTTTTAAGGTTTTTTTCCCCCATTTTTTCCCCCCATTTTTCCCCGCCGTTTTTTCCCGCCATTTTTTCCCGCCATTTTTTCCCCTCATGAATGTTGGGTTTTTTCCCCTTTCTTTTCCCCTTTTTCTCCCACGAATTTTGGGTTTTTCCCTATTTTTCCACTTGGAAATCCGGGATCTGGGGGATTTTCCCATCCCAATTTGGGATTTTGGGGCTTTTCCCATCCCAATTTGGGGCTTTTCCCATCCCAATTTGGGATTTTGGGGCTTTTCCCATCCCAATTTGGGGTTGGGGCGCGGCTCTGGGGGGTGCGCGAGTGCCCCACATGAACTACGACAAGCTCAGCCGCGCCCTCAGGTACGGCCCAGTCCAGGTTTCACTATTTTCCCATTTTTTCCCCTTTTTTTCCTTTTTTCCCTTTTTTCCCCAGGAATTTTGGGGACTTTCCCATGAATTCTGGGTTTTTTCCCCTTGTTTCCCATGAATTTTGGGTTTTTTTCCCATGAGTTTTAAGGTTTTTTTCCCCCATTTTTTCCCGCCATTTTTTCCCGCCATTTTGTCCCCTCATGAATGTTGGGGTTTTTCCCCTTTCTTTTCCCCTTTTTCCTCCCATGATTTTGGGTTTTTCCCTATTTTTCCACTTGGAAATTTGGGATTTTGGGGCATTTCCCATCCCAATTTGGGATTTTGGGGCTTTTCCCATCCCAATTTGGGGCTTTTCCCATCCCAATTTGGGATTTTGGGGCATTTCCCATCCCAATTTGGGGTTGGGGCGCAGCTCTGGGGGGTGCGCAAGTGCCACATGAACTATGACAAGCTCAGCCGCGCCCTCAGGTACGCATTTGGCTGGGAAAATTCAGGATTATGGGAATTTTTCCCATTTTTTCCCCTTTTTTTCCCATGAAAATTAATAATTTTTGGGGTTTTTGGCCTTTTTTCCCATTAATTTTGGGTGTTTTTTCCCATTAATATTGGATTTTTTTCCCATGAATGTTGAGTTTTTTTCCCCATGAATGTTGGGGTTTTTCCCCTTTCTTTTCCCCTTTTCTCCATGAAATTTGGGTTTTCCCCTTTTTTTCTCCATGGAAATTCGGGATTTGGGGGATTTTCCCATCACAATTTGGGGTTTGAGGCCCGGCTCTACGACAAGCTCAGCCGCGCCCTCAGGTACAGCAAATTTGGCTTTATCTGTGAAAATTTGGGATTTGGGAATTTTTCCCATTTTTTCCCCTTTTTTCTCCTTGAAAATTCAGAATTTTTGGAGTTTTTTGCCTTTTTCCCCATGAACTTTGGGGATTTTTTTTCCCATGAATTTTGGAATTTTTTCCCATGAATTTTGGATTTTTTTCCCCATGAATGTTGAGTTTTTTCTCCTATGAATTTTGCAGGTTTTTTCCCCTTTTATTCCCATGAACGTTGGGGTTTTTTCCCCTTTTTCCCCCTTGGAAATTCAGGATTTTTTGGTTTTTTTTTTCCCCCCTTTTTTCCCAGGAATTTTGAGGGTTTTTTCCTTTTTTCCCCCATGGAATTTTGGGGTTCCCGGGTGGAATTTGGGGTTCCCTGGGTGGAATTTGGGATTCCCCGGGTGCATTTTGGGGTTCCCTGGGTGCATTTTGGGATTCCCTGGGTGGAATTTGGGGTTCCCTGGGTCCATTTTGGGGTTCCCGGGTAGAATTTAGGGCTCCTGGGTGCAATTTGGGTTTCCCAGGTGGAATTTGGGGTTCCCTTGGTACATTTTGGGGTTCCCGGGTGGAATTTGGGATTCTTTTGGTGCATTTTGGGGTTCCCAGGTAGAATTTGAGGTTCCCTGGGTGCATTTTGGGGTTCCGTGGTTGCATTTTGGGGTTCCCGGGTGGAATTTGGGGTTCCCAGGTGCATTTTGGGGTCCCCAGGTGGATTTTGGGGTTCCCCGGGTGGATTTTGGGGTTTCCTGGGTGGAATTTGGGGTTCCCAGGTGGAATTTGGGGTTCCCAGGTAGAATTTGGGGTTCCCTGGGTGGATTTTGGGGTTCCCGGGTGGAATTTGGGGTTCCCTGGGTGGAATTTGGGGTTCTTTTGGTGCATTTTGGGGTTCCCAGGTAGAATTTGGGGTTCCCGGGTGCATTTTGGGGTTCCCGGGTGGAATTTGGGATTCCCTGGGTGGAATTTGGGATTCCCTGGTTGCATTTTGGGGTTCCCAGGTGCATTTTGAGGTTCCCTGGGTGGAATTTGGGGTTCCCAGGTAGAATTTGGGGTTCCCTGGGTGAATTTTGGGGTTCCCCGGGTGGATTTTGGGGTTCCCTGGGTGGAATTTGGGGTTTCCTGGGTGGAATTTGGGGTTCCCAGGTGGAATTTGGGGTTCCCAGGTAGAATTTGGGGTTCCCTGGGTGGATTTTGGGGTTCCCGGGTGGAATTTGGGGTTCCCTGGGTGGAATTTGGGGTTCTTTTGGTGCATTTTGGGGTTCCCAGGTAGAATTTGGGGTTCCCGGGTGCATTTTGGGGTTCCCGGGTGGAATTTGGGGTTCCCTGGGTGGAATTTGGGATTCCCTGTGTGGATTTTGGGATTCCCAGGTAGAATTTGGGGTTCCCAGGTGGAATTTGGGGTTCCCGGGTGGAATTTGGGGTTCCGGTGGGCGTGTCCATTGCCGCCCGGTGGGCGTGGCCTGCCGAGGCCCCGCCCACGCCCCTCCCCCCCCAGGTATTACTACAACAAGCGGATTCTGCACAAAACCAAAGGGAAAAGATTCACCTACAAATTCAACTTCAACAAACTGGTGCTGGTGAACTGCCCCTTCATCGACCTGGGGCTGGCAGGTGGGCACGGGGACACACCTGGGGACACACCTGGGGACACCTGGGGACACCTGGGCTGGGCTGGTGAACTGCCCCTTCATCGACCTGGGGCTGGCAGGTGGGACTGGGACACACCTGGGGACACCTGGGCAATGGGGACACCTGGGGACATGGGGACATGGGGCATGGGGACACCTGGGCTGGGACACCTGGGCTGGTGAACTGCCCCTTCATCGACCTGGGGCTGGCAGGTGGGACTGGGGACACACCTGGGGACACCTGGGGACACCTGGGGACATGGGGACATGGGACACGGGGACATTGGGGACACCTGGGCTGGTGAACTGCCCCTTCATCGACCTGGGGCTGGCAGGTGGGACTGGGACACCTGGGGACACCTGGGGACACCTGGGGACATTGGGGACACCTGGGGACACCTGGGACACCTGGGACACCTGGGACACCTGGGGCACCTGGGGACACCTGGGACACCTGGGGACACCTGGGGACACCTGAGACACCTGGGGACACCCACAGGGACACCTGGGCTGGGCTGGTGAACTGCCCCTTCATCGACCTGGGGCTGGCAGGTGGGACATGGGACACCTGGGCTGGGACATGGGGACACCTGAGCGGACACCTGGGGACACACCTGGGGACACCTGGGGACACCTGGGGACATTGGGGACACACCTGGGCTGGGACACGGGGACACCTGGGCTGGGCTACAACTGCCCCTTCATCGACCTGGGGCTGGCAGGTGGGACATGGGGACACCTGGGGACACCTGGGGACATTGGGGACACCTGGGGGACACCTGGGCTGGGTTACCTGGGCTGGTGAACTGCCCCTTCATCGACCTGGGGCTGGCAGGTGGGACATGGGGACATTGGGGACATTGGGGACACCTGGGGCACCTGGGCTGGGCTGGTGAACTGCCCCTTCATCGACCTGGGGCTGGCAGGTGGGACATGGGGACACACCTGGGGACATTGGGGACACCTGGGGATACCTGGGGACACCTGGGACACCTGGGGACACACCTGGGGACACCTGGGGACACCTGGGGACATTGGGGACACACCTGGGCTGGGACACGGGGACACCTGGGCTGGGCTACAACTGCCCCTTCATCGACCTGGGGCTGGCAGGTGGGACATGGGGACACCTGGGGACACCTGGGGACATTGGGGACACCTGGGGGACACCTGGGCTGGGTTACCTGGGCTGGTGAACTGCCCCTTCATCGACCTGGGGCTGGCAGGTGGGACATGGGACACCTGGGGACACCTGGGACACCCACAAGGACACCTGGGTGGGGTGTGCCCAGGTGGGTCAGGGCACATCTGGGTGTGCCCAGGTGTGGTTTGGGTGTGTCTGGGCATTCCCAGGTGTGCTCTGGGTGTGCCCAGCTGTGCCCAGGTGTGCTGGGGGTGTGCCCAGGTGTGATTTGGGTGGGGTGGGCATAGTCTGGGCGTGCCCAGGTGGTGTCAGGATGGGGTGGCCGTGCCCAGCTCTGCCCAGGGCGTGGTCCAGGTGTGCCCAGGTGTGTTTCTGGGTGTGCCCAGGTGTGATTTGGGTGGGGTGGGTGTGCCCAGGTGTGCCCAGGTGCGCTCTGGGTGTGCCCAGGTGTGCCCAGGTGTGATCTGGGTGTGCCCAGGTGTGTTCCTGGGTGTGCCCAGGTGTGCCCAGGTGTGCTCTGGGTGTGCCCAGGTGCCATCCGGGTGCCCCCCTAACCCCCTCCCCCTTTTCTCTCTCCCCTCCCCCACAGGGCCCCCGCTGCCGCAGAGCGCCCCCCCCCTGCCCACGGGGGGGTCCCACTTCCGCTTCCCCCCCCTGCCCGGCCCCTCCCCGCCCCCCCCCCCCCCCGGCGGGGGCGGCCCCCCCCTGCTGGCCCCTCCCCCTCCCCCCTTCCCCTCCCCCCACCGCCGCCTGGGCTCCCTCAGCGACGGCTCCGAGGAGCCCGAGGAGCCGCCCCTCCCCCACCCCGCGCTGCCCCCTCCCCCACCCCTCACCTCCGCGGGGGGAGGGGGCGGCGGGGGAGGGGCGGGGGGGTTCCGGCCCCTCCCCCACCACCCCCACCCCCCCCGCCTGACCCCCGAGGGGCTCTTCCGCCTCTACCCCTCCCCCCACGAGCCCCCCCTCAGCCCCTTCCCCCCCTCCCCCTCCCCGCTGGGGGGGGGTGGGGGAGGGCCGGGCGGGGGGGGAGGGGCGGGGCTGCTGCCCCCCCCCCTGTCCCCCGCGCTGCCCCTCAGCCCCCCCCAGCTGGGCTACGCCCCCTCCCCCACGCTGAGCCCGCTGCTGGGGGGGGGGGGGGGGGGGGGGGGGGGGGGGGGGGGGGGGGGGGGGGGGGGGGGCGGGGGGGGGGTCGCACTTCTCCTTCTCGGCCGAGGACCTGCAGCGCGCGCTGGCGGCGCAGGCGCGGAGCGTCCTCAGCTACCACCTGAGCCCGCGCGCCTTCCTGCCCTGCCCCCCCCCCGCGCTGCTGCTGCGCCCCTCCCCCACCTCCCCCCCGAGCCCCTCCCCCACCCCCAACCCCACCCCCCCCTTCCCCTTCAAGCTGCAGCCCCCCCCGCCCGGCCGGCGGCAGCGGAACCCCCCCGCCCCTCCCCCACCGCCTTCATCATCATCATCATCATCATCATCATCATCAGCGGGCGGGGGGGGAGGGGCGGCGGCCGAGCCCCTCCCCCACATCAAGGTGGAGCCCGAGGAGGAGGAGGAGGAGGCGCTGGAGGTGGCGGCGCTGAGCGAGGAGGAGGAGGAGGAGGAGGAGGAGGAAGATGAGGAGGGGGAGGGGGAGGAGGACGAGGTGTTCGCCCCCCCCCCCCGCCGCCCGCCCCCCCCCCGCGTCCCGCCCAAACTGCGCTTCAAGCGGCGCTGGCGGGAGGGGGGAGGGGCGGGGGGAGGGGCGGGCACCGGCCCCGCGGCCCCTCCCCCCGCGCGGGGGGGTGGGGGAGGGGCGGACCCCCAAAACCTGGGGGCGGGGGGGGGAGGGGAGCTGCAGCGCGCCACGGCGCAGCTCTCGCTGGAGCCCTGAGGGGGGAGGGGCGAGGGGGGAGGGGCCGCCCCTCCCCCCACCCCCCGCTGGCCTTAAGGGGGAGGGGAATGTGGGGGAGGGGCGCCCAAACCCGCCCCTCCCACCCCCCCCCAAAAATTGGGGTGCGCCCCTCCCCCCCCCACCCCGGGATGTGGGGGAGGGGCTCGATGCAGGGATGGGGGAGGGGCGGCGCGGGAAGCCCCTCCCCCAATGAACTTTGGGCTGCCTTGGTGAGGGGGGAGGGGAGAGGGGGAGGGGAACCCCCCCCCAAACCCCCCCCCAAAAACAGAAACGGGTGAAACCCCTCCCCCACCCCCCGCAATTGGGGGGGACCCCAAAAATTGGGGGGAGGGGCGGCGCTGGAGGGGGGAGGGGACGGTCCAAAAAATGGGGGAGGGGCAGAAATTTTGGGTTGGAGGGTCCCAAAAATGGGTGAAACCCCCCCAGACCTGTTGGGGATCCCCCAAAAAACGGGCGGGACCCCCAAAATTTGGGTTGGATCCCCAAAAAAACGGGTGAAACTGACCAAAAACGGTGAAACTCCCCCAAAAACGGGCGGGAACGTCCAAATTTTGGGTTGGAATGACAAAAAAAGGATGAAACTCCCCAAAAATGGACGGGAACCCCCAAATTTTGGGGGAATGCACCAAATTTTGGGTTGGAACCCCCCCCAAAATGGGTTAAACACCCAAAAACGGGTGAAACTCCCCAAAATGGGCGGAACTCCCAAGAAATGGGCGGAAACGCCCAAATTTTGGGTTGGAATCATTCAAAACGGGGTGAAACTCCCCCCCAAAATGGGTGAAATCCCCCAAAATTTGGGTTCGACCCCCTCAAAAATGGGAATAACCCCCAAAAATGTGTGGACCCCCCCAAAATTGGGATTGGACCCAAAAAAATGGGCGGGAACTCCCAGATTTGGGTTGAACTCTCCCAAAAACGGGTGAAACCCCCCAAAGTTTTTCGGAACCCCCCGAAAACGGGTGAAGCCTCCCCAAAAAGGGGCGGGAAACCCCAAAATTTGGGTTGAACCCCCCCCAAAACGGGTGAAACCCCCAAAACGGGCGGGAAATCCCCAAATCTTCTGGGAACTCCCCAAAAAATGGGTGAAATCCCCTAAAAACGGGTGAAATCCCCAAAAAACGGGTGAAATCCCCTAAAAACGGGTGAAACCCCCCAAATTTGGGCAGGACCCCCCCCCCCAAAAGCTCCGAAGCACAAATGCGGATTTTTTGTCCCCAAAAATGCAAAGCGGGGGGGAGGGGCCGCCGGCACAGCCCCTCCCCCACCCCCGGGGGGGGTCTGCCCCCCTTTTTTTTTTTTTAAATTTTTTTTGGGGGGGGTCCCCGTTTTTGTTGTTTTTTTATTGTTTTGGGGGGTCCCCCCTTGTACAAACGGCTTTATGTAACCAAAAATTCGGGGTGGGCGGGGGAGGGGTGGGGGAGGGGAGCCCCGACCCACCCTGGGGGGGGGAGGGGAGGGGTGGGGGAGGGGATGTGGGGGGAGGGGTTTGGGGGTCTCCAAGTGCCTGTATTGTACTGTCCGGGGGGGTGGGGAGGGGGGGACACCCCCAAACCTTACGTGACCCTGGCCCCCCTTCCCCCCCCATTGCTCAGGGCCGCCCCTCCCCCCCAATTTTGTAAAGTGAGGTGGGGGAGGGGCTGAGCCCGATTTGGGGGGGGTTCAGGGCGCGGTGGGGGAGGGGTAGGGGGTGGGGGATGGGGGGAGGGGTCTCTCTGAAGCCTTATTGACACCTGTAAATAGCAGGGGGGGAGGGCGGGGGGTGGTCACTCGGAGAATGTATAAAACCGGCTGAAATAACCAATAAAGATTTCACAGTTCGCTGCTTCCCAGGAGCCACAGAATCCCACCGGGGGCTGTCCCGGGACGTTTTTGGGGTGTCCCGGGACGTTTTTGAGGGGGTCTCAGGCTTCATCCCTGCGCTTAGGCCGCACTTCCGGTGTAGCGCCGCCGTTGCCTGGCAACGCGCGATCCCGTCGCCCCTCGCGGGAACGTTGCCAGGCGACAGCCAATCAGCGCGCGCGTTGTAAAGCAAGGCTCAATTTCCGGCTTCCCTTTCGGGCGGCGTGTTGCTAGGCGACAGCCAATCAGCTGCCGGCGTTCCGGCGGGCGTTGCTAGGCGACGGCCAATCAGCGGCGAGGTTTATTCCCGGGTTTGACCCATAAGGCCTCTCGCGCGCTTTTGCGGCCGCTTCCGCCATCCCCACCCGGCCCCGAGACCCCCCAAGACCCCCCGGGCTCCTCCCCCAATTTTGGGGTTTTTTTTGCCCGTTTTTGGCGTTTTTGGCTCCTCCTACCCCGCCCCGTGCGGGCCCCTACTATCAGTTATTAGCGAGGGGGGATTTTGGGGGTCCCAGGGTGGTTTTGGTGGTCCCAGGGGGGTATTGGGGGTCGTGTATTGATTTGCCAGTCCCAGGGTTGATTTTTGGGCTGTTTTGAGCCGCTTTTTAGGGGGAAAATTCCCAATTCTCGCTCTGACCAATCAGCGAGCGCAGCACACCTCGGGGGGCGTGGCTTGGGTTGGGTCGCGCCTTTTCTTTGCTCTGCGCATGCGCGGGGCGGGGTGGGCGTGGCCAGGGCTCCCTCACGTGTCTCCACACGCGGCCGGGCACGTGCGGCCGCACGCGGGGGCGTGGCCAGGGCGGGGCGGGGCTTGGGGCGGGGCTTAGCCCTGGGGGCGGGGCCAGGCGCTGTTTTCCCTCCCCCTCCCCCCCCAATCGACTCTGGGACCCCCGGGAGGGGCTCAGGGACCCCCAGAGCCCCCCGGGACCCCCCCAGGGCACGGGGACCCCCCCCAGGGCTCAGGGACCCCCCGAGAGCCCCGGGACCCCCCCCAGGGCACAGGGACCCCCAATTAACGGAGACCCCCCCCCGAGTAATTAACATGGAGCTCCCTAATTAGGACAGAGGCTCCTAATTTATAGAGGGACCCCAATAAAGGCCTGGGACCCCTCCCCAAGTGACACAGAGAGCCAAATTAATCACACAGACCCCAATTAACCCCTGGGACCCCTCCCCAATTAACAGAGAGCCAAATTAATCACACAGACCCCAATTAACCCCTGGGACCCCTCCCCAATTAACAGAGAGCCAAATTAATCACACAGACCCCAGTTAACCCCTGGGACCCCTCCCCAATTAACACAGAGAGCCCAATTAACCCCTGGGACCTCTCCCCAGTTAACCCCTTGGACCCCCCAATTAATCACACACAGACCCCAGTTAACCCCTGGGACCCCTCCCCAATTAACACAGAGAGCCCAATTAATCACACAGATCCCAGGTAACCCCTGGGACCCCTCCCCAATTAACACAAAGACCCCAATTAACCCCTGAGACCCCCAATTAATCACACACAGACCCGAATTAACCCCTGGGACCCCTCCCCAATTAACACAGAGAGCCAAATTAATCACACAGACCCCATTTAACCCCTGGGACCCCTCCCCAATTAACAGAGAGCCAAATTAGCCACACAGACCCCAGGTAACCCCTGGGACCCCTCCCCAATTAACACAGAGAGCCCAATTAATCACACAGACCCCAATTAACCCCTGGGACCCCCCAATTAATCACACAGACCCCAATTAACCCCTTGGACCCCCCAATTAATCACAGAGACCCCAATTAACCCCTTGGACCCCCCAATTAATCACACGGACCCCAATTAACCCCTGGGACCTCTCCCCAGTTAACCCCTTGGACCCCCCAATTAATCACACACAGACCCCAATTAACCGCTGGGACCTCTCCCCAATTAATCACACACAGACCCCAATTAACCCCTGGGACCCCTCCCCAATTAACACAGAGAGCCTAATTAATCACACAGACCCCAATTAACTCCTGGGACCTCTCCCCAGTTAATCACACGGACGCCAATTAACCCCTTGGACCCCCCAATTAATCACAGAGACCCCAATTAACCCTTTGGACCCCTCCCCAATTAAACCCCTCGGGCCCCCCCCAGCCCTCTGTCCCGGAGTGGGCGTGGCCTGGAGAAGCGCTGGGCGTGGCCACGCTTAAAGCCCCGCCCACGCACGTGGGTCACGTGGGCGGGCGCGCGGCGGCCGCGTGTGGAGGGGGCGGGGCCGGGCCTGGAGGGGGCGGGGCCGCACGCGGGAGGGGCGGGGCCGCCCGTGGGGGGGGGGGGGCGGCGCATGCGCGGAGCCGTCGAAGGTGCCAGAAGGATCCGGGCGGCGGAGGCGGTGAGGGGAAAAGGGGTTCCGAGACCCTCGGGGGGTGCTTCGGAGTGGGGGGACCCCCGGGGTGAGGGGAGTTGTGAGGGGAAAGGCGGTGCTGAGGGTGAGGAGGGGGCTCTGAGAGGGTCTGTGAGGGGTTCTGAGGGGATTTGTGAGGGGAAACCCCGTCCTGAAGGGGTTCTGGGGGGATTTGTGAGGGGAAACAGCCCTGAGGGGGTCCTTGAGGGAGTCTAGGAGGATTCTGAGGGGATTTGTGAGGGGAAACAGCTCTGAGGGGGCTCTGAGAGGAGTTCTGGGGGGTTTGTCAGGGCAAACAGCTTTGAGGGGATCCTTGAGGAGATCCAGAGGGGTTTTGGGGGAGTTTGTGAGGGGAAACCTCCACCAAGGGGGCTCTGAGGGGGTCTAGAAGTCTTCTGAGGAGTTTGTGAGGGGAAACAGCTCTGAGAGGGGTTCTGAGGGGGTCTGTGAGGGGAGACCCACCCTGAGGGAGTTCTGAGGGGATCCAGGAGGGTTCTGAGGAGTTTGTGAGGGGAAACAGCCCTCAGGGAGCTCTGAGAGGGGTTCTGAGGGTGTTTGTGAGGGTGAACAGCTCTGAGGGGATCCTTGAGGAGATCCAGAGAGGTTTTGGGGGGGTTTGTGAGGGGAAAGAGCTCTGAGGGAGCTCTGAGAGGGGGTTTGTGAGGGGAAACCTCAACCAAGGGGGTTCTGAGGGGGTCTAGGAGGGTTGTGAGGGGATTTGTGAGGGGAACCAGCCTTGAGGGAGTCCCTGAGGGGATCTGTGAAGGGAACCAGCCCTGAGAGGACTTTGGGAGGGGTTCTGAGGAGTTTGTGAGGGGAAACCTCCACCGAGGGGGATCTGGGAGATCCCGAGAGGATCTGAGGGGGTTTGTGGGGGGAAACCTCCACCGAGGGGGCTCTGAGGGGATCTAGGAGGGAAAATTCACCTTGAGGGGGCTCCGAGAGAGGTTCTGAAGGGATTTGTGAGGGGAAACAGCCCTGAGGGGGTTCTGAGGAGATCCTGAGGGGTTTTGAAGGGGTTTGTGAGGGGAAACCTCCACCGAGGGGGCTCTGAGGGGATCTAGGAGGGAAAATTCAACTTGAGGGGGCTCTGAGAGGGGTTCTGAAGGGATTTGTGAGGGGGAAACAGTCCTGAGGGGGTTCTGAGAAGGGTTCTGAGGGGGTTTGTGAGGGGAAACCTCTACCGAGGGGGCTCGTGAGGGGATCTGGGAGGGAAAATTCACCTTGAGGGGGCCCTGAGAGAGGTTCTGAAGGGATTTGTGAGGGGGAAACAGCCCTGAGGGGGCTCTGAGAGAGGTTCTGAAGGGATTTGTGAGGGGAAACAGCCCTGAGGGGGTTCTGAGGAGATCCTGAGGGGTTTTGAGGGGGTTTGTGAGGGGAAATCTCCACCGAGGTGATTCTGAGGGGATCTGGGAGGACTCTGAGGGGTCCTGAGGAGGTCCTGAGAGGTTCTGAGGGGGTCTGTGAGGGGAAATCTCTACCGAGGGAGCTCTGAGGGGATCTGGGAGGGCTCTGAGGGGTTTGTGAGGGGAAACAGCCCTGAGGGGGTTCTGGGGGGATCCTGAGGGGTTCTGAGGGGGTTTGTGAGGGGAAATCTCCACCGAGGGGGCTCAGAGGGGATCTAGGATGGTCCTGAGGAGGTCCTGAGAGGTTCTGAGGGGATTTGTGAAGGGAAATCTCCACTGACATGGTTCTGAGGGGATCTGGGAGGGCTCTGAGGGGTTTGTGAGGACAAACAGCCCTGAGGGGATCCTGAGGGGTTCTGAGTGGGCTCTGCCAACCCCTTTCACTTTTCATGTCCCCTCAGACCTCCCCCTTTGCCAGGTGCCACCATCTCGCTGTCACTCGCTTCTCCAGGTGCCACCAGCTCAGTGTCACACCCCCTTCTCCCCCAGGTGCCACCAGCTCAGTGTCACACCCCCTTCTCCCCCAGGTGCCACCAGCTGACTGTCACCCTTTTCCAGGTGCCACCAACTGAGTGTCACCCCTTTTCCAGGTGTCCCCAGCCGACTGTCGCCCCTGTCCAGCTGCCACCGCCCCGTGTCCCCTCAGTCCCCTCACCGTGGAGTCCCTGCGCGCTCTGTCCCAGCTGCACTCCCCGCAGGGCGCGGGAGGAGGCACCGAAGGCCACCACGGCCACCCGCAGGGCCACCCCGGGGCGGTCCCGGGCCGCATGTGGCGGCGCTGGGCGGGCTGGGAGGAGGAGGAGTGCCTGGAGTTCTACGGCATGCTGTCCCTGCACCGCCTCTTCGAGGTGCTGGCCGCCCAGCTGACCCCCAGCGACGTGGCCGTGCTGTCCTTCCTGCTGGACGAGGCGCTGGGCGACGCCGACCGCGACAAGGGTGACAAGGACGGGGACACTGCGGTGACCCCCCGGCGGCCCCGGGGGCGCGGGGACCCCCGGGACGGGCTGGAGCTGCTGCTGGAGCTGGAGCGGCGCGGGCTGTGCCACGAGGGCGACCTGGGCCAGCTGCGGCAGCTGCTGCGGCTGCTGGCGCGCCACGACCTGCTCAGGTGTGTCACGCTCAAGAGGCCGCGGCCAGGTGAGTGGCACGGGTGGCTGTCACCTCCCTGTGTCTGCCACACCCCCCTGTGTCCCTCTGTGTCCCCTCTGTGTCCCCCTGTGTCCTTCTGTGTCCCCTCTGTGTCCCCCTGTGTCCCCTCTGTGTCCCTCTGTGTCCCCTCTGTGTCCCCCTGTGTCCCTCTGTGTCCCCTCTGTGTCCCCCCAGTACCCCCCAGTTCCCCCAGTCCCCCCTGACAGTGTCCCCTGTCCCCGCAGTGTCCCCCCAGTGTCCCCCCCAGTGTCCCCAGTACCCCCCAGTGTCCCCTGTCCCCCCAGTGACAGTGTCCCCTGTCCCCCCAGTGTCCCCCCCAGTGTCCCCCCAGTGTCCCCTGTCCCCCCAGTGTCCCCCCAGTGTCCCCTGTCCCCCCAGTGTCCCCCCAGTGTCCCCCCAGTGTCCCCCCTGACAGTGTCCCCTGTCCCCCCAGTGTCCCCCCAGTATCCCCAGTGTCCCCCCAGTGTCCCCCCTGACAGTGTCCCCCCTGTCCCTCCAGTGTCCTCCCAGTGTCCCCCCTGTCCCCCCCCAGTGTCCCCAGTGTCCCCCCAGTGTCCCCCCAGTATCCCCCAGTTCCCCCAGTCCCCCCGACAGTGTCCCCTGTCCCCCCAGTGTCCCCCCAGTGTCCCCAGTGTCCCCAGTGTCCCCCCTGACAGTGTCCCTGTCCCCGCAGTGTCCCCAGTGTCCCCCCAGTGTCCCCCCTGACAGTGTCCCCTGTCCCCCCAGTGTCCCCCCAGTGTCCCCAGTGTCCCCCCCGACAGTGTCCCTGTCCCCGCAGTGTCCCCAGTGTCCCCCCTGACAGTGTCCCTGTCCCCGCAGTGTCCCCAGTGTCCCCCCAGTGTCCCCCCTGACAGTGTCCCCTGTCCCCCCAGTGTCCCCCCAGTGTCCCCAGTGTCCCCCCTGACAGTGTCCCTGTCCCCGCAGTGTCCCCTGAGCGCGTCCCCTGCGTCCCCGCCGTGGGGGGCACCTGCCCGAGCCCCCCCCAGCCCCGCCCCGAGCGCTGGGAGACAGGTGAGGCACCTGGGGGCACTTTGGGGGCACTTTGGGGGCACCTGGGGGGCACCTGGGGGCACTTTGGGGGGCATTTGGGGTCACTTTGGGGGCACTTTGGGGGGCTGGGGACACTTTGGGGGCACCTGGGGGACACTTTGGGGGGGCTGGGGTCACTTAGGGGGCACCTGGGGCACTTTGGGGGCACCTGGGGGGCACCTGGGGGCACTTTGGGGGCACCTGGGGGGCACCTGGGGGGCTGGGGGGCACTTTGGGGGCATTTGGGGTCACTTTGGGCAGGCTGGGGGACACTTTGGGTCACTTTGGGGTCACTTTGGGGGCATTTGGGGTCACTTTGGGGGTACCTGGGGACACTTTGGGGTGCTGGAGGACACTTTGGGGGCACCTGGGGGCACTTTGGGGGCACCTGGGGGCACTTTGGGGTGCTGGAGGACACTTTGGGGGCACTTTGGGGGCACCTGGGGGGTACCTGGGGGACACTTTGGGGTCATTTTGGGTCATTTTGGGGGGGCTGGGGGGCACTTTGGGGGGGCTGGGGGACACTTTGGGGTCATTTTGGGGGGCTGAGGGTCATTGGGGGTCACACTGGGGGCCATGGGTCACTCCGTGGGTCACCGAGGGGGTCACTGGTGGTCACTCACTGGTTACTCTATTGGTCACTCTGGTGTCCCCCATCGGTCACTCTGGTGGTCACTGTGCTGGTCACTCTGGTCACTCTGGTGTCCCCCATTGGTCACTCTGGTGGTCACTCTGGTCACTCTGGTGGTCACTCTGGTGTCCCCCATTGGTCACTCTGGTGGTCACTCTGGTCACTCTGGTGTCCCGCAGGCTCCAGCTCCGGCTCCAGCTCCGGGAAGCGGAAGCGCAGCGCCCGAAATTCCCGAAATTCCCGAAATTCCCGAAATTCCCGAAATTCCCGAAATTCCCGAAATTCCCGACGGACACGGCGACCCCGAGACCCCCCCCAGGACCCCCCCCAGGACCCCCCCCAGGACCCCCCCGAGCCCCCGGCCAAGGTCACCTGCGGTGAGCTGGGACAAACTGGGACAAACTGGGACGGACTGGGACACACTGGGACAAACTGGGACAGACTGGGACAGACTGGGACAGACTGGGACAGACTGGGACAGACTGGGACAAACTGGGACAGACTGGGACAGACTGGGACGGATTGGGACAAACTGGGACAGACTGGGACAAACTGGGACAGACTGGGACAGACTGGGACAGACTGGGACAGACTGGGACAAACTGGGACAGACTGGGACAAACTGGGACAGACTGGGACAAACTGGGGCAGACTGGGACAGACTGGGACAGACTGGGACAAACTGGGGCAGACTGGGACAGACTGGGACAGACTGGGTCACACTGGGACAGACTGGGACAGACTGGGACAGACTGGGACAAACTGGGACAGACTGGGACAGACTGGGACAGACTGGGACAGACTGGGACAGACTGGGATAAACTGGGGCAGACTGGGACAGACTGGGACACACTGGGACACACTGGGACAAACTGGGGCAGACTGGGACAAACTGGGACAGACTGGGACAGACTGGGACAGACTGGGATGGACTGGGACAGGCTGGGACAGACTGGGACAAACTGGGGTGAACTGGGACACACTGGGACAAACTGGGGCAGACTGGGACAAACTGGGACAGACTGGGACAGACTGGGACAGACTGGGACAAACTGGGACAGACTGGGACAGACTGGGACACACTGGGACGGACTGGGACAAACTGGGATGGACTGGGACAGACTGGGACAGACTGGGACAGACTGGGACAAACTGGGACAAACTGGGACAGACTGGGACAAACTGGGATGGACTGGGACACACTGGGACAAACTGGGGCAGACTGGGACAAACTGGGACAGACTGGGACAGACTGGGACACACTGGGACGGACTGGGACAAACTGGGACAGACTGGGACAAACTGGGGTGAACTGGGACACACTGGGACAAACTGGGGCAGACTGGGACAAACTGGGACAGACTGGGACAGACTGGGACAAACTGGGACAGACTGGGACAAACTGGGACAGACTGGGACAGACTGGGACAGACTGGGACAAACTGGGACAGACTGGTGCAAACTGGGACAGACTGGGACACACTGGGACACACTGGGACACACTGGGACAAACTGGGACAAACTGGGGCAAACTGGGACAAACTGGGGCAGACTGGGACAAACTGGGACAAACTGGGATGGACTGGGACAGACTGGGAGGGACAAACTGGGACAGAACCAGTACAGGACTGGGAGGGACAAACTGGGACAAACTGGGACAGGACCAGTATGGCACTGGGAGTTCCATGTGGGGAACTGGGACACTCAGTCCAGTGCTGGAGCTGGGCAAACTGGGAGAACTGGGAGAACTGGGAGTGCAGAGATTCCAGAGCTTGTGGGGCAGTGAGTCACTGGGCAAACTGGGCAAACTGGGAATGGCGGTGCCGTGGAACCAGTACGGGTTACTGGTTTAAACTGGGAGCACTGGGAATGGCAGTGCCATGGAACCAGTACGGGTTACTGGTTTAAACTGGGAGCACTGGGAATGGCGGTGCCATGGGACCAGTACGGGTTACTGGTTTAAACTGGGAGCACTGGGAATGGCGGTGCCGTGGAACCAGTACGGGTTACTGGTTTAAACTGGGAGCACTGGGAGTGGCAGTGCCATGAAACCAGTACGAAGTTACTGGTCTGCACTGGGAGTACTGGTCCTTACTGGTGTGTGCTCATCAGTGCTGGTTTTCAATGTCCTGACTGGTTTATACTGGTTTATACTGGTTTATACTGGGTTCTTACTGGTTTTCCCCCATCTGTCTCTGTGCTGAGTACTGCGAGCACGAGCGTGCCCTTACTGGGTTATACTGGGTTATAGTGGGTTATAATGGGCTATACTGGGTTATACTGTGTTATACTGGGTTATACTGGGTTATACTGGTTCTATACTGGTTCTAACTGGTTCTATACTGGTTCTAACTGGTTTTATACTGGTTCTGACTGGTTCTTTCTGGTCGCAGACATCCGGCTGCGTGTCCGCGCCGAGTACTGCGAGCACGAGCGCGCTGGGTTATACTGGTCTATACTGGGTTATACTGGGTTATACTGGTTCTGTACTGGTTCCATACTGGTTCTAACTGTTTCTAACTGGTTTTATACTGGTTCTAACTGGTTTTTCCCGGTCACAGACATCCGGCTCCGTGTCCGTGCCTAGTACTGCGAGCACGAGCGCGCTGGGTTATACTGGGTTATAGTGATCCATACTGGGTTATACTGGTTCCATACTGGTTCTAACTGGTTCCATACTGTTTCTAACTGGTTTTTACTGGTGCTAACTGTTTTTTCCTGGTCACAGACATCCGCCTGCGCGTCCGTGCCGAGTACTGCGAGCACGATCGCGCTGGGTTATACTGGGTTACAGTGATCCATACTGGGTTATACTGGGTTATACTGGTTCCATACTGTTTCTAACTGGTTTTTACTGGTTCTCACTGGTTTTTCCCGGTCACAGACATCCGCCTGCGTGTGCGTGCCGAGTACTGCGAGCACGAGCGCGCGCTGGGTTATACTGGGTTATACTGGGCTATACTGGGTTATACTGGTTCCATACTGGTTCTAACTGGTTTTATACTGTTTTATACTGGTTCTAACTGGTTTTTACTGGTTTCCCCCCCCAGACATCCGGCTCCGTGTGCGTGCCGAGTACTGCGAGCACGAGCAGGCTGGGTTATACTGGGTTATACTGGGTTATAGTGGGCTATAGTGGGCTATACTGGTTCCATACTGGTTCTAACTGGTTCCATACTGTTTTATACTGGTTTTTCCTGCTCACAGACATCCGGCTCCGTGTCCGTGCCGAGTACTGCGAGCACGATCGCGCGCTGCGCCGCGGCGTGGCCTCCAGCCGGCCGCGGGGCCCCGGGCGGGCGCTGGACGTGTTCGGCCAGGCCAGCGGCGTGCTGAAGGCGCGGGACCTCGGCTCCATCCTGTGCGACATCAAGTTCTCGGAGCTGTCCTACCTGGAGGCGTTCTGGGGCGATTACCTGAGCGGGGCGCTGCTCGAGGCGCTCAAGGGCGTCTTCCTGACCGAGGGGCTGCGGCGCGCCGTGGGCCGCGAGGACGTGCGGCTGCTCGTCAGCGTCGACCAGGACGACTACGAGGCGGGACGGAGGCTGCTGCTGCAGGCACAGGGGGGTGTGGGGGGCGCAGGGGGCGTGGGGGGCACGGGGGGCACGGGGGGCATGGGGGGTGTGGGGGGCACGGGGAGAGGCGGCCGGGGCTGAACGGGAGAGGTGAGTGAGGGAACGGGGGTGTTGGAAGGAGGGGGTCCTGGAAAAATGGGGTCCCAAAAAATGGGGTCCCAAAAATGGGGTCTCAAAAAATGGGGTCCCAGAAAATGGGGTCTCAAAAAATGGGGTCCCAGAAAATGGGGTCCCAAAAATGGGGTCCCAGAAATGGGGTCCCTAAAAATGGGGTCCTTAAAAATGGGGTCCCAGAAAATGGGTCCCAGAAAATGGGGTCGTAAAAATGGGGTCCCAGAAAATGGGGTCACAAAAATGGGGTCCTAAAAATGGGGTCCCAGAAAGAATGGGGGTGTCCTCAGAGAAAGAGAATTCTAAAAGAAAGGGGGTTTCTAAAAGAAAGGGGGTCCCAAAAAGATGGGGGGGGTCCTAAAAGAAGGAGAAATCTAAAAGAAAGGGGGTTCCTAAAAAAAAGGGGGTCCCAGAAAATGGGGTCCCAGAATATGGGGTCCCCAAAAAATAGGGTCCCAGAAAGAAGGGGTTCCTAAAAGAAAGAGAATTCTAAAAGAAAGGGGGTTTCTAAAAAATAGGGGGTCCCAAAAAATGGGGTCCCAAAAAATGGGGTCCCAGAAAATGGGGTCCCAGAAAGAACGGGGGGTCCTCAGAGAAGGAGAATTTTAAGAGAAAGGGGGTTCCTAAAAAAAAGGGGGTCCCAAAAAATGGGGTCCCAAAGAGAAGGGGGGGTCCTAAAAGAAAGAGAATTCTAAAAGAAAGGGGGTTCCTAAAAAAAAGGGGGTCCCAAAAAATGGGGTCCCAAAAAATGGGGTCCCAGAAAGAACGGGGGGGGTCCTAAAAGAAGGAGAATTCTAAAAGAATGGGGGTTCCTAAAAAAAAGGGGGTCCCAAAAAATGGGGTTCCAGAAAGAAGGGGGGGTCCTCAGAGAAGGAGAATTCTAAAAGAATGGGGGCTCCTAAAAAAAAGGGGGTTCTAAAAAGATGGGGGTTGGTTCTAAAAAGATTGGGGTCCCAAAAAGAAGGAGAATTCTAAAAGAAAGGGGGTCCCCAAAAAAAGAAAGGGGTCTCAAAAAAGGGGGGTCAGTGAGGAAGTGGGGGCGTTGAAAGGAGGGGGTTCCTGAAAAAATGGGGTGTGGAAATGGGGGTCACTAAGAAAAGGGGATCCCAAAAAAAACGGGGCCTGGAAAAGGGGATCCCAAAAAAATTGGGGTGCCAAAAAAGGGGGTTCCTAAAAGAAAAGGGGGTCCTGAGAAGGGGGTCTGGAACACGGGGTGGGGGAACCCCAAAAATGGGAGACTCTGAAAAAAAGGGTGGGGTCGTAAAAAGAAAACCCCAAAAATGAGAAGGGGACCCCAAAAATTGGGAGATGACCCCAAAAAGTGAGGAAGGACCCCAAAAATGAGGAAGGGACCCCAAAAATGGGGGAGAGGACCCTGAAAATGAGGAAAGGGCCCCAAAAATGGGGAGAAACCCTCAAGAATGAGGAGAGAACCCCAAAAAGATGAGGGGGAACCCCAAAAAAAGATGGAGGATGCCAAAAAAGGGAGAAAACCCCAAAAATGGGGGAAAAAACCCCAAAAATTGGGGAAGAGACCCCAAAAATGGGCCAAAAAGACACAAAAATGAGGAGAAAACCCCAAAAATGGGGAAAACACCTCCACCCCAAAAATTGGTAAAAAAACCAAAAAAAAAACTGGGGAAGGGACCCCAAAAATGAGAAGAGGACCCCCAAACTGGGGAGAAAACCCCAAAAATGAGAAGAGGACCCCAAAAAGGAGGGACCCCTCCCCCCCCCCGGGGGTCCCCGTTTCTCAGGGCCGCCCCCGGGACCCCCCCCCAAAATTCCGCCCCTCCCCCACCCCCGTTCCCGCCGGTGACCCCTCCCCCAAAGGGGCGGGGCTGTAAATATGTAAATGAGCTGTTAAAATATGCGGGCTGGGCTTGGGCGGTGACGTCACGGGAGGGGCGGGGCTAAGGGAACCCCAAAGTGCCTAAAGGGTGGGCGGGGCTAAATATGTAAATGAGGCTGATGGGCGGGGCTTGTACAGAGGGGCGAGGCCTGGGTTGGGGTTTTTTGGTTTTTTCCCCCAAATTTGGAATTTTTTGGAAAATAAAAAATAAAATATTTGGAAAAAGGAGAAATAAAAAATCCTGAGGGTTTTCTTGGGGGGGAAATTGAGAGGATTTGGTAAAAAAAAATTAAAAATAAATTTATAGAAAACATATTGGGGCAGATTTTGGGGGAAAAAAGGGAATTTAGAAAGAATTTGGAAGGGAAATTAAAGGGTTTAAATCGCCAATTTTGGATTAAATGGAATTAAATTTCTATTAAATTTGGGTTTTAATTGAGTTTTAATGAGGTTTGAAGGAAATAAAAGTGATGGAATTGATTTGGAAATAGTTAAAGAATGGAAAAGAATTACAAGAATTAAAATTAAATTAATGAAAAGATTGAAAATTATTAAATGTAAAATTCAATTAATTAAAATTTCTCATAAGGGGATTAAAATACCCGGATTTGAAAGGGTTAAATGAGGATTAAAACGCTTCAAAATGAATTAAAATTAATTACATTTAATTAAAATTAATTAGAATTAAAATCTAGTTCGGATATTTAGAGGGAAATGGGGAATTTGGGAGTAAAACTGGGGAAATTTGGGAGAAAAATTGGGAATTTTGGGGGAAAATGGGAATTTATTTGGGTTAAATGAGGAATTTGGGGGGAAATTGGGAATTTTGGGGGGAAATTGGGAATTTGGGGGGAAAACGGGAAATTTTGGGGGGAATTTGGGCTCTGTGGGGTCCGAGGGCAGCACAGGGGTGGGGTAAGTGAAAAATCCATAGGATAAGTGAGAATCCATAGGATAAATGAAAAATCCATATGTTAAAAGTGAAAATCCATAGGATAAGTGAAAAATCCATACCTCAATTACTGGAAATCCTCGGGGGAAGTGAAAAATCCATGGGAGACGTGGGAAATACATAAAATAAATTAAAATATATAGGGAAAAAGGGAAAATCTGTTAAATAAATGAAGATCCATAGGGAAAAAAGGGAAAATCTGTGAAATAAATGAAGATCCATAGGGAAAAAAAGTGAAAATCTGTGAAATAAATGAAGATCCATAGGGGAAAAGTGAAAATTTGTAAAAAAAATGAAAATCCATAGGGAAAAAAGTGAAAAATCCATAGCATCGATGAAAATCTATAGGATAAAAGTGAAAATCCATGGGGAAAGTGAAAATCTATGGGGTAAATGGAAATCTGTAGGGTAAATGATTAATGGGGGATCTATTGGGGATTTATTGGGGATCAATGGGGGATTTATTTGGGATCAATGGGGGATTTATAGGGGATCAATGGGGGATTTATTGAGGATTTATTGGGGATTAATGGGGGATTTATTGGGGATCTAAAGGGGATCAATGGGGGATTTATTGGGGGATTTTTTGGGGATCAATGGGGGATTTATTGGGGGATTTATTGGGGGATTTATAGGGGATCTATTGGGGATCTAAAGGGGATCAATGGGGGATTTATTTGGGATCAATGGGGGATCTATAGGGGATCAATGGGGGATTTATTGGGGATTAATGGGGGATCTATAGGGGATCAATGGGGGATTTAAGGGGGATTTATTGATGATTTATTGGGGATAAATGGTTGATTTATTGGGGATTTATTGATCATTTATTGGGGATAAATGGGGGATTTATTGAGGATTTATTTGGGATCAATGGGGGATCTAAAGGGGATCAATGGGGGATTTATTGGGGATTTATTTGGGATCTATTGGGGATCTAAAGGGGATCAATGGGGGATTTATTGGGGGATTTATAGGGGATCAATGGGGGATTTATTCTATAGGGGATCAATGGGGATTTAAGGGGGATTTATTGATGATTTATTGGGGATAAATGGTTGATTTATTGGGGATTTATTGATCATTTATTGGGGATAAATGGGGGATTTATTGGGGATTTATTGGGGATCTATTGATGATTTATTGGGGATCAATGGGGGGTTTATTGGGGATTTATTGATCATTTATTGGGGATCTATAGGGCCCCTCCCCCCCCCATTCCCAACCCCATTTTGGGGCCTTTCCCTCCCCCCGCCCCCAAAATTTGGGATTTTCCCGCCTGTTATTAACTGGGATGAGGGCGGGAAAAAAATCCCCAAATAAATCCCCAAATCCCAAAATCCCCAAATTCCCCAAATCCCCAAATAAATCCCCAATCCCAAATCCCAAAATCCCTCAAAAAATGCCCAAAAATCCCCCCCAAAAATCCCCAAATCTCCCCCCAAAAAAATCCCCAAATAAATCCCAAAATCCCCAAATCCCCCCCAAAATTCCCCCCAAAAATCCCCAATTTTGGGGGGAAGATCCGCGGGGGGGGAGGGGCGGCCGCAGCCGCAGGTGCCCCCCCGCCCCTCCCCCACCCCGCCCCTCCCCCACCCCGCCCCTCCCCCACCCCGGCGCATCCCCGTTCCCATGGCAACCGCGGCCTGGGGGGGGGTGGGGAGGGGTTTGAGGGGTGGGGGAGGGGCGGCGCTGTTGGGGGGGCCCCTCCCCCCTCCCCCCTCCCCCTCCCCTCCCCCACTGCCCCTCCCCCCCTTTTTATTCCCCATCATTTATTTCACTTTATTCCCATTTTCCCCCCATTTATTTGTAATATTTTCCCCTCCCCCCCCCCCCCCCCCCCCGGTATCGATCCCTCCCCTCCCCCACCCCTCCCCCTCCCCTCCCCCACCCTCCCCCCTCCCCTCCCCTCCCCCCCCTCATGGAGGAGTCTCCGCGCGCCGCCGATGGAGGCGGAGGTGGGTGAAGCCGCGCGTCCCCTCCCCCACCCCCCTCCCCTCCCCCACCCCCCCCCCCCCTCCCCTCCCCTCCCCTCCCCCACCCGCCGACAGAGAGAAAAAAAAAAAAAAAAAAAAAAAAAAAAAAAAAAAAAAGCCCGTCCGCTTTGCAAACTTTGCATAAATTTGCATATTGATTGGCCGGGGGGGAGGGGCCGCGCCGGGCCTCCCTCCCCTCCCCCACCCCGCCCCTCCCCCACCCCCGCCTCGCTCCGAGCCCCCCCAAAATCTCCCCCCCCACCCCCCCTTTGTCCCTGCTGGGGGTGGGGGAGGGGCGGGGGGGCGCCCCCAAAATCCCCCAAAATCCCCCCAAATCACCCTCCCCCCTCCCCCCTCCCCTCCCCCACCCCTCCCCCACCCCTCCCCCACCCCCCGTTCTTTGTGCGGCGGATTTTGGGGGGGGGGGCGGATTTGGGGGGGCCCGGGGTGGGGGAGGGGCCGGGCGGGATTTTGGGGCGATTTGGGGCGATTTTGGGGCGATTTTGGGCCATTTTGGGGGAGATCCGCCGATTTTGGGGGGTCGCGAGGGGGTTTTTTGGGGGGGAGGGGCAGCGGGAATTTGGGGGGGGATTTTTGGGGGGATTTTTTTGGGTTTTCGCCCTTTTTTTAAAATAAATTTTATTTTTAGGGGGAGGGAGAATTTTCCCGTTTTACCCCAAATTTTTATTTTTGGGGGGGGGATTTTTTTCCCCCATTTTTGAGGTGAAATTTTGGGGGGATTTTTGTGGGTTTGGGGCGATTCGTTGAATCCCGGGAGGGATTTGGGGTGAATTTGGGGGAATTTGGGATTTTGGGGAGGATTTGGGTGATTTTGGGTGGATTTCGGGCAATTTTGGGGGGATTTTAGGGGGTTTTGGGGGGATTTTTGGAAATTCGGGGGATTTTGGGGGGGTTTAGGGGAGCCCCCCCCTCCCGGCGCCGTTTTTGGGGTGAATCCTCCCGGATTTGGGGTTCCCCTCCCCCGCCCCAAATCCCGGGGGGATTCCCGAGGGTCGCGCGGGGTCGGGGGGGGAGGGGGGAGGGGGAGGGGATCGATTTTTGGGGGATTCGCATCGATTTTTTTGGGGGATTCGCATCGATTTTTTTGGGGGATTTCTCATCGATTTTTTTGGGGGATTCTCATCGATTTTTTGGGGGATTTTCATCGATTTTTGGGGTTTCCCGCCGCGGCTCCATCGATCCCGGCGCCGCCAGCGCCTCGCGGGGGGGGGAGGGGGGCTGGGAAAGGGGGGGGGACCCCCAGAGACCCCCGGGACCCCCCCAAAAATCCCCCAGACCCCAAAATCCTCCCCGGACCCTCCAAATCCTCCAAATCCCCCCCAAATCCCCCAAATCCCCCCCAAATCCTCCACCCCCCCCCAAATCCACCCAGACCCCCCCAAGACCCCTCAGACCTCCCCAAATTCCTCCAGACCCCCAAAACGGCCCCAGGACCCCCCAGATCCCCCCAAAATCCCCAAACCCCCCTTGAATCCCCCAAAATCTTCCCAAATCCCCCCAAATCTCCCCCAAAACCCCCAAAATCTCCCCCAAAACCCCCAAATCTCCCCAAATCCCCCCTGAGCCCCCCAAATCCCCCCAAAATCTCCCCCAAATCCCCCCAAATCTCCCCAAATCCCCCCCAGACCCCCCAAAACCCCCCAAATCCCCCAATTTTCCTCAAGTCGCCCCAAAATCCCCCTCAAACCCCTCCCAAATCCCCCCAAAACCCCCCAATCCCCTCCCCCCGCCCCTCCCCCATCAGCGGTATCGATCTCCCGCCCCTCCCCCCCCCCGCCGATCGATCTCCCGCCCCGCCGATCGATCGGGGCCTCCCCCATCGATCGGGGCCTCCCCCATCGATCGATCCCCGCCCGGCGGCGCCCGCGCGGCCCGAGGGGACCCCGAGACCCCCCCGGGACCCCCAAAACTGCCCCGGGACCCCCAAAACTGCACCGGGACCCCCAAAACTGCCCCGGGACCCCCCCGGGACCCCCAAAACTGCCCCGGGACCCCCAAAACCGCCCCGGGACCCCCAAAACCGCCCCGGGACCCCCAAAACTGCCCCGGGACCCCCCCGGGACCCCCAAAACTGCCCCGGGACCCCCAAAACTGCCCCGGGACCCCCCCGGGACCCCCCCGGGACCCCCAAAACTGCCCCGGGACCCCCAAAACAGCCCCGAGACCCCCCCGGGACCCCCCCGGGACCCCCAAAACAGCCCCGGGACCCCCAAAACCGCCCCGGGACCCCCAAAACCGCCCCGGGACCCCCAAAACAGCCCCGGGACCCCCAAAACTGCCCCGGGACCCCCCCGGGACCCCCAAAACTGCCCCGAGACCCCCAAAACTGCCCCGGGACCCCCAAAACTGCCCCGGGACCCCAAAACTGCCCCGGGACCCCCAAAACTGCCCCAGGACCCCCCCGGGACCCCCAAAACTGCCCCGGGACCCCCAAAACAGCCCCGGGACCCCCAAAACCACCTCGGGACCCCCCATGGGACCCCCAACCCCCCCCAGCCCCTCCCCCCGTTTTTGGGGTCCTGCCCCTCCCCACCCTGGGGGGCCTTGGGGGGGTGGGGGAGGGGCTGAGCCCCCCAAATCCCCCCAGACCCCCCAACCCCCCCCGTGTCCGGCAGGTCCCGGCCCGGAGCCGAGGCAGCGTCCGAGGGCGGCCGGAGAGGTACCGGGGACACACCTGGGGACACCTGGGGGTGTTTGGGGACATTTGGGGACATTTGGGGACATTTTGGGGGCACTTTGGGGACGTTTGCGGACACCTGGGGACACCTGGGGACACTTTGGGGACATCTGGGGACGTTTGGGGGCATCCCTGGGACACCTGGGGACATTTTGGGGACACTTTAGGGACACTTTGGGGACACACCTGGGGACACCTGGGGGACATTTGGGCACATTTGGGGACACTTTAGGGGCACCTGGGAACGTTTGGGGACATCTTGGGACATTTTGGGGACATTTGGGGACACCTGGGGGTGTTTGGGGACATCCCTGGGACATCTGGGGACACTTTAGGGACAGTTGGGGACAGCTGGGGACGTTTGGGGACATCCCTGGGACATTTGGGGACACTTTAGGGACACTTTGGGGACACCTGGGGACACCTGGGGACACTTTAGGGACACCTGGGGATGTGTGGGGAGACTTTGGGGACATTTTGGTGACATTTTGGGGACGCTTTGGGGATGTTTGAGAGTTTTTGGGCTGTTTTTTGGGAGTTTTTTGGGATTTTTTGGCAGTTTTCCGGCTGTTTTTGGCAGTTTTTGGGCTGTTTTAGGGAGTTTTTGGGCTGGTTTTGGCAGTTTTTGGGCTGGTTTTGGCAGTTTTTGGGGTGCTTTGGCAGTTTTTGGGCTGTTTTGGCAGTTTTTGGGCTGTTTTGGGGTGTTTTTGGGGTCCTTTGGGAGTTTTTGGGGTGTTTTGGGGGAGTTTTGGCAGTTTTTGGGCTGTTTTTGGCAGTTTTTGGGGTATTTTTGGCAGTTTTTGGGGTGCTTTGGCAGTTTTTGGGCAGTTTTTGGGCTGTTTTGGCAGTTTTTGGGGTATTTTAGGCAGTTTTTGGGGTGCTGCTCCATGTGACCGCGTCCCCCCCGCGGTTCCGGCACCGCCGCCGCTTCCTCTGGAGCTTCCTGGAGCGGCCGGGCCGGCCCCGAACCCAAAATCCCCAAATCCCCCCAAAATTCCCTTAAAATACCCCCCAAAAATCCCCTTAAAACCCCCCCAAATCCCCCCCCCAAAATTCCCTTAAAATCCCCCCAAAATTCCCTTAAAATCCCCTCCAAAATCCCCCCAAAATCCCCCCCCACATTCCCTTAAAATCCCCCCCAAAATCCCCCCCAAAATCCCCCAAAATTCCCTCAAAATTCCCCCCAAAATCCCCCCAATTTCCCCCAAAATTCCCTTAAAATCCCCCCGAAAATTCCCCCCAAAATCCCCCCCAAAATCCCCCAAAATTTTCCCAAAATCCCCCCGATTTCCCCCCAAAACCCCCCCCAAAATTCCCTTAAAAAAACCCCAAAATTCCCCCTCAATTGCCCCAAAATCCCCCGAATTTCCCCCAAATCCCCCCAAACCCCCCGGACCCACCATGGTGAACCCCAACGTGCGGCCCTCAGGTAGAGGGGGGGTCTGGGGGGATTTTGGGTGGATTTTGGGTGAATTTTGGTGTATTTTGGGTGGATTTTGCTGAACTTTGGTGGATTTGGGGGAATTTTTGGGAATCCCGGAGAATTTGGGGTGGATTTTGCTGAATTTGGGGTGGATTTTGCTGAATCTTGGAGGATTTTAGGGGGATTTGGTGGATTTTGTGTGGATTTTGCTGAATTTTGGGTGGATTTTGGAGAAGTTTGGGTGGATTTTGGAGAATTTGGGAGGATCTTGGTGGATTTTGGGTGGATTTTGGGGGAATTTGGTGGATTTTGGGTGGATTTCACTGAACTTTGGTGGATTTTGGGAGATCTTGGTGGATTTTGGAGAATTTTGGGGAATTTTGGTGGCTTTTGGGGAATTTTGGGGGTCTCTAGGGGGATTTGGGGGTCTCTGGGGGGGGCCCACCGACCGAATTTGGGGCATTTTGGGTCATTGGCTCCTTTTGAGCCGCGGATTTTCTCTTTTTTTGGGGCAAAAAAACCCAAAATGGGCGAAAGCAGAAGTGAAAGTGGGGGGGGGGAGGGGGTTCCCCCCCAAATTCTCCCCTCCCCCCCCCCGGGGTGACTCAGCCTCATGCAAATGAGGGGGGGGAGGGGAGGGGAGGGGAGGGGGCGACACCCCCGGGGCTCCCCTCCCCCACCCGCGCCGGGGCCGCCTGGAGCCGCTCGGAGCCCCAAAAACCCCCGAAATCCCCCCAAAAATCCTCCCCGCAGGGGCGAGACCCCCCCCCGCCAGGTAATGGGGGAAATTCGGGAGAATTTGGGGAATTTCGGGGGAAATCTGGGGAATTTGGGATTTTGGGGGGCTCGTGGGGCGGTTTGGGGCGATTTGGGTGAATTTTGGGGCGATTTGTGTCAATTTTGGGGGATTTGGGATTTTGGGGGGCTCGTGGGGCAGTTTTGGGGCGATTTGTGTCAATTTTGGGGGATTTGGGATTTTGGGGGGGCTCGTGGGGCGGTTTGGGGAGGATTTGGGTGAATTTTGGGGCGGTTTTGGGTGAATCGAAGGTGATTTTGGGGTGAGTTTGGGGGAATTTGGGCTTTTCGGGTGCTTTGCCGTAATTTCGGGTGATTTTGGCTGATTTTGGGTGACTTTGGGGTGATTTGGAGCGGTTTGGAATAATTTAAAGTGATTTTGGGGTGATTTTGGTCAATTTTGGGGTGGTTTAAGGTGATTTGGGGTGATTTCTTTAATTCTGGGTGAATTTGGGCTGAATTTGGCTGGTTTGGGGTCATTTTGAGGTGATTTCCGCCGATTTTGGGGTGGCCCTGATGAAGCGATTTCAGTGGGACTTTTGGGCTGATTTTGGGGTCATCCCGAGGTGATTTTGGGCTGATTTTGGGTCATTTTGGGGTGATTTCTGCTGGTTTTGGGGTGATCTTGGGGGACGTTGGGGATCAGGTGATTTCAGGGTGATTTTGGGGCGATTTTGGACAATTTGGGGCGATTCTGGGGTGGTTTTGGACAATTTTGGGTCATTTTGGCTTGGTTTTGGGCCATTTCGAGGTGATTTCTGCTGATTTTGGGGTGGTCCGGGGGGGTTTTGGGCACGAAGCGATTTCAGGCTGATTTTTGGGTGATTTTGGGCTGATTTGATTTTTTCCCCCAGAACTGAGGATGTCTAAACCCCTGGAGCTGGAGAAGGAGCTGCCGGGGGAGCGCCCGGGTAGGGACTTTTGGGGACGTTTTGGGACATTTTGGGACATTTTGGGGACATTTTTGGGGGCCCTCGAGGGGATTTGGGGACCCCCCTGAGTGTCCCCTCCCCCCCCAGACACAGAAACCAATGGACCCGACACGAACCACCAGGTGAGATTTGGGGATTTGGGGTTTTTTGGGGGGGTTTGGGGTTTTTTTTGGGGGGTCCCCCCCCCCCCCCCCAAATCTGGGGGTCCCCCCAAATTTGGCTCCCCCCCCCCCCAGGCCCAGCAGAACAAACCCCCCCCTTCGGCCCCGCCCCCCCCGGCCCCGGCGCCAAGGTAAGAGAGAGACCCCAAAAATCCTCCCCAAAATACCCCAAAAACCCTCCCCAAAATATCCCAAAAATCCTCCCCAAAATCCTCCAAAATCCTCCCCAAAATACCCCAAAATCCTCCCCAAAATCCTCCCCAAAATACCCCAAAAATCCTCCCCAAAATACCCCAAAAATCTCCCCAAAATACCCCAAAAATCCTCCCCAAAAATCCTCCCCAAAATCCCTTTAAAACCTTCCCCAAATCCTCCTCAAATTCCCCCAAAAATCCTCCCCAAATCCCCCAGAAAATCATTCCCCAAATTCCCAAAGTCCGCCCCAAATTCTGTCCCAATTTTTACCCCAAATTCCCCAAATTTTGCCGCAAATTTGGCCCCAAATCCCCCAAATTTTCCCCCAAATCTGCCCCAAATCTGCCCCAAATCCCCCCAAATCTGCCCCGAATCCCCCAAATCTGCCCCAAATCCCCAAATTTCCCCCCAATCCCGCCCCAGCCCCGCCCCTCCCCCGCCCGGTTCCTGTTTTGGTGCCCGGGGTGGGGGAGGGGCGGGGGGGAAATCCCGGCCGGGGGCGGCGGCGGCAAAACAGGAAATGGGGGGGGGGTCCCCAAAATTCACCCCAAAATCGGCCCAAACCACCCCAGAATCTGCCCCAAACACCCCAAAATCCACCCAAAATACCCTAAAATCTGCCAAAATTCACCCAAAATCCACCCAAAACACCCCAAAATCCACCCCAAACACCCCAAAATCCACCCAAAGCACCCCAAAATCCACCCAAAACACCCCAAAATCTGCCCCAAATTCACCAAATCCCTTCAGACTCCCCAAATCTCCCTAAATCCCCCCAAATTTCCCCCAAATCCTCTCGAATCTCCCCCCCAAATCCCTGAATTTGCCCCGAATTTCTCCAAATTTGCCCAGAATTTTTCCCAATTTCCCGAATTTTCCCATCTTTCCCCAGAATTTCCCAATTTTCCTGGGATTTCCCTGAATTTGCCCAGAATTTCCCAAATTTCCCTGGAATTTTCCCCGAATTTTCCCTGAATTTCCCGAATTTTCCTGGATTTCCCCAGAATTCCCCAAATTTTCCTGGCATTTCCCTGAATTTGCCCAGAATTTCCCTGTGATTTTCCCCGAATTTGTCCAGATTTTCCTAAGATTTCCCAGAATTTCCCCAAATCTCCCAAATTTGCCCAGAATTTGCCCAGAATTTCCTCAAAATTCCCATATTTCCCTGGGATTTCCCTGGGATTTCCTGGATTTTCTCTGTGATTTTCCTGGAATTTGCTGGAATTTCCCAGGCTTTCCCCAGATTTTCCCCAAATTTCCCAGATTTTCCCCAGAATTTCCCCCGAATTTCCCCCGAATTTCCCAGATTTTCCCCCGAATTTCCCCCAATTTTCCCCGAATTTCCCCGAGTTTCCCCCCGTCCCTCTGGGATTTGCCCAAAATCCCCGGAATTCGCCCCAAACTCGCAGGTGACGGGCACAGAGCCGCCCCCGGCGCCGCCCCCGCAGGCGCAGCTGCTGCTGGCGGGGTCCCAGCTGGCGGGGGTGAGTGACCTTGGGGACATTTGGGGACATTTGGGGACATTTGGGGACATTTGGGGACATTGGGGGTCGGGGGCGGGGCTTCGCTGCTGTGGGGGAGGGGCTTGGGGCTGGTGCTGACCGCTGCCCCGCCCCCTCCGTGTGACCCCGTGACCTTTGTCCTGTCCCTGTCACCGTGTCACCGTCACTGTCACTGTCACCGCATCACTGTCCCCAATGTCCCCAACGTCCCCATGTCCCCAATCCCGTTTTTTCCCCTTTTCCTCCCATTTTTTCCCAATGTCCCCAATCCTGTCCCCGCTGTCGCTGACCCCTCAATGTCCCCATTGTCCCCAATGTCCCCAATCCCTCCAATCCCCCCAATATTCCCCAATGTCCCCAAATGTCACCCCACTGTCCCCAATGTGACCCCTGACTGTCCCCAATGTCCCCACATCCCCAATCTCCCCCCAATCCCCCCAATCCCCCTGTGTCCCCAAATCCCCCCGCTGTCCCCAATGTCCCTTGTCTGTCCCTGTCTGTCCATCTGTCCCTCTTTCCCTGTCTGTCCCTGTCCATCCCTGTCCCTCTCTCCATCCATCTGTCCGTCCCGTGTCCCTGTCTGTCTGTCTGTCTCTGTCTATCTGTCCCCTCTGTCCCGCTGTCCGTCCATCTGTCCCTTTGTCCCTCTGTCCCTGTCTGTCCGTCTGTCTGTCTGTCCCATGTCCCTGTCTGTCTGTCCGTCCATCCATCTGTCCGTCCCTCTGTCCCCTCTGTCCCTGTCTGTCCCTCTCCATCCCTCTGTCCCTGTCCCTCTGTCCCTCCGTCCCTGTCCATCCGTCCGTCTGTCCGTCCCTGTCTGTCCCTGTCCGTCCGTCCCGTGTCCCTGTCCCTCTGTCCCTCTGTCCGTCCGTCCCCGTCCATCCCCGTCCCTCTGTCCCTCTGTCCGTCCCATGTCCCTGTCTGTCCGTCCCTCTGTCCCCGTCCCTGTCCCTCCGTCCCTGTCTGTCCCTCTGTCCATCCCTGTCCGTCCCTGTCCGTCCCTGTCCGTCCATCCCTGTCCCTCCATCCCTCCGTCTGTCCCTCTGTCCCTCTGTCCCTGTCCCTCCATCCCTCCGTCCCTCTGTCCGTCCCTCTGTCCCTCTGTCCCTCCGTCCCTCTGTCTGTCCCTCTGTCCCCGTCCCTGTCCGTCCATCCCTCTGTCTGTCTGTCCGTCCGTCCGTCCCTCCATCCCTGTCCATCCCTGTCCCTCTGTCCATCCCTGTCCCTCTGTCCGTCCCTCCGTCCCTCTGTCCCTCTGTCCTGCTGTCCCTCTGTCCCTGTCCCTCTGTCCCTGTCTGTCCCTGTCCCTCTGTCCCCCTCTCCCCCCCCAGCTGGCGGCGCAGCTTCTGGCCCCGCAGCACTTGGTGGCTCAGGCGCAGCTTCTGGCGGCGGCGGCGGCGGCGGCGCAGCTCCCGCAGGGCCCCCCCGGGACCCCCTCGGGGACCCCCGGGACCCCCGGGACCCCCCCCGGGCCCCCCCCGCTGCCGCTGCCCGGCCCCATCCAGCTCTCGCCCCAGGTACGGGGGGGGGGATGGAAATCAGCCTGAATTCACCCCAAAATCAGCCCCAAATTGGCCCCAAATCGGCCCAAAATCAGCCCGAAATCGGCCCCAAATCAGCCCCAAATCAGCCCCGAAATCACCCCAAAATCAGCCCCAAATCAGCCCAAATTCACCCTGAATTCACCCCGAATTCACCCTGAAATCGGCCCCAAATCAGCCCCAAATCACCCCGAAATCGGCCCCAAATCACCCCAAAATCAGCCCCAAATCAGCCCCAAATCAGCCTGAATTCACCCCAAAATCAGCCCCAAATCAGCCCCGAATCAGCCCCAAATCACCCCAAAATCGGCCCCAAATCAGCCCCAAATCACCCCGAAATCGGCCCAAATTCACCCCAAAATTAGCCCCAAATCACCCCGAAATCGGCCCCAAATCAGCCCCAAATCAGCCCCAAATCATCCCAAAATCAGCCCCAAATCACCCTGAATTCACCCCAAAATCAAACCACAATCGCCCTGGAATAATCCTGAATTTCACCCCAAATTCACCCCAGAATCACCCCGAAATCACTCCTGAATGAACCCCAAATCCCCCAAAACCACCTTGAATTCCCCCCGAAATAACCCCAAAATCCCCCAAATTCCCCCCAAATTCTCCCCCGGTTCCCCTCCCCCCCCCCAGTTCTCCCTTTTCGGAGCTCACGTGACGCCCCCACCTCTGTCCCCTCCCCCCCCCGTGTCCATCTGTCTGTCTGTCCTGTGTCCGTCTGTCCATCCCCGTCTCTGTCTGTCCGTCCCATGTCCATCTGTCCGTCCCTGTGTCCCTGTCCCTGTGTCCGTCTGTCCATCCTGCGTCTGTCTGTCCATCCGTGTGTCCGTCTGTCTGTCCCCATGTCCATCTGTCCATCCCCATGTCCGTCTGTCCGTCCCGCGTCCGTCTGTCCCTCTGTCTGTGTCCGTCTGTCCATCCCTGTGTCCGTCTGTCCGTGTGTCCATCTGTCTGTTCCCGTGTCCGTGTCCCCCTGTATCCCTGTGTCCGTCTGTCCCCGTGTCCGTCTGTCCATCTCCGTGTTCATCCGTGTGTCTGTGTGCCTGTCTGTCCATCCTGCGTCCGTCTGTCCATCCCTGTGTCCGTCTGTCCGTCTGTCCCATGTCCATCTGTCCATCCCCTTGTCCGTGTGTCCGTCCGTCCGTCCCCATGTTCGTGTGTCTCCCTGTCCCCCTGTCCCTCTGTCCCTCTGTCCGTTCCTGTGTCCGTCCCGGTGTCCATCCCCGTGTCCATCTGTCCATCCGTCCGTCCCGGTGTCCATCCATCCATCCCAATGTCCATGCCGGTGTCCATCTGTGCATCCCGGTGTCCATCTGTCCATCCCGGTGTCCGTCCATCCATCCTGGTGTCCATCCCGGTGTCCATCTGTGCATCCCGGTGTCCATCCCAATGTCCATCCATCCCGGTGTCCATCCCGCTGTCCATCCGTCCATCCGTCCGTCCGTCCGTCGGTCCGTGCACCGCCGGTGCGGCAGGAGGTGCAGCAGCTGCTGCAGCTGCAGCAGTTGGTGTTGGTGCCCGGCCCCCCCCTGCAGCCGCCGGCGCAGTTCCTGCTGCAACCCCCGGCCCAGCAGGGCCCCGGTGAGACTTTGTGGGATTTAATTTATGGGGTTTGGGGTCATTTATGGGATTTATGGGGTCATTTATGGGGTTTGGGGTTTGGGGTTTGGGGTTCGGGCCCCCCCTGCAGCCGCCGGCGCAGTTCCTGCTGCAACCCCCGGCCCAGCAGGGCCCCGGTGAGGATTTATGGGATTTAATTTATGGGGTTTGGGGTTATTTATGGGGTTTATGGGATTTATGGAGTTATTTATGGGGTTTGGGGTTTGGGGTTTGGGGTTTGGGGTTCAGCCCCCCCTGCAGCCCCCGGCGCAGTTCCTGCTGCAACCCCCGGCCCAGCAGGGCCCTGGTGAGCCCCAGTGCATCCATTGCATCATTTATGGGGTCATTTATGGGGTTTGGGGTCATTTATGGGGTTATTTATGGGGTTTGGGGTTATTTGTGGGGTTTGGGATTGTTTATGGGATTATTTATGGGGTTTGGGATTTGGGGATTTGGGGATTTGGGGTTTGGGATTTGGGATCAGGGAGGATTTGGAGTATTTGGGGTCCCAGAGGGGTCTGGGGGTTCCCTTTGGGGTCTGGGGGTTTATTTGGGGTCTGGGGGCTCCTTTTGGGGTCTGTGGGCTCCTTTGGGGTCTGGGGGCTCCATTTGGGGTCTGGGGGCTCCATTTGGGGTCTGGGGGTTCCCTTTGGGGTCTGGGGGTTCCCTTTGGGGTCTGGGGGTTCCCTTTAGGGTCTGGGGGCTCATTTGGGGTCTGGGGGCTCATTTGGGGTCAGGGGGTTCATTTCGGGTCTGGGGGTTCCTTATTTGGGGTCTGGGGGTTTATTTGGGGTCTGGGGGTTCATTTGGGGTCTGGGGGTTCCCTTTGGGGTCTGGGGGCTCATTTGGGGTCTGGGGGTTCCTTTGGGGTCTGGGGGTTCATTTGGGGTCTGGGGGCTCATTTGGGGTCTGGGGGTTCCTTTGGGGTCTGGGGGTTCCTTTGGGGTCTGGGGGCTCATTTGGGGTCTGGGGGTTCCCTTTGGGGTCCGGGGGTTCCCTTTGGGGTCCGGGGGTTCCCTTTGGGGTCTGGGGGTTCCCTTTGGGGTCTGGGGGCTCCTTTTGGGGTCTGGGACCCCCCTGACCCCCCCGTGCCCCCCAGGGCTGCTGCCCCCCCCCAACCTCTTTCAGCTACCTCAGCACAGCCCGGGGGGGCTCCTGCCCAACCCCCCCCGCGGGGGGCTGCACGCACAGGTGAGACCCCAAAAATCCCAAAAAACCCCAAAACCCCCCAAAAAAAAAACCCCAAAACCACAAAAAAACCACAAAAAAACCAAAAAATCCCAAAAAAAACCCAAAACCCAAAAAAACCCACCCAAAACGACCCCACCCAACCCCCCCTGCGGGGGCTGCACGCACAGGTGAGACCCCAAAACCCCCAAAAACCCTGAAAAAAAACCCAAAAACCACAAAAAACCCAAACCCCCAAACCCCAAAAACCACAAAAACCAAAAAACCACAAAATCCTCCCCCAAAAAAACCCCAGAACAGCCTCAAAACCTCCCAAAAACAGCCCCAATCCTCCCCGCGGGGGGCTGCACACACAGGTGAGACCCCAAAAACCCCAAAAAAAACCCCAAAAACCACAAAAAACCAAAAAACCCCCAAAAAAACCCTAAAACCCACAAAAACCCTGAAAAAAACCCAAAAAACCCCCAAAACCCCCAAACAGCCCCAACCCCCCCTCCGCAGGTTTTTTGGGGTTTTATTGGGATTTTTGTGGCTTTTTTTTGTTTGTTTTGGGTATTTTTGGGGTTGGTTTTTTTGAGGATTTTTTGGGGTCATTTGGCTTTTGTTTGTTTGGTGGTTTTTTTGGGGTTTTTTTTTGTTTTGTTTTTTGTGGGGTTTCTTTTGATTTTTGGGGTTTTCTGGTGGCTGTTTTTATCTTTTCTTTCCTTTTTTTGGGGGTGTTTTTGGGGTGTTTTTTGGGGTGATTTTGGGGTGTTTTTGGGGTGTTTTTGGGATGGTTTTTGGGGTGTTTTTGGGTTTTTTTGGGGGTGTTTTTTGGGTGTTTTTTGGGGTGTTTTTGGGATGTTTTTTGGGGTATTTTTGGGATGTTTTTTGGGGTGCTTTTGAGGTGTTTTTTGGGGTGTTTTGGGGGTGTTTTTGGGGTGTTTTTTGGGTGTTTTCTTTCGGTTTTATTTCCTTTTTTTAGCTATTTTTGGGGTGTTTTTTGGGGTGTTTTTTGGGGTGTTTCTTGGGGTGTTTTTTGGTGGGTTTTGGGGTGGTTTTGGGGTGTTTTGGGGGGTTTTCTTTCGGTTTCATCTCTTTTTCTTTGCTATTTTGGGGTATTTTTAAATTCTTTCCATTTCTGGTTGTTTTTTTGTGATTTTTTGTTGTTAATTTGGGCATTTCTCACTAATTAATTGTCCCCCCCAGCCCCGGCCGGGGGTCCCCGAGTCCCCGGGGCCGCCCCCGAAGGGCCCCGAGCCCCCCCCGGGTCCCCCCGAGGAGCCGCCGAGTGACCTGGAGGAGCTCGAGCGCTTCGCCCGCGCCTTCAAACAGAGGCGGATCAAACTGGGCTTCACGCAGGTGGGTTTGGGGATTTTGGGGGGTTTTGGGGCATTTTGGGGGTTTTGGGGTGTTTTTGGGGGTTTTGGGGTGTTTGGGTTATTTTGGGTTCCATCGGGGTTTGGGGTTCCCGAGCGCTTCGCCCGCGCCTTCAAACAGCGACGCATCAAACTGGGCTTCACGCAGGTGGGTTTGGGGATTTTGGGGGGTTTTTGGGGTTTCTGGGGTTTGGGGATTTTTTGGGATTTTTTCAGAATTTTTCTGGGGGGTTTGGGGGGTTTTTATTGGGGTTTTTTGGGTTATATATTGATTTTTTTTTTGCAACTTTTTCTTTATTTTCTGGGGTATTTTTCAGGCTGTTTTGGGGGTTTTTGGGGTTTTGGGGTTTGGGGAATTTTGGGGAATTTTGGGGATAATTTTGGGGTGAATTTGGGGTTTTTAGGGCGACGTGGGCCTGGCCATGGGGAAACTCTGTGGGATCGTTTTGGGGTTTTTTGGGGATGATTTTGTGATTTTTACTGGGGTTTTGAGGATTATTTTTGGGCTATTTGGGGTATTATTTCAGTGTAATTTTAGGATAATTTGGGGATATTTTTGGGATATTTTTGGGGTGAATTTGGGGTTTTTAGGGCGACGTGGGCCTGGCCATGGGGAAACTCTACGGCAACGACTTCAGCCAAACGACGATCTCGCGCTTCGAGGCGCTGAACCTCAGCTTCAAAAACATGTGCAAGCTGAAACCGCTGCTGGAGACCTGGCTGCGGGACGCAGGTGGTTATTGATTATTGATCGGTTATTGATTATTGATTGGTTATTGATAAATCCCCTAGAGATCAATAGATCCCCCATAGATCCCACCCAACCCCCCCTGTGCAAGCTGAAACCGCTGCTGGAGACCTGGCTGCGGGACGCAGGTGGGTATTGATTATTGATCGGTTATTGATCGGTTATTGATCGGGTATTGATAAATCCCCTAGAGATCAATAGATCCCACCCAAACCCCCTGTGCCAGCTGAAACCGCTGCTGGAGACCTGGCTGTGGGACGCAGGTGGGTTATTGATTATTGATCGGTTATTGATCGGTTATTGATCCTATTGATTACCTATAGATTGATAAATCACCTAGAGATCGATAAATCTAGGCCCCCTATGGGATCAGTTCTATGGGATCCATGGGATCAGGTTTATAGGATCGATAGGATCTATGGAATCAATGGGATCAATACAGGATCCATGGGATCAATAGGATCAATACAATCAATAGGATCAATACAATCAATAGGGGATCAATAACTGATCAATAAGGGATAAATATCCCCCAGAGTCGTTGTCGCTGGACTCGGCCCTGCCCAGCCCCCCCAGAGGTGATGTCGGTGCCCATGGGATCCATGAGATCAATGGGATCAATAGGATCAATACAATCAATAACTGATCAATAAGTGATCAATAAGTGATCAATGCCCCCAGAGTCGATGTCGCTGGACTCGGCCCTGCCCACCCCCCCCAGGGGCGATGTCAGTACCCATGGGACCCATGAGATCAATGGGATCAATACAATCAATAACTGATCAATAACTGATCAATAACTGATCGATCCCCCCAGAGTCGATGTCGCTGGACTCGGCCCTGCCCAGCCCCCCCAGAGGCGATGTCGGTGCCCATGGGATCCATGAGATCAATGGGATCAATAGGATCAATACAATCAATAACTGATCAATAACTGATCAATAACTGATCAATAAGTGATCAATCCCCCAGAGTCGATGTCGCTGGACTCGGCCCTGCCCAGCCCCCCCTCCCTGGGCCCCCCCAGCCTGGGCGGCTTCGAGGGGCTCCCGGGGCGGCGCCGCAAGAAACGGACCAGCATCGAGACCAACGTGCGCTTCGCGCTGGAGAAATCCTTCCTGGCGGTGAGAAATGACCCAAAATATCCTGAATTAAACCCAAAATATCCTAATGTATCCTAAATTATCCCAAAAACATCCCAAAATATCCTAAAATATACAAAAATCCCCGAAAAAACCCCCAAATCCCCACCCAAACCAGCCCCAAACCAGCATCGAGACCAACGTGCGCTTCACGCTGGAGAAATCCTTCCTGGCGGTGAGAAACGGCCCAAAATGGCCCAAAATATCCCAAATTAAACCCAAAATATCCTAATGTATCCTAAAATATCCCAAAATATCCTAAAATATACAAAAATCCCCAAAAAAACCCCACAATCCCCACCCAAACCAGCCCCAAACCAGCATCGAGACCAACGTGCGCTTCGCGCTGGAGAAATCCTTCCTGGCGGTGAGAAATGACCCAAAATATCCCAAATTCAACCCAAAATATCGTCAGTTATCCAAAAATGTACAAAACCCCCCGAAAAACCCCCCAAATCCTCGAAAAAACACCAAAATCCCCACCCAAACCAGCCCCAACCCAACTTTTCCCCCGATTTTCCCCCAATTTTTTCCCTTCTCCCCCAATTTTTCCAATTTTTCCCATTTTTCCCCGATAATTTTCCCATTTTTCCCATTTTTCCCCCATTTTTCCCCATTTTCCCATTTTTCCCGAATCTCTGGGATTTCGCCCCAGAACCAGAAGCCGACGTCGGAGGAGATCCTGTGGGACTTTCCCCCTGGAATTTCCCCTATAATTGCCCCGTTTTTGCCCATTTTTTCACCGTTTTTTCCCATTTTTTGCCCGTTTTTGCCCATTTTTTCACCGTTTCTGCCCATTTTTTCACCGTTTTTTCTCATTTTTTCACCGTTTTTCCCATTTTTTCACCGTTTTTCCCAAATCCCTCGGATTTCTCCCCAGAACCAGAAGCCGACGTCGGAGGAGATCCTGCGGGACTTTCCCTCTCTCATTTCCCTTATAATTTCCCCATTTTTTGCCCGTTTTTGCCCATTTTTTTGCCCATTTTTGCCCATTTTTTCACCGTTTTTTCCCATTTTTTCACCGTTTTTCCCAAATCTCTGGGATTTCGCCCCAGAACCAGAAGCCGACGTCGGAGGAGATCCTGTGGGACTTTCCCCCTGGAATTTCCCTTATAATTTCCCCATTTTTTGCCCGTTTTTCCCCATTTTTTGCCCATTTTTGCCCATTTTTTCACCGTTTTTGCCCATTTTTTCACCGTTTTTCCCGAATCCCTGGGATTTCTCCCCAGAACCAGAAGCCGACGTCGGAGGAGATCCTGGGCATGGCGGAGCAGCTGCACATGGAGAAGGAGGTGATCCGCGTCTGGTTCTGCAACCGCCGCCAGAAGGAGAAACGCATCAACCCCGCCGGGACCCCAAATCCGCCGGGATTCGCCCCAAACTTCGGCCTCAGCCCCCCCCGCAACCCAAACCCAAACCCCAACCCCCCAAATTTCACCCCAAACCCCAACCCGGCCCCAAATCCCCCGAATTTCACCCCAAATCCGGCCCCAAACCCCCCGAATTTCACCCCAAATCCGCCCGGCGGCGCCGCCAAGGCCGGAGCGCTCGGAGCCCACGGGGTGAGGGAGGCGGATTTTGGGGGGATTTGGGGGGGATTTGGGGTTTTTGGGAGGGATTTGGGGTTTTTGGGGGGTTTGGGGTTTGGGGTTTGGGATTTTGGGGATTTGGGGGTTTTGGGGTGGATTTTTTGGGGGATTTTGTCGGGTTTTTTGGGTTTTTGGGGTTTATTTTGGGGGTTTTACTGAGGGTTTTGAATGGGGGGTTTTGGGGTTTTTTGGGAGGGATTTGGGGTTTTTGGGGGGTTTGGGATTTGGGATTTGGGGATTTGGGGATTTTGGGGTTTTGGGGTGGTTTTTTTTCGGGGGGGCTTTGTTGGGTTTTTTGGGTTTATTTTGGGGGTTTTTACCGGGGGTTTTGAATGGGGGGATTTGGGGTTTTGGGGGATTTGGCGAATTTTTGGGGTTTTGAGGTTTTTGAGGGGGTTTTTGTGTGGTTTTTGGGGTTTTTGGGATTTGGGGATTTTGGGGGTTTTGGGGTTTGGAGGTTTTGGGATTTTTTGGGGGGTTTTGGGGGCTTTTTATGGATTTGATAGGGTTTGGGGTATTTTGCATGTTTTGAGGCTTTGATGAGGTTTGGGGGGTTTTTTGGGGTTTTTTTGTGGGGTTTTGGGGGTTTTTTGGGGCTTGGGGTAGTTTTTGGATTTTGGGGGTTTTGGGGACATTTTATGGGTTTTTTTGGGGGGTTGTTGAGGTTTTAATGGTTTTTTTGGGAGTGGTTTTTGGGTTTGGGGGATTTGGGGTTTTTTATGGGGGTTTTGTGGGTTTTTGGGGAGTTATGGGGTTTTTTGGGGGGGTTTTTATGGGTTTTTGTGGGTTTTGGGATTGCTCATTGCTTGGGGTCGGTCAAAAATCCCCAAAAGTCCCGAAATGTCCCCAAAAAACGTCCCCAGGTGACCCCGCCCGGCCCCGCCCTCGGCCTCCCCCCCCCCGGCAGCCTCAGCACCACAGGTGGGTCCCCAAAAACCCCAAAATATCCCCAAAAACGGGGGGGGAGGGGAAAAAGGGGAAATTTGGGAACCCCCTGGGGGGGGTTGGGGTGGCTGAGGGGGATTTTGGGGAATTTTAACGGGATTTTGGGGAATTTTAACGGGATTTTGGGGAATTTTAATGGGATTTTGGGGAATTTTAATGGGATTTTGCATATTTTAAGGGGGAAATTTGGGTGTTTTAAATGGGACTTTGGGAATTTTACTGGAATTTTTTGAATGTCAAGTTGATTTTGGGCAATTTTACCGGAATTCGGGAATTTTGTGGAATTTTAAAGGGAATTTTGAGGTGATTTTGGGGAATTTTACTGAAATTTGTGAATTTTGCGGGGATTTTTGGGCATTTTAAAGGGAGTTTTGGGAATTTGAGGAATATTAGAGGGAGTTTTGGGAATTTGAGGAATTTTACCGAAATTTTGTGGGGATTTGGGGAATTTTAAGGGGAGTTTTGTGAATTTGACGGGAATTGTGCGGATTTTCCCCAAACCGGAGTTATTTTAGGGGTCTGACCGCTCTCCCCTCCCCCCCAGTGACGTCACTGAGCTCGGCCGCCCGCCCCTCCCCCCCGCCGCCCCCCGGCTCCGCCCCCTCCCCCCTCGGGTGAGTTTGGGGGGAGGGGCGGGGGTGGGGGAGGGGTGCGGTGACCCCGCCACTGTGACCCTGCATGACCCTGCTGACCCCACTGACCCCGCCCCTGTGACCCCGTGTGACCCCTGCATGACCCTGCTGACCTCACTGACCCCCACGTGACCCCACTGACCCCCCGTGACCCTGCTGCCCCTCCCCCTGTGACCCCTGTGACCCCGTCCTGTGACCCCTATGACCTCCGTGACCCCACTGACCCCACCCCTGTGACCCTGCATGACCCCGCTGACCCTGTGCCTGTGACCCCCATGACCCCCGTGACCCCACTTACCCCACCTCTGTGACCCCGTGTGACCTGGCTGACCCCGCTGACCCACCCCCATGACCCCGCTGACCCTGCCCTCATGACCCTGTGACCCCCATGACCCCGCTGACCCCACCATGACCCTGCTGACCCCACCTCTGTGACCCCCATGACCCCACTGACCCCGCCCCTGTGACCCCTGAGACCCCACTGACATGACCCCCGTGACCCCCATGACCCCGCTGACCCCGTGACCCCCATGACCCCACTGACCCTGCCCCTGTGACCCCTGTGACCCCGCCCCCCCGACCCCTCTGACCCCTGTGACCCCTGTGACCCCCGTGACCCCGTGACCCCCCTGACCCCACTGACCCCCCTGACCCCTCTGACCCCTGGTGACCCCATGACCCCTCTGACCCCATGACCCCGTGACCCCGTGACCCCACCCCTGTGACCCCCATGACCCCTCTGACTCCGCCCCTGTGACCCCATGACCCCTGTGACCGCTGTGACCCCGTGACCCCTGTGACCCCGCCCCTTTCCCCGCAGGGGGGCGGTGCTCGGGGGGCTGTTGGGCCCCGCCCCATTGGCCGCCATCCAAGGTGGGTGTGGCCTCGGTGATTGATTGACAGCCGGGGGTGATTGACAGCTGGGGTGATTGATGATTGACAGTTGGGAGTGATTGATTGACAGCTGGGGTGATTGACAGATGAGATTGATTGATTGACAGCTGGGGTGGTTGACAGGGGTGATTGATATGAGTGATTGACAGGTGCCTGTGGGGATTTGGGGGGGGGTCCGGGTGAATTTGGGGGGGGGTCCGGGTGAATTTGGGGGGGGTCCGGGTGAATTTTTGGGGGTCCCTGACGCCCCTCCCCCTCTCTCCGCAGCCCTGTGGGATTTGGGGAGGGGTGAATTTGGAAGGGGTCCGGGTTAATTTTGGGGGTCCCTGACGCCCCTCCCCCTCTCTCCGCAGCCCTGTGGGATTTTGGGGGGGGTCCGGGTGGGATTTGGGGGTCCGGGTGTATTTTGGGGGGGTCCCTGACGCCCCTCCCCCTCTCTCCGCAGCCCTGTGGGATTTTGGGGGGGGTCCGGGTGGGATTTGGGGGTCCGGGTGTATTTTGGGGGGGTCCCTGACGCCCCTCCCCCTCTCTCCGCAGCCCTGAGGGGATTTGGGGGTCGGGGTGAATTTGGGGGGGGTCGGGGTGAATTTGGGGGGGGGTCGGGGTGATTTTGGGGAGGGGTCCCTGACGCCCCTCCCCCTCTCTCCGCAGCCCTCTCCGCCGCGGGGCCCCCCCGGCCCCCCCCGGGAATTGAGGGGGGGTCGCCCCCGCTGCTGCTGGGGGGGGGAGGGGCGGGAGGGGGCGGGGGAGGGGCCGGCGGGGGTGGGGGAGGGGCCGGCCCCGCCCTCTTCCCCCTGCTGGGGGCCGCCCCTCCCCCACCCCTCCCCTCCCCCTCCCCCTCCTGCTCCTCCTGCAGCGACAGCGACGGCCCCTCCCCCCCCCCGCCCCTCCCCCACCCCCGCCTGGGGGGAGGGGACTGAGGGGGGGGAGGGGGGGGAGGGGCCGCCCCTCCCCCACCCGCCCCCAGCACGAGCTACAGACCAAAAACCGCCCCGCCCCCACCCTCATTAATTTAATTTAATTTAATTTAATTAACGCTCGGACGGGGGAGGGGGAGGGGCGAGGCGCGCACCCCTCCCCTCCCCCACCCCGGGTTTGTTTTTGGGGTAAAAGGAGACCCAAAAAGGGCCAATTTTACCCCAATCTCCCCCTCCCCTCCCCCACCCCAGCTCAGCCCAAAGTTCGCAACGTCTGACCTCGCGCGGGGATTTTGGGGCGATTTCGGGGGGTTTGGGGAAATTTCGGGAATTTTGGGGGTGGGGGGAGGGGAAGCCCCTCCCCCACCCGGCCACGCCCCTCCCCCTCCCCCCCCCCCGTTATTTATTGTCCCTTTTGGGGGAGGGGCGCGGCTGGGGGGAGGGAAATGGGGGGAAAAGGGCGGGAAATGGGAAAAATGGAGAAAAATGGAAAAAATTGAGGGGGAAATGGAAAATTTGAGGGAAAAATGGGGGGGAAAGGGAAAAATGGAGGAAAAAAAGGGGGAAATGGAGGGAAAGTGGAGAAAGTTGAACAAAAATGGAAAAAATGAGGGGAAAATGGATGGAAAAGGAAAAATGGAAGAAAAATGGAACAGTGAAGAAAAAGGGGAAAAACGGATGAAAAAACGGAGGAAAAAGGGAAAAAATGAAGGAAAAAATGGGGGAAAAGCCGAGGAAAAAGCAAAAAAAAAGAGGAAAAATGGAAGAGGAGGAAATGAAGAAGGAAAAAGAGAAATGAGGGGAAAAAGTGAAATAAAAAAAAAGGAAATGGGAAGAAAAAGGAAAAAATGATGGAAAAGAGAAAAAAAGGAGGAAAAAAACGGAGTTCGGAGGAGAAAATGAGGCGAGAAACGGAAAAAATGAAGGAAAAGGGAAAAGGAAGAGGAAAAACAGAAAAAAAGCGGAAAAGGGAAAAGGAAAGTCAGGAAAAATGGAAAAGAAGAAAAAAATGTGGAAAAAATGAAGAAAAAGTGGGAGAGGAAGAGAAAAAGGAGGGAAAAGAGGAAAAAAGAGAGGAAAAAATGGAAAAAAGAAGGAAAAAAGGAGGAAAAATCGGGAAAAAAACCTTGGAAAAGTTACGGGAAAAAAAAGGACTATAAAAAAAAATCTAAAAAAGGTAAAAAAGGAGAAAAAAACCAGCAAAAAAAAAAAGAAGCAAAAAAAGGGAAAATGCCCCGGAAAAGACCAAAAACCCCCCCGGCCCCTCCCCCCGCAGTGCCTGAGCGCCCCTCCCCCCCCGCAGCCGCAGATACCTCACGGAGCCCCAAAATCCCCGGAATTCGCCCCAAAATTCCAGAAAACTGTGAAAAACAAAAGGGGGAAAACGCCCCAAAAATTCGCTTTTTTGGGGGGCCAAAACCCCGAATGTAGCCCCGCCCCCTCCCGCGGATTTTGGGGCGTTTTGGGGCTTTCTTGGGACAAAAAAATGACCAAAAATGGAGGGAAAATGAGGAGAAAAAAGGAAAATTTGGGTTTTCTCTGGAGGGGGGAGGGAAACCCCCCGGATTGTTTTTTTTGGGGGGGTTTTGGGGTTGTTTGTTGGGATTTTGGGTTTTTTATTTTGATGGGAATGAGGAGGAAAGGACGGAAATTGGGGAAAATGGGGAAAATCCCAATTTCCAAGGGGTTCGACCCCGCAGAGGAAATGAGAGGAAAAAAATGGCCAAAAATGGGAAAAAAAGGGGAAATAGATGGAAAATGTGTAAAAAAAGAAAAAAAAAAGCCAAAAAAAGACACAAAAAGAAGGAGCTGAAAAGGCCCAAAAAAAAAAAAAAAAAAAGTTTGAAAACAAACAAAAAAAAAAAAAAAAAAGAAAAAAACCAAAAACCGGTCAAATAAAGCGAAAAATGGAGATGGACGGACTGGGAAAGGAGGAAAAAGGAGGAAATTGAGAAAAAGAGGGAAAATGAAAAAAGAGGAGGAGGAGAGGATGGAAATGGTGAAAAAATGAGAAAAATGGACCTGAAATGACAAAAAAGGACAGAAAAATGGCCAAAAATGGAGAGAAAATGCCAATAATGGACCAGAAATGCAAAAAAAGACAGAAAAAGACAGAAAAGGACAGAAAATGCCAAAAAAGGACGAAAAAGTGGCAAAAGAATGGACGAAAAGGAGAGAAAAAGCCAAAAAATGACCGGAAATGCCAAAGAAAGGATGGGAAATGCCAAAAAAGAGAGGAAATGCCAAAAAAGGACAGGAAAGTGGCAAAAGGGACAAAAATCGCCAAAACAAAGATGGAAATGCCAAAAATGGATGGAAAATGCCAAAAAATGGCTGGAAATGCCAAACAAAGGACAAAAAACTGCCAAAAAAGGCCAAAAATGCCAAAAAAGGAGAGAAAAATGCCAAAAAAGGACAAAAATGGACAAAAAAAGGACAAAAATGCCAAAAAAAGACCAAAAAAGCCAAAGCGGAGCCGCCGAGCCGGAGCCAAGCGCGGAAGGCGCCAGAAGCCCCAAATCGGCGCTTTCGGACCCAAAATCGCCGATTTCTGACCCAAAGTCGCCGGTTTTACACTACAATCGCCATTTTTACACCAAAATCAGCATTTTCAGCCCGTAACACGGCGGTTTTTGAGCAAAACTGGCGTTTTTTGAGCAAAACTGGCGTTTTTTGAGCAAAACCGGTGTTTTTAGTGCAAAACTGGCGTTTTTTGACCAAAACCGGCGTTTTTTGAGCAAAACCGGCGTTTTTAGACCAAAACTTGCCGTTTTCAGACCAAAAATCTGCGCCGCCCCGGCGCGGGGGGCGGGGCCACCCCTCCCCCAAATACCTCAGAACTGAACCAAAAACGGGGGTGGGGCCCGAGGTGGCCACGGGGCCCCGGTGGTGGCCACGGGCGGGGGAGGGGTGGCCAAGGGGGAGAGATGGAAGGTCGTGGTGGCCATAATGGTGGTCGTGGTGGCCATTGCCATGGTCATGGTGGTCACACCGGTTGTGGTGGTCACCATTGTGGTGGCCATTGTCGCCATCATGGTGGTCATGGTGGCCATCGTCATGGTGGCCATCATCATAATGGTCATGGTGGCCACCGGCATGGGCATGGTGGTCACACTGGTCATGGTGGTCATTACCATGCTCATGGTGGCCATCATCATGGTGGTCATTGTCATGGTCGCCATTGTCATCATCATGGTGGTCATGGTGGTCATAATGGCCATGGTGGCCATTTTCATGGTCATGGTGGCCATGGTCGTCATTGCCATGGTCATGGTGGCCATGGTGGCCATTTTCTTGGTCATGATGGTCATGGTGGCCATTTTCATGGTCACGGTGGCCATGGTGGCCATTGCCATGGTCACGGTGGCCATGGTGGTCATTGCCATGGTCATGGTGGCCGTTGTCATGGTGTCTGTAGTGGCCACAGCCATGGTCATCATCATGGTGGCCATGGTCGCCATTGTCATCATCATGGTGGTCACGGTGGTCATAATGGTCATGGTGGCCACAGCCATGGTCATGGTCCTGGTGGCCATCGTCATGGTGGCCATTGCCATGGTGGCCATCATCATGGTGGTCATGGTGGCCATGGCGGCCATGGTGGTCACACTGGTCATGGTGGCCATCATCATGGTGGTCATGGTGGCCATGGCGGCCATGGTGGTCACACTGGTCATGGTGGCCATCATCATGGTGGCCATGGTGGCCAATTTCATGGTCATGGTGGCCTTGGTGGCCACGCCCACCCCACAGTAGCCACACCCCCCACACCCCACCCCCTATGACGTCACAACCTCACTCCCCCACGCGACGTCACCCCCGCCCCTATGACGTCACCGCCACGCCCCGTGACGTCACCGACCCCTCCCCCCCTTCCCCCAATTCCTGCAGCCAAAGAGGCCCCGGGGGGGGGAGGGGCAGAAAATACCTCAGAGAGAACCAAAGACCCCCAAAACCCGGGGGGGACCCCAAAAACCCCCAAAATCCTCCGGGGAACCCCAAAAATCCCCGGGGGACCCCAAAAATCCCCAAAATTCCTGCGGGAATCCCAAAAATCCCCGGGGGACCCCAAAAATCCCCAAAATTCCTGCGGGAATCCCAAAAATCCCCCAAATTCCTGCGGGAATCCCAAAAATCCCCGGGGGACCCCAAAAATCCCCAAAATTCCTGCGGGAATCCCAAAAATCTCCGGGGGGGACCCCAAAACCCCCCACCTGCCCCTCCCCCACCCCGGTCGGTTTTTGGGGGGTTCCCTCCAATTTTGTGGATCCCAAAAAATTCCTTTTTTTTTTTTTTTTTTTTTTTTGGGGTTCCCCCCCTGATTTGGAGCTCTCCCACCCCTCCCCCAAATTTTGGGTTTTTTTCTGCATTTTTTGGTATTTTTTCCCCACTTTTTTTGGGATTTTTTTCCCCCTTTTTTTTTCCCCCCAATATTTTTTGCGGGTTTTTTTCCTCCATTTTTTTGGAGCTTTTCTCAATTTTTTTTGATTTTTCTCAATTTTTTTGCCTGTTTTTTTTCCATTTTTGGGGTTTTTCTCAATTTTTAATTTTTTTTCTCTGTTTTTAAAATTTTTTCCTCTTTTTTTGGGGGGATCCGGGTGGGGGAGGGGTCACTTGAAGACCCTCTCCCCTTTTACTTCCCCTCCCCTCCGAGAAGCCAAAGACGTCCCCTCCCCCCCACACACCAAAATCCCATTTTTTTACCTGAATTGACCCAAAATCGGTTGGGAAAAACCAAAAAAAAAACCTAAAAAAAAAAAAAACCAAAAAAAAAGCAAAAAAAAAAAAGGCAAAAAAAGCAACAGAGAAAAAACCGAAAAAAACCTCAAAACCCTCCCCAAAAAACCCCTGGGGAGGGGTAAAAAAAAAAGACCAAAAATTTAAATTTAAAAAACCCTCAGACAACCAAAAAATATAAAAAAAAAAAGAATAAAAAAGAAACACAAATAAAACTCAAAAAACCAAAGAAAAAATAAATAAAACAAAAAAAAAAAGCTGGAAAAGGCCAAAAAAAGCCAAAAAAAAGGGAATTTTTTATTCAAGCCCCACCCACCGCTGTGACTCCGCCCCTTTGCCCTTAAATGGTCATTTAAGCCCCGCCCACTGTGGCCTCATGACCACGCCCCTTCCCTTTAGCCCCGCCCTCGGTCCTGTGGGGTTTCCATTTTTGGGAGTTTCGTTCTGATTGTTTTGGGTTTTTTTGATTTTTTTTGGCTTTTTTTGGATTTTTTTGAGTTTTCGTTCTCGTTTCGCTTTTGGTTTTTGTTTTTTTGCCGTTTTTTGGTTTTTTTTTTTCCGTTTTTCCGCCTTTTCCGGCCGCTCCCCCCTGGGCCTCGTGAGCGTCGGACGCGGGAAAAATAAAATTTCAATTTAAAAAAATAAAATAAAAATTGTCTGTATGGACCCTCCTCCCCCTGGCACCCCCAGACCGCCTTGGTACGGCCCAGACCCCCCCAAAATCCCTTTTGGAATGTTCCAAACCCCCCAAAATTCCCTTTTGGTACAGCCCAGGCCCCCCCAAAATCAATGTGGAACTGCCCAGACCCCCCCAAATCCTTTTGGAATGGTCCAACCCCTTCAAAATCCCTTTTGGAACGTTCCAGAGCCCCCCCCCCCCCCAAAAATCCCTTTGGGAATGGTCCAAAACCCCCCAAAAAATCCCTTTTGGAATGGTGCAGAACCCCCCAAAATCCATTTGGAACCGCCCAGGACCCCCCGCCCCGTCAATCCCTTTGGAATATTCCAGAATCTCCCCCAAATCCCCTCTGGAATGGTCCAAGGCCCCCCCAAATCCCCTTTTGGTACTGCCCAAGACCCCCCAGACCTCTTGGTACGACCCCAAACCCCCCCAAATCCCCGTTTTTGGTACGACCCAAACCCCCCATATCACCCTTGGTGTGTTCCAAACCCCCAAAACCCCCCCACAACCGCCTTGTCTCCCCCCCCCACAAGCCGCCAGTTGGTTTATTCCGCCTCCCCCTCCCCTCGAAACCCCCCAAAAGCCCCAAATTCCCCCAAAAACCCCTCGGTTTTGGTAAAATCCCCCCCCCCCAAAGCGCCGCGTTGGTTCCTCCCGGCCCAGCATGGCGGCCGGTGACGTCACGGCGGGGGCGGGGCCTCGGCCGGAAAGCGCGAGCGGGGCCGAGGTGAGCGGGGGGGGCGATTTTGGGGGGATTTTGGGGCTTTTTGGGGAATTTCGGGGCTTTTGGGGGGATTTGGAGAATTTCCGGGGGAATTTGGGGCATTTCGGGGGAATTTGCGACATTTTGGGGCTTTTGGGGGCATTTCGGGAGAATTTGGGGGAATTTGGGACATTTTAGAGCATTTTGGGAGAATTTGGGGCTTTTTGGGGCACTTTGGGGGAATTTGGGGCATTTTGGGGCTTTTGGGGGGACTTTTGGGAGAATTTGGGGGATTCGGGGCTGTTTGGGGCCTTTTGGGAGATTTGGGGTGATTTTTGAGGGATTTGGGGAGAATTTGGGGCTTTTTGGGGAATTTTGGGGGACTTTTGGGGAATTTGTGGGGTCCGATAGGGGTCGAGAGGACCCTGATGGGATTTTGGGGTCCCTGATGGGATTTTGGGGGTCCCTGCGGGGATTTTGGGGTGGGGGCGGGATCCTCGCTTTCCCCTCTCTCCCCTTTCCTCAATTTCCCTTTTCCATCCCAATTTTTGCCTTTTTTTCCTCATTCCCCCATTTTCCCCCCATTTCCCCCCATTTTCCACATTTTCTCCCCATTTCCCCCATTTTTCTGTTTTTCCCCAATTTCCCCCCATTTTTTCCCAAATCCCCCTTTCTTCCCCAATTTCCCCCTCTCTAACCCCATTTTCTCCCAATTTTCCCCATTCCCCCCATTTTTTCCCAATTTTTCCCGTAACACCATTTTCTCCCCATTTCCCCCACTTTCCCCCTCTCTTGTCCCATTTTTCCCCATTTTCCCCATTTCCCCCCATTTTTTCTGATTTTTACCCTCTCTAACCCCATTTTCCCACATTTTCGTCCATTTTCTACCCATTTTCCCCCTCTCTAACTGCGTTTTCCCCATTTTTCCCCCAAATTTCCCCATTTCCCCGTCTCTAACTGTGTTTTTCCCCATTTTTTCCCCATTTTTTCCCCATTTTTTCCCCATTTTTCCCCAAATTTCCCCATTTCCCCCTCTCTAACCTGATTTTTTTCCCCATTTTTCCCCCAAATCCCCCCATCTCCCCCTCTCTAACTCTGTTTTTCCCCATTGTTTCCCCATTGTTTCCCCATTTTTCCCCATATTCTCCCCATTTTTCCCCATTTTTTCCCCATTTTCCCCCCAAATTTCCCCATTTCCCCCCTCTAACTGTGTTTTCCCCCATTTTTTCCCCATTTTTTCCCCATTTTTTCCCCATTTTTTCCCCATTTTTCCCCATTTTCCCCCATTTTTTCCCCAATTTTCCCCATTTTTTCCCCCTCTCTAACCAATCCCCCATTTCCCCCTCATCCCCCATTTCCCCCTGGCAGATGTCGTCGGCGCCGGAGGAGACGCTGCTGCTGCTGGAGCACCGCTACGTGTGCTCGGAGTGCTCGCACCAGTCGCCGTCGCTGGAGGAGGCTCTGCTGCACCAGGAGCAGCACCTGAGCGCGGCCGGCACGTCCGGCACGGCCCCGGCACCGCCGGCGGCTCCGGCCCCGCGCGCGGCGCCGCTGGAGCTGCTGGAGCCGCCGAGCCACTTCCAGTGCCTGGAGTGCGGCGCGCTGCTGCTGACGCCGGGGCAGCTGCTGGAGCACCAGGAGCTGCACCTCAAGCTGCTCTCGGCACCGGATCCGGCACCGCCGCCGCCGAAACCCGCGCCGGGCTCCATCCACTTCGAGTGCCCCGAGTGCCGCGCGCTGTTCCAGAGCCAGGAGCTGTGGCTGGCGCACCGGCAGAGCCACCGGCCGGCGGCGGGCGCGGCGCCGGGCACGGCGCGCGTGGCGCTGGAGCACTCGTACCGCAAGCACGGCGCGGGCGGCGCGGCCGAGGCGCCGGGCGAGGTGCAGCTGCTGCTCTACGAGTGCGGCGAGTGCCTGCAGCTCTTCCAGAGCCCCAAGGACTTCCTGGAGCACCAGGTCGGGCACTTGGCGCCGCCGGGACAGCCGGTGCCGCCGAGCGCGCCGGCGGCGCCGCCGGAGCCGCGGTGCCAGCACTGCCGCGAGCTGCTGCCGTCGGCGCGGCTGCTGCGCGCCCACCTGCGCTGCCACGCGCTGGGCGCCTTCCAGTGCCCGCTGTGCCCGCGGGTGCTGCCGGACCCCGCCGAGCTGCGCCGGCACCGCGCCGGCCACGCGCGCGACGCGCTCTACCTGTGCCTGGAGTGCGGCTCGGCGCTGGACACCGAGGCGGCGCTGCTGGCGCACCGGCGCGGCCACGGCGCCGAGCCGCTGCACCGCTGCGCCTGCGGCAAGGCCTTCGCCAGCATGACCAAGTTCCTGTACCACCGCCGCTCCCACGCCGCGCCGGGGCCGCCCGCGCCGCCGGAGCCGCCGCCGGAGGAGCCGCCGGAGCGCGGCGTGGCGTGCGGCGCCTGCCCCAAGTCCTTCCCCAGCGCGGCGGCGCTGGCGCGGCACCAGCGCTTCGTGCACCGGCTGGAGCGGCGGCACCGCTGCGGCGCCTGCGGCAAGAGCTTCAAGAAGTCGTCGCACCTGCGCAACCACGCGCGCACGCACACGGGCGAGCGGCCCTTCCCCTGCCGGCAGTGCGGCAAGCGCTTCGGCTCGCGCGCCAACCTGCTGCGGCACCAGCTGACGCACACCGGCGAGCGGCCGCACGAGTGCCCGCAGTGCCACAAGCGCTTCGCCCAGAACTCCACGCTGCGCCAGCACCTGCAGGTGCACCTGCGCCGCTTCCCGCACCGCTGCGCCGACTGCGGGCTGCGCTTCCACCGCCCGCACCGCCTGCGCCTGCACCGCGCCCGCCACGCCGGCGCCTTCCCCTACCAGTGCGGCCGCTGCGGCCGCGGCTTCCTGCTGCGGCGCCTGCTGGACGTGCACCTGCAGGGCCACGCGGGGCGGCCGCCGCAGCGCTGCCAGGGCTGCGGGGCTGCATTCGCGGGTGCAGCGGCGCTGCGGGAGCACCGCTGCGGCAACGGCGGCTGGCGCTTCGAGTGCGGCGTCTGCGGCAGGAAATGCGGCTCGGCCGCGCGGCTGCGGGCGCACGAGGCGGCGCACGGGCAGCCGGTGGGTGCGGAGGATCCGGCGGTGACGGTGCCGGTGCCGGTGCCGGTGCCGGAGGCGGAAGCCGAGGCGAGGCCGGCGCCGCGACGCGCGGCCAAGAATTTGGAGTGCAGCGAGTGCAAGAAGACGTTCAGCACCGAGACCTCGCTGCAGGTGCGCCGGGCGGGGATTGCCCAAGTTTTTCCCCAAAAATATCCCCTCAGGTTCACTGACGCATCCACTATGACGATCCATTTACAATTAATCATGAGAGAGTACTAATTATCTGTTTCTGCTGACACAGCAACACCAAATTTATCTGATTTTTCACCTGAGTTTCCTAAAATTTTTAATTACCCAATTTTTTCCCCAAAAATATCACCTCAGGTTCAGCGACACACCCACTATGACGATCTGGTTACCATTAATTATGAGGGAGTACTAATTATCTGTTTTTGCTGACTCGGCAACACCAAATTTACCTAATTTTTCACCTTAGTTTCCTACAATTTTTAATTTTATTATCCCAAAATTCACACTCCAGGTTGACCGAGGTCCGGTTGCGATTAATTACAAATCCAAACAAATTACCTATTTTTGCTGACTCAGCAGCAGCTATTTTAACCAAATTTTGACCTTGTTTTCCGGAAATTTTGGATTTTTACCGGACAAACCCCCCCGGCCGCAGGTGCACTGGTGCATCCACGACCGAGGTCCGGTTGCGGTTAATTGCGAATCCAAAAATTACATATTTTTGCTGACTAAGCAACACCAAACTTACTCAAATTTTTCACCTTAACCCCTTAAAATCTTTAATTTTAATTGTCCCAAAATTGTCACTCCGGGTTCACCGCCGCATCCATGACCAAGGTCCGGTTGCAGTTAATTACGAGTGAATCAAAAAAGAAGAAAATTCCCTATTTTTGCTGACTCAGCAGCAGCTATTTTAACCGATTTTTTACCTCATTTCCCCAAATTCGTGATTTTTCCGCAGGTGCACTGGCGCATCCACGACCGAGGTCCGATTGCGATTAATTACGAGGGAATACTAATTATCTGTTTTTGCTGACTCAGCAAACCCAAACTCACTCAAAATTTTTCACCTTAACCCCCTAAAATTTTTAATTTTAATTGTCCCAAAATTAACACTCCGGGTTCACTGGCACATCCACGACCGAGGTCCGGTTGTGGTTAATTACGAGGGAATCCAAACAAACAAATTCCCTATTTTTGCTGACTCAGCAGCACCGATTTTAACCGATTCCCGCCCTTTTTTCCCCAATTCGGGCTTTCCCGCAGGTGCACCGGCGCATCCACACGGGCGAGCGGCCGTACCCGTGCCCCGAGTGCGGCAAGGCCTTCCGGCAGTCCACGCACCTGAAGGACCACCGGCGGCTGCACAGCGGCGAGCGGCCGTTCGGCTGCGCCGAGTGCGGGAAGCGCTTCGCCCTCGCCGTGCGCCTGGCCGAGCACCGGCGCACCCACACCGGGGAGCGGCCCTACGGCTGCGCCGCCTGCGGCAAGGCCTACCGCTCCTTCTCCAACCTCTGGAAGCACCGCAAGAGCCACCGCGGCCACGGCGGGGGTGGTGGTGGTGGTACCGGGCAGAGGGGAGGCGGGGAGGGGGGATCGGGGGCGGCAGGAGATGGGGGGAACGTTGGGGTGCAATCGGGGTCCTCAATCCATGGGGAGAACGTTGTGGTGGGGTCTGGAGCTCCTGGGGAAGTTCTGGTGATGGGATCGGGGGCGGCAGTCCATGGGGAGAACAGTGGGGTGGGATCTGCAGTCCATGGGGAGAACCTGGTTGGGGTCCCACAGCCTCCCAAGGAGCCCCTGGTGGTTGGAACAGGGTCCTCAATCCATGGGGAGAACCTCGGAGTGCAGCCTGGAGCTCCCAGGGAGGTTCTGGTTGTGGGGCCAGGGTCTGCAGGGTGTGGGGAGAGCCTTGGGGTGGGATCAGGGACTTCTGGGGAGGTCCTGGTGATGGGATCGGGGTCTCCTAGTGGGGTTCTGGTGGTGGGAACAGGGTCTGCAATCCATGGGGAGAACCTTGGGGTGGGGTCTGGAGTTCCCGGTGACGTTGTGGTGGTGGGATCGGGGTCTGCAATCCATGGGGAGAACGTTGGGGTGGGGTCTGGAGCTCCCGGTAAGGTTCTGGTTGTGGGATCGGGGTCCTCAATCCATGGGGGGAACGCCGGGGTGGGATCGGGGTCTTCTGGTGAGGTCCTGGTGGTGGGGCCAGGGTCCTCCATCCATGGGGAGAGCCTTGGGGTGCAGCCTGGAACTCACGGGGAGGTTCTGGTGGTGGGCTCAGGGTCTGCAATCCATGGGGAGAACATTGGGATGGGGTCTTCAGTCCATGGGGAGAACATTGGGGTGGGGTCTGGAGCTCCTGGGGAAGTTCTGGTGGTGGGGTCGGGGGCAGCAGTCCATGGTGAGAACATTGGCGTGGGATCGGGGTCCTCCATCCATGGGGGGAACGTTGGGGTGCAACCTGGAGCTCCCAGTGAGGTCCTGGTGGTGGGAACGGGGTCCTTGGTCCATGGGGAGAACCTCGGGGTGCAACCTGGAGCTCCTGGGGAGGTTCTGGTGGTGGGATCGGGGGCTGCAGTCCACGGGGAGAACCTGGTTGAGATCCCACAGGGCCCTAAAGAGACCCTGGTGGTGGGAACAGGGTCCTTGGTCCATGGGGAGAACCTTGGGGTGCAGCCTGGAGCTCCCAGTGAGGTTCTGGTTGTGGGGTCAGGGTCTTTGGTCCATGGGGAGAACCTTGGGGTGGGGGCTTCAGTCCGTGGGGAAAACCTCGGGGTGGGATCAGGGACTTCTGGGGAGGTTCTGGTGGTGGGAACGGGGCCCACAATCCATGGGGAGAGCCTTGGAGTTGGGTCAGGTTCTTCAGTCCACGGGGAGAACCTTGGGGTCGGATCTGGAGCTCCCGGGGAGGTTCTGGTGGTGGGGTCGGGGTCTTCAGTCCATGGGGAGAACCTGGTTGGGGTCTCAGAGCCCCCCAAGGAGAGCCTGGTTATGGGGTTGGGGACCTCAGTCCATGGGGAGAACCTCGGGGTGGGATCGGGGTCTTCCAGTGAGGTTCTGGTTATGGGGTCGGGGTCCTCAGTCCATGGGGAGAACGTTGGGGTGGGGTCTGGAGCTCCCGGGGAGGTTTTGGTGGTGGGATCGGGGTCTGCAGGGTGTGGGGAGAGCCTCGGGGTGGGATTGGGGACTTCTGGGGAGGTCCTGGTGGTGGGGTCGGGGTCCTCAATCCACGGGGAGAACATTGGGGTGGGATCTGGAGCTCCTGGGGAGGTTGTGGTGGTGGGAACGGGGTCTGCAGTCCATGGGGAGACCCCGGCTGCGATTTCGGCCCCCCAAACCCCCGGAGACCCCCCCAGGGACCCCCAAAACCCTGAGGAGACCCCCGAGATGGTCCCGGCCCCCACCACGTGACCACCCCAAATTCTGGGGGCGGGGCTTGGGGGGGCGGGGCAGCTCCAAAATTATTAAAATCAACAGAAACCGACCCAAAATTGTGCTGGGGGAGGGGGCGGGGCTTGGGGGGGCGGGGCAGCTCCAAAATTAATAAAATCGAGAGAAACCGACCCAAAATTGTGCTGGGGGAGGGGTTTGTGTTGGCCACGCCCCTTCGATGTCAATCACTGCGCTTTAGCCACGCCCACAACTGTCAGTCACCGCCTCGGCCCCGCCAACCGCCGGTATGCAAATGTAGCTCCGCCCCTTCTTTTCCCCATCGGCTCCTTTCCTTCACCAGCCACGCCCACCTCCTCCAAGCCACGCCCCCTTCCCCAAGCCACGCCCCCCGGGCTTTCCCACGCTGCCTTTTTTTGGGGGGGGGGCGAATGGCCCCCCCCAAATCCCCCCAAAATTGCCCCGATTTGGGGAGGGGGGAGGGGCTGGGGGGGTCCGAAATAACGAGGGGGGGGGCGAGATAACGGGGGGGGGTCTCCGGGGTGGGGGGGGGGTCCAGAGATAACGGGGGGGGTCTGAAATAACGGGGGGGGGGGTCCGAAATAACGGGGGGGGGTCGGAGATAACGGGGGGGGGTCCGAAATAACGGGGGGGGTCCCGAAATAACGGGGGGGGTCCCGGGGAGGGTTCCGAAATAACGGGGGGGGGCTGAGATAATGGGGGGGGGGTCCGAAATAACGGGGGGGTCCCGGGGGGAGGTCAGAGATAATGGGGGGGGTCGGAGATAACGGGGGGGGGTCCGAAATACCGGGGGGGTCCCGCCCCCGGGGTCCGAAATAACGGGGGGGGTCCCGGGGGGGGTCCGAAATACCGGGGGGGGGGTCTGAAATAACGGGGGGGGGGTCGGAGATACCGGGGGGGTCCCGCCCCCATTCCCCCCCCCCCCCGCCGCCGTCGGAGCCGCGAGCAGCGAGACCGGGGGGGGCGGGGGGGGCCCCGGGCCCTGCCCCCCCTCCCCCTCCCCTCCCCTCCCCTCCCTCCCCTCCCCTCCCCTCCCCCCCCGCCGCCGCACCGGGCGCTCGAGACGCGGCTCGGCCCCCCCCGAGCCCCCCCAAAAACCGACCCCGGGCCGGGGGGGCTGCGGCGGCCGCGCGGCCTCGTGAGTACCGGGGGGCACCGGGAACCGGGGGGGCACCGGGAACCGGGGGGGGCACCGGGAATTGGGGGGGGCACCGGGAATTTGGGGGGGGCACCGGGATTGCGCCTCCGTTCGACCCCCCCCGTCCCCGGTACCGGAACCGGCATTTGGGGAGCGGGACCGGGATGGGGAGCGGGATTTGGGAATGGCCCCGCTCCCATCCCCGCCCCGCCGTCGGTACCGGGATCGGTACCGGGATCGGCAACGGGAACCGCGATCGGTACCGGGATCGGTACCGGGAACCGGGATCGGGCCTCCGGTACCGGGATTCGGGATCGGTACCGGGAACCGTGATCGGCCTCTCGGTACCGGGAACTGCGATCGATACCGGGATCGGTACCGGGATCGGTACCGGGGACCGCGATCGGTACCGGGATCGGCCCCTCGGTACTGGGATCGGTACCGGGAACCGCGATCGGTACCGGGATCGGTACCGGGATCGGCCCCTCGATACCGGGATCGGTACCGGGAACCGCGATCGGTACCGGGATCGGTACCGGAATCGGCCCCTCGGTACTGGAATCGGCACCGGGAACCGCGATCGGGCCTCCGGTACCGGGATTCGGGATCGGGATCGGTACCGGGAACGGAGATCAGCACCGGGATTTGGGATTGGTACCGGGATCGTTATCGGGATCGGGCCCCTGGTACCGGGACTCGGGATTGGGATCGGTACCGGGAACCGGAATCGGGATCGGCCCCTCGGTACCGAGAACCGGGATCGGTACCGGAAACTGGGTTCGGTACCGGGATCGGCCCCCCGGTACCGGGATTCGAGATTGGGATCGGTACCGGGGACGGGGATCGGTACCGGGATCGGGCCCCCGGTACCGGGTTCGGTACCGGGAACCACGATCGGTACTGAGATCGGGATCCGGTATCGGCCCCCCGAACCGGAGCCGCCGTTCCAGCCCCCGCTCCGGTACCGGAGCCACCCCCGGGCCCGCTCTCGGTGCCGCCCCCGCGCTCCGGCCCCGCTCCCGGTCCCGATTTCCTCCCCCGGTACCGGAGCCGCCGTTCCCGGGGTTCGGCCCCGCTCCCGGTACCGATCGCGGTTCCCATCCCCGGTACCGGCCCCGGGTCCGGCCCCGCTCCCCATTCCCGGATCCATCCGCGGCCCCGGTTCCGTCCTCGCTCCCGGTACCGATCCCGGACCCAATCCCGCTCCGGTCCCGATCCCGGATCCATTCCCGGTCCCGGTCCCGATCCCGGATCCATTCCCGGTACCGATCCCGGACCCAATCCCGCTCCGGTACCGATCCCGGACCCAATCCCGCTCCGGTACCGATCCCGGACCCATTCCCGGTACCGATCCCGGCTCCATTCCCGCTCCCGGTACCGATCCCGGACCCAATCCCGGTCCCGGTCCCGATCCCGGATCCATTCCCGCTCCCGGTACCGATCCCGGATCCATTCCCGGTCCCGGATCCACTCCCGGCTCCATCCCCCGGTCTCGGTCTCGGTCTCGGTCTCGGTCCCGGTCCCGGTTCCAGTCCCATTCCCGGCCCCGATCCCGGACCCATTCCCGGTTCCGGATCCATCCCCCGGTCCCGGTTCCATTCCCAGTTCCGATCCCGGTTCCATTCCCAGTTCCGATCCCGGATCCATTCCCGGTTCCCGGATCCATTATCGGTTCCCGGTCCCGAATCCATTCCCGGTTCCGGTCCCGGTCCCGGTTCCATTTCCCGGTTCCATTTCCCGGTCCCGGTCCCGGTTCCGGTTCCATTTCCCGGTTCCCGGTCCCGAATCCATTCCCGGTTCCATTTCCCGGTTTCGGTTCCGGTTCCAGTTCCCGGTTCCGGTTCCGGTTCCGGTACCGTCCCCCCCTCCCCTCCCCCCCTTCCCCCCTCGCGGATTTTGGGACCCCCAGAAGGGGCTGGGGGGGGGTGGGGGAGGGGTCCCGGTGGGGGCGGGGCCCGGGGGGGTCCCGGGGTGGGGGAGGGGCGCTCCCGGTGCCGCCCCTCCCCCCCCGTTGCCATGGCAGCCGCAGCAGCCGCGGGGCCGTTGCGCGGAGACCGGTACCGGTACCGGGACGGGAACGGGCCGGGGGGACCCCAAAGGCACCCAAAATAAACCAAAATCACCCAAAATCACCCAAAATAAACAAAAATAACTCAAAGTCACCCAAAATCATCCCAAAGTCACCCAAAATAAACCCAAAATAACCCAAAATAACCCAAAATAAACCAAATAACCCCAAATCTCCCCCAAAATGACCCCCCGGGACCCCCCAAAATAACGCAAAAAACTCCCCCCACAATAACCCAAAATAACCCCGGAACCCCCCAAAAACCCCAAAATCTCCCCCAAAACCCCAAAAGCCCAAAATGGGGGCCCGGGGTGATTTTGCGTCATTTTGGGGTTATTTGGGGTAATTTTGGGTTTATTTGGGGTATTTGGGCCTATTTTGGGTTATTTTGAGTTTATTCTGGATAATTTCAGTTTCTTTTGGGAATATTTGGGGTTATTTGGGGTTATTTTGCATTATTTTGGGGTTATTTGAGGTTATTTTGGGGTTATTTGGGGTTATTTTTCATTACTTTGGGTAATTTTGGGGTTATTTGGGGTTATTTGGGGCCATTTGTGGTTATTTTGGGATTATTATTTTGGGGTATATTTAAGGTTATTTTGGGTTTCCTTTGGGATCATTTTGGGGTTTCTTTTGGGGTTATTTTGGGGTTTTTATGGGTTCATTTTGAGGTGGATTTTGGGCTCATTTTGGGCTCATTTTGGGGTTATTTTGGGGATTATTTTGGCCTCATTTTGGGGCTTGTTTTGGGTTTATTTTGGATTATTTTGGGGGTTATTTTGGGGTTTGTTTGGGGTTTAGTTTGGATTATTTTGGGGTTTATTTTGGGGTTATTTTGGGTTTTTTACTGGCTCATTTCGGGGTTGTTTTGGGCTCATTTCGGGCTCATTTCGGGGCTGCTTCGGGGCTATTTCGGGCTCATTTCGGGGCTGTTTCGGGGCTATTTGGGGCCGATCGGGGCCGGTTCCGGGGCCGGTCCCGGGGGTCCCCCGTTAACCCCTCCCCCCCCTCCCCCCCCCGCAGCGGCCGGAGCCCCCCCCGCCCCTCCCCCATGAGGAGGGGGCGATGCCGCGCCCCGCCCCCCCCGCGCTGCCGCTGCTGCTGCTGCTGCTCGTGGCCGCCAGAGGGAGCCCGAGAGGCGCGGCGGGAGCGGCGCTGCGCATGGGTGAGAAAAAAAAGGGGAATTTGGGGGGTTTTGGGGGATTTTGGGGGATTTTGGGGGGTTTGGGGGGTTTGGGGGGATTTGGGGGTGTTGGGGGGTTTGGGGGATTTTGGGGGATTTTGGGGGGATTTGGGGGGTTCGGGGGGTTTGGGGGTTTTGGGGGGTTTTGGGGATTTTGGGGGGTTTAGGGGATTTGGGGGGTTTGGGGGGTTTTGGGGGGATTTGGGGTTTGGGGGGTTTGGGGGGTTTGGGGGATTTGGGGGGTTTTGGGGGATTTGGGGGGTTTGGGGGATTTGGGGGATTTGGGGGATTTGGGGGTTTGGGGGATTTGGGGGGGATTTTGGGGGGTTTGGGGGGTTTGGAGTTTTTTGGGGTTTTTGGGGTGGGTTTTTTTGGTTTTTGGTGGGGGGATTTGGGGTGGGTTTTTTGGGGTTTTTTTGGGTTTTTTTGGGGTTTTTTGGGGTCGGGGGTTTTTTTGGGGTGCCCGACCCCTTTGTGCCCCCCCAGCCGCCATCCTGGACGAGCGGGGGGGCTGCGGGCGGGGGGGTCTCGGTGGGATTTGGGGGTTTTTGAGCGGTTTCGGGATGGGTTTTTTTTGTTTTTTAGCGGTTTTTTGGGGGGTTTTTGGGTTT